ATTCATCAGGAGCTTCATCCACGATGGCACGTTCTACCAGCTTAGGCACAATTTCACGCATGATCTCCGCAAAATCAGTTTCCTTCATGGATGGAGGTCGATACAATGCCGGTGGGCCAGCTTTTAATCGAACCCTTCGGAGAGGACCATAGCTAGAATCAGCGCTAGCACTTGATGATTGTTCAGTTACTTCATTCTGACCCTCTTCCGGTGACTTGTCCGGTGTTTCACTGGCATCGGGTTCGGGCTGAGCTGGAACAGGCGCTTCACTGCTGGTGCTGGGCACTGGTGGCTCAGCTGCATTTGAGCTCTGGGCTGACTCTGAAGGAGCTGGCAAGCTGTCGCTCTGAGACTCAGCCTTCGGTGGCCCCAAAACTGGATCAGCCATGGTAGGGTAATGACCCAGGACCAGATCTATGAACTGATGGCTACGGAAAGTTCCTCCCTCGATCATGTCCTTAATGCCTAGCAATTCAGCTTGAGGGGTGGTTACCACTGCACGTTCTTCCTCAGTAGCTGGCCGAAGCTGTTCTGGAGCAGCTCGGAAAATTTGGCGCCTATGTGCAATTACATAGTTCTTACCAACATTTCCAACTACAACAGCAGTGCCATACCATCGACCTCCAAGCAACACTTGACCCTGTTGATATTTTTGACACCTCCAATATGCTACTAGGTCACCGGCTTGGAACTGCTGGGCAAGACGCGGTCTTGCCGAGTAAGCTCGGCGCAACGCATTGTCATCCTGGGTTTTGATGACCGCAAGACGAGCTGCAGATCTAATTGCCTGACTTTTGGCCATGGAGTCATCAGTCAAACTGGCAGTGGCGGGCACTACATGCAGGGGTTCGCTAAGCAAATCTGTTGGGACATCGGGATTCCTACCAAACACATGTTGATATGGGGTATATCCATGAGACTGAATCATTGCATTCTTGACATGTGCATGAGTCACACAGGCCTCCCAGTCACTGCGATCACTTGGCGGAAACTCTGCCAAGGTTTTCTCCAGTATGCGGCAAAACCAGCCGCCATGTCGCTCAGTCTTTCCGAGCTGCCAGTGGGCTTCTCCAGCAATCGCATGCACATGACAACCCTGAAACTCTAGATAGGTCTGCAAAGGATCACCAAGATTGGTTTGAGCCTGATCTAAAACCACTTCTTTGGGGGGTCCAAAAACCTTCACCCAGTGTTCTGAAATCACCTGCTTCAAAACCATGGAAGTTTCACGCTCAAAAATTGGTATCATAAGCTGATAGCAACTGGACTGATCCACGATGTTCACAGCCTTGATCTGTTGATTCGGTTTCCACCCTGGAAGATACTTCACATCGACACCTATACACTGATTGAAAGTGCTTGGTCGAGAAGCTTTGGCTGGTAGCGGAACATGTGGTCGGATTTGAGACTTGCAAAACGCACAGTCGAGCTTGGGAGCTAGGCTAATGGCTCGGTCGGATGCCTGAGCGTGCTTCAAAATTCTCACTAGGTCATGAGCTGGTGGATGTCCTAGATTGCGATGCACTTTGTCCAACACTTTGAGAAGCTCGGCATCCGTCTTCTCGGAAGACAAATCAGGCTTTGCGGCAAGAACTTCCTGTACATGATGGGTCGACCATTCGACGTCTTCGACCAGACAGGCTTTCTTCATGCTGACAAACCTAGGAACCGTGTCCATGACTGCTTCAACAAACTGCGGAGTGTACTTACCGGTGAAAGCACTTATTGATCCTACCTCGGGATGTGATCCTGCCACCGGTTGGTGACATTGGTGCTGAGGGCTCTTACTCCCTGGGCATTGCTTGGCTAAGCATTTCATACTGGCATGGCTTACTAGCAGTTTGGTGCCCTTGCGAATCAGGTGCACACTTCTGGGAATCCTAAGGCCATAGCGGCACATGTGGCATGTCAGCAAATGATATTGGTCGCACAGTCGCTTGACCTCATCATACGACCAGATCTTGGAGCCTAATGGATGCTCAAAAATGGCTTGTCCTCCAAGTGCAATCTGTTGTTCAAACAATTTGCAACAAAACTTGACAAACATGCGGCTTTGCCGAACACGGCGCATGTACTCTTGAGGATCCATTGTGCAGGCATTCAAGTGGAACCAACCCCCTTCGTCGGTGCATGGAGGGCACAGGACCAAAAGATCTGGTGGGTTTTCTCTAAGCTCGCGTGCAACATCATCTCGGGTCTGTGGCTTCGTAAAGTCATAGCCAGTTTTCAGATCATAAGATCGGCAGCTACCCCCTACTCCCTGAACCAACGGTGAGAACCTTGGGGGGCAAAACACTTCAGCAACCAGGAGTGGCTTACCATCAACCTTAGTAGACGGTGTCTTTGCTGCATGGCTGACCTGAGACTCTAATTGACGCACGCAGTGCACAGGCAAGGCCTCAGTGGTGATCATCTTTTCCTGTGGCTGAAAATGAAACTCGGTCGTAACATGAAGCACCTCTTTGGGAATGTCTTGATGATAACATTTTTTGGGCTTGGTGGTACTAATCGGCTCATCAAACAAAACATTACCAGTGGCGCTATCAATAACCCTTCTATGTTTCACAGCTTGCCATGGAGGACCCTGTTTACCCGATGTGATTGCCTTAGAGATATATGAGTCATGTCTGCACCACACTTGCAGTGGATTGGGCTGTCCTGGATCAGCATCGAGGGATGACTCGGAGATAGGTGCAGGAGTGACCGCTATCTCAACGTTGGCATCACTGCAGTCGGATGGAACCTCTGCAGAGGCAGGCGGGGCGTTCTGGTTCATCATGACTTCCTCAAATTCATCAGCGGCATTGGCCTTCTGAACATCGCCAATCACATGAATCACATACTGGCCGGCTTCGTTGGTATGCAGAGGGATGGCCACTTGGTCTGCAAACAGCTTCATTTCGTTTTTGCCAAAATCCACAACGGCTTGCAGGGACTGCAAGGCATTCCTGGAGATCAACAACGGTGCACGACCTTTCACAATAATTGCCGCCTTAATCACCCCTTGACGACCAGCTATGACCACGGGAACACGAATCATCGATTCAGAAGTCTCTCGTTCACCGTTGCCAAATTTGAAATGATTCAATTCATACTGCACATCGGGAATTGGAATGCCCCGATCTTTCCAGAGCTGCTTGAACTCCTCAAGTGTCTCACGACCTACAATGGTGCGGCCACACCCAGAATCAATGATTCCATAACCAGGAGAGCTGACAAGCAGGACCTCAGGAGACACAGGCGACAGGGTCAAGGTATCTGGAAGAGAATCAACATACTTTGGCATCAGGAAGGACTTTGGAACGTTCCGCTCGTCGTTGACGAAGCAGCATCAACGTACTACCAGTCTGGTCAGTTGATGAGCAAATGCTCACAGCAGCAACAAAATCCTCACGGAAGGGTTCCACCAGAGCTGCACCTGTATCAGCTGGCTTTGCAGAGCCAGATCCACGTCCTTTACCTTTACCAGACCTGCATTCACGGGACCAATGTCCGACTTGATGACACTTGTGACAACGTGTCTTCTTTTTGAGCTCTTCGATCTCCACACGGTACGACTTCCGAAGATCTTGAGCAGCGCCAAAGCGGCGGGAGCGCTGCATCTGACTGAGCTCCTTGTGTTTCTCCTTCCATCCAACCGCTAGGGCCTCAGCAACTTCTTGTTCTTCAAACACTTCTTCAGGTTCTTCGGCCGGAGTCAGTGAGTCATGTTCTGCGAGAAAGGCTTCAACTTCCTGCAGGATGGGATCGCTATCGATCTCATCATTCTCAGCTGCATCAGCCTCGATGAGACCAGCCCCAAGAGTCTTGCGCTTGGAGACCACATATTCTGGATAGCATGAACGCATGGCGCGTCCCACAGCTTCACGCTTCATAGCTCCACCACTGCGAGCAAGGACGATGGCCTTCTGCTCCTCGCTCAAGCCTGAGCGGTGAAGAATCAGCCACCCTTTTGCCTCTTCTGGAAAGGCAACATCGCACTTCCTGCTGCACCGGTCAAAACATTCCGTTGCACGGGAAATCCAGACCTTCAGAGTTTCGCCGTCATTGGCCTTGAGGCTAAACACTTCAGTTAGAACTTCAGACCTCTCATCCAGCGTCTCCTTCTGAGGAAACCGGTCATCTAAAAGTTTCAGAAGCTTTGTTTCGCCACCTTCGACATGATACTCTGAGGGATCCAGATGCTCAACACATTCCAACGCCTTGCCCTGTAGGAGCGTATACACATAGGCACCTCGTGCCTTCGCAGACACTTTCCCATCCAGGGTTAGGAGTTTGTTGATAACCCATGTCTTCCATCTTCGATATTCTTTTCCGTCCTCATTCTCACCAGAAAACATCTTCGTGTTTCCATCCGCAGAACTACTGCTTGCACCGGCCATGGCGCTCAAAGAATCCACGGATCGCCTGACCCGCGGAACCCCTCTTTGGAGGCTCCGCTACCAATGTTAATTGGTAGCTGATTCCAAACCTTTGGACAACCCAGTGTCCAACATACGGGCTTCCTTTTCTCTCGCCTGAGCAGATAGGTGTCCCTGCGACGCACAAGAGTTGTCCCCTGACAACTGGTGAGATGGTGATTGGCGCTCATGCTGGTGGCTTTAAGATTTATATATAGGGATATATATGGGATTATAGATATTTGGGAATTATCATCATTTTCCCATTAAGTATAGTTGCTATTTGAGGGGTATCATGGAAAATATTAAGACACAACGAGTTGCACTATCCAATCATCAACCGGGACCACCGATTTTTTAACCATCCAATAATTTGGGGACCAAATTTTGACATCCAAAGCATCAACTTTAAGGACTTTTCGATCCATTTTTCTTCATGTGAAAATCATTGTTGTTGGGCATTTTGCCAACCATTTTTCAGTTGTTGCATACCCATTATATATATATATATATATTTATATTGATTCTGCGATAATATCCCTTCCTTGACCCGGATTTGGGGCGGACTGCTCCTGTTTCTCTGAAGTGGGGGTCTCCCAGGCCTGAAGGAAGTCACATGATCAGCGCCTTGGTACGAACGCCGTGGAGCAAAAGTGGTGATTTGCGGTTGATTTGGTCATGACTACCCTCTGGTAAATTCACATAGCTATGGAAAGATCCATCATTTTTCATGGGAAAATCCACTATTTCGACTGGGCCATTTTCTATGCCGCAAACTGTTAGTCATTACCAGAGGGTAGATCATAATTTCTGGACACAGCGATTTTTAGAATGTTCAAGTCATTTTTCAGACTTTGATGATCTCATCTCATTTCGGTGGGGTTTCCCCAGAAAAGTTTGGGGCTCACCATGACCCCATGACCCGAGGTGGCGGCTTCGGTGGCCTTGGTCTTTCCATCGCGCAGGACGTTGTGGCTGGGTCCCAGCTCCTGGAACGATCCAAGAATAGTTCACCTTGGGGCGTTGATCAGTGCTGGCCAATACCACTGAGCTATGTGTGTATATATATATATACATATATACATATATAGAATATATGATATATGTATAATATATATATAGTACATGTATTGGTGGTTGAACTGTATTCAAATCAACATTCTCACTTTACATTGATCAGCCTCATCCTGCGTGCTGTCCCGAAAATTCACCCGCAAAGTGTGGTAGGAAGCACAGCAGCCCAAGTTGAACCACCCAATCGCCTTGTCGTCTAAAATGCAATACTTGAAGGGTGCAGTTCCAGTTAGAATCTATAGTTGGATGATGGATGTATAACCATAGTTATATAAGTATATAATGTTATATAATATGATTATGTTTCATCCCTAACGGGGTTAATTCTCCAACTCCATCTCGTTTTGCTTTCTTATCCGCTCCTACAGGAGCTCGTGGACATGGGCGCCCAGCAGTTGATTTTGGTGTCAAGGAGCGGTCGCACCCCTGCTGGGGACGAGAAGTTGCAGGGCATGTTCGATGCCCTCAATGGATCCACAGGCGTCACGGTGCATGCCTGGTCTTGCGATGTGGCAGATGCCGGGAAGACGCGGGACATGCTGAAGATGCTGGGATTGGATGTTGGATCTTTCTGGAACGCTGGGGAAATTGATGTAAGTGAATGGTGGTGGGTGTTGTGATGCAGATACTACACATGGTCCATTGTAGTGACAGAACCTGGCTGATGACTGACCTATAGTTGGAATGTGTTGGAATGAAATTCGAAGAAGGTACCGAAGGTACCTTTTCGTTCCATTCTTCGGGATATTTGGGGACCACCCGAAGGGTCCCGAGTCTTGCATTTGTTTTGCTCTAGCATCCCAAACATGAGAAGTGCGAGGCCAATGTTGGAAGTTGTGAGGTGCAATGAGCCCCCGCAGGGCGTGATGATCCCATGAAAGATCGAGGGATCAATTTGACGACGACTGAGGAAAGCCAAAGCATTGGAGGTGCCGCTGCAAAATGTGGTCCATGCTGCTGGCATTATCGACTTCTGCGAAGTTGGCAAACTCACAGTGGAAGGTGGGGGGAATCTGGACCATGCTGCGTATGATGTGATAATCACGATTTTCACGAGCAACCGCAAGCAACTATGTTTAAAAAAGTGGTAGCATGTGGTAGCAATCTTTGATTAATCTTATACAACCTGTGATAATGTGGTAATTGCTGGAAGATGGATAGTCCAATCTAGCAAACAACTGGTTCAATGGTTGGGTACTTTGGGTGTTTTGGAGGCTTTGGACGGATATCAACTTGGCATTTTCATCCTGGGACTGCGCCAGGCATGAGCTCGGTGTTCAAACCAAAGGTGTCCGGAGCTTGGAATTTGCACAGCGGAATGGATGCTTGGCGAAAGCATGGAGGCGGCTGACAATGGCACCCGCTTCAGCTGTTGATTTCCTGAGAATTCTAACCACCGATCACTAATCGAGACAATGGGGACACTGTTCCGTCTCCTTGTTGCAGCGTTGCTGGCGGATTGGTTTATTCAACACGCGGACCTTCAAGACAACTTGGACATATCAAAATGGAGTGAAATTGTGTAGTTTAACACTGTTTGCCATATTGGTTTAACTATATACTTTAGCATGGTTTAACCAATGAAACATGATGAAACAATATCTTTCCCGTAACCCTCCCCAGAAATTACCCAGTAGTCTTTTTCCCACCATGGCTGTCCTTTCTTTTTGGGACGAGGACACGAAGGATGCAGAGGAGTTGAATTCGTTCGTCCTCTTCTCATCGGTGTCTTCCTTGATCGGCTTGTGCGGAAGCCTGGAATGTTCAACTCAAAACAGGTCGAATTTCTTGGGCCTAGAAGAATCGACCAAAATAGATGAAGATTTCAGAGGAATCTGTCATATGATTGATCTTTAGATTCAATTCTCTCTATCATTATCTGGTTGGTGGTTTCAAATATTTATTTTTTATTTTCCATTTCATATATGGGATGTCATCCCAACCCCATTGACTTTCACTCCATCATGTTTCAAGATTGTGAAATTGCACCACCAACCAGATTACTATTAACCATCATTAACCATATAATAACCATATATTAACCATTATTAACAGTATATTCTATCATCAAGATTTAACCAACCCAAGCGACCTCGTTTTTGTGGCTTCAGTGGACTTGATGGACCCCACATTTGCCAATACTCAGTGCAAGTTCAACCTGATGGTTCAAGTGTGTGATATGAGGAATACTGGGATTTACAGAGACAGGATGTTCAGTGAAATATTATGGGTGCATAGGGACGTACATCCTGTGTTGATGGGATTTGTTTGGGATACTGTCAGGTTTCACAATTACTTTTCCAAGCGTTTCTTTGCCCTTTGACCAGTGTGACCAGTGGACCTCAACCCCAAAGCCCTATATCCCATATATCCCCCATTTCATCATCGCATTTTCTGGGCAAAAAACCATACCAGACCTGAAAAAACGGGTTGATAGATACCCTCCGGTAAACTAACATAACTATGGAAAATCACCATTTTTTATGGGAAAATACACTATAAATGGCCATTTTCAATAGCTATGTTAAATTACCAGAGGGTATCCCTATGGGTTGCAGGTTCATCCCCAAACATCAAAAGTTGCCAGGTTTATCCCCCTGGGGCCCAAAAAAGCAGGTGACCATTCCCACTTTTTCGATGGAGGTTTCCCACTTAAGTCATGGGGGTTAGCCCTAGTTATCATCCAGCTATTTAAGTTTGGGATGTTCCATGAAAAAAACCATCCAGCGATAAAGGGGTAGCCCGTGACTGTGGACACCTCCATAATGGCAACAGGGTGTTTTTTCACTCCAGTAAATTAACATGACGACCCTGCCAGATAGGGCTTGGAAGATGAGTTTCCACTAAAAATGGGGTGAAATTTTCAGGCTCGATGTGAAATTCACCGGGCCGGGCATATGTTTCAGCCAGTCTCACCGGCTTGACGCTAAATTCTTTCGCGTCAGGTCCTCGGGTATCACTTACTCCGCTTCCAACGCCTACCTCGATGGCTTGAGCCTCTGGCGTCGCCAGGAGAAGCTGCCCTGCAGCAGCTTACAGCGCCTCGGCGGTTCACCAGGTGGATCTGGCGGGATGATCCACCATGAATTCATGATGATCAACCAGGTGGGTGTCTGGAAATGGGGGGAATTTTTACTCTCCAAATGGCAATTTTATGTAGGAAAAGTGATGAAGATTTGGGGGGTCCCGAATTTCAGACACACCTATGACCTATGTGAAGATATCCTGCAGCAAGTAGATCGCTTTAACAAAAGCAAAAGGAGATTGCGGTCCTCCAATTTCGGAATTCCCCCCACGTGGGTGGAATGTTGCTGTGCTAAAACTGCATCAGCAAGTGTAGCTCATTACCCATCTTGGGCTGCTAAACTACACTCATTGTAGCATATTGTAGCTGATTTTTTTCAAAAAAAATCTTTCAACAATCACTATATCCAAAATTCTTAGCCCAGTAGGTCCAGTGGATGGTTGACTGTAATTATTACCCTCTGGTAATTTAACATAGCTATTGAAAATCACCATTTTCAATGGGTAAATCCACTATTTCTATGGCCATTTTCAATAGCTATGTTAGTTTACCAGAGGGTACCCCATAGTTCCACCCCCTCGTTCCACCTGAGGTGGGGCCCTGTGGCCGATGTGGGCATGGCGGCCAAGGGCGAAGCACACGGCGCATCTGCGGCTTGGACCCCTTGGAGCGGAGGAGCATCAACTTCAGGCTGTATCCAAGATGATATAGGCTGTAGTCTGATTCATAGAATTGGATGATGGGAAAATGTTAACCGGAAAGCCCTATATTTGATGGGAATTAAACCATGGGTTTCCGGTTAAGATTTTCCCTTAAACCAATCCATTGAATGATAGTATCCAATAGTATATATCATATTATGTGTGATTATTATATCCATTATGTGCATAGTAATGATAACAATAAATAACAATAACACATAATATATGATATAATCATCACACATATACTACATAATGTAAGATAATGTAACATCATTATCATGATGATATAGGCTGTAATAATAAAGCATAAGAACAATAATACGGTAACAATGTAATAATACTGGCAAAGATAATGATAGGTATATAAATATACATAGTAGTTCCAACTCCAAGAGAGTTGGGTATGTAACTTGGAGGACAGTCATCAACTTCCTTATGTGTCTTATGCTCTTCCTTCCAGGTCCATAGGACCTGTATGGCGCATTTATAGTCTGACCTATCTGGCCTTTGAAGTTGGTATTACACTTTAGCACGGCCCCTCGACCTTCGTTTGGCCAACAAATGGAAACTTGAAAGTGAGCTAATAGTGAGATACTTGATGACACTGATGGTGACCATACATTATGACTCATGATTATGTCAGATCGTTTTCATAAAACATCATATAATTAATCATCATGTCCAGATGATCCTGATCTACACACTGTCCCAACACCGAACGTGGCCTCTTTCAGGCCTATTTTCAGTGTCACCCAACTACGCATGAACACTCACGTGTTGGTGATACCCCATTTTTATCATGTTTTATTCATTTTTGGCCTTTTAATCATTTTAATCCTGTACATTCGTTGCCCGTTGACCAATTTCATCTCCAACATTTCGCGGGGCTTCAGCATGTACATTTGTTAGTTCTTTACCGACTTTTGCCCATTGTCATCAGCCAAAACTATGTCCACTGCCTGTCAAGAATGCTGTGCCCCCTCCATCATCACCAAGGTATATATCCACATCAATTACATCCACTTCATCCAGAATTTATCGGGTAAAACTCGGTAAAACTATGTTTTTCAGGAGCCTCCAGGCTCCCCCAAGCCCCTCCATTGGTCACCAAGGACTCGGCCCTGAAACTGATCTCTCCGAAGCACGTGCGCAGCGCCTTCCATCGCGTGCTGGCGAAGCCCTCGCTGCCGGCCTCGTTGCTCTTCGCCCGTGCCTTGGGATCCCTGGGATGTCAACGGCGTAGCACCAGTTCTGGTGATCACCAGATGGGGAAAATTGGGGAAAATGATGATCAACCTGTCAACCAGTGGAGAAAAGATGATAAAAGTAGGGCTACAATTGCTCAGATTGCCCATATTTTCAGACACCACATTAATTGGGCTTGCTGATCCAAGGACCTTTACGGCAGTACTTTTTCAGTTCAAAGATTTGGATCGGCGCAGGTTTTTTTGATCGGTGGGGATTGGTTGAATTCCAATGGACTCCAGTTGGTCCACAGTCCAAGGTGCTGATTGGGCGCGATTCATGCAGCAAGTTGGCACGGTTGTGCCGGTTCTGGTTGAGTCGCAGGCAGGGTGTGATTTGGGATGAATTTGAGCGAATTGCACCTTGGGAATCACATATGGTACTTGAAAATCCTGTACAAATGGAGGTTTGATCGGAAACATCATCTATAAATGGTGATTTTTCAATTGCCATGTTTGATTCTCAGAGGGGAATTACGTTTGTGTCAATATCACATCACCTGGAACGTGTAGATTCCTTCAGACTGTCACCTGGACAGTTTGCATGTGTCCTTCAGACAGTGTTTCCCACTCACCCATGGTGTGTTGAACACCATATGGAGGTTTCCCAAAATGGGCTAGCCCCAAATCATCCAAGTCATTATATAGATAGACATGCCATTTTCATTCTTTCTGATCACCTGTATTGTTGCAGAAATTCTGGCTGATATTCCCTATGTGGGCCCGGATTCTCGAGCCATTTCTTGTGGCTCTTTCAACTTCAGTGGCCTACCGAAGCCCCACTGGTGCTGAGTGGATCTTGTTCGGCTTGGTGTGTTACGTATCTGGAATTATCACTGGCGCCTTCCTCACTGCATTGATTTGTAGCCAACGGCTGCGGCATCTTCTTGGTGTGTTGCTCCTTGAAGGTTCCAGATCCACTGAGTGGCCAGTGCGTGAGGACCGACTTGCAGGATATCGCCGCGAGGCATAGCAATTTTTTCATTCACTTCACACCTGAGTTGAGAGCCAGAGCTAGAACCAGCATTCTCTCAGTTTTCGCTGCTCATGTTCAAGCCGCTAACTGCTAGGAAGGCCAACAACTTGCGACTTGCCACAGTTGAGTCAGAGTGGGAGTGGCTTCTGTTTCAGACGCCTGACAGACAGGCTGCGGCTGTTCCAGTTCTTAGAAGGACTGGTGGGCTTCTCCTATGCTTGCCAGATGGAGCAATCAGCGCCGAGGAGGAGGCCAACAACCAACTTGGAGATCTCATCGCAGAGTTGGGGCCTGTCAAACGGACCTATGTATGCTGCCAAGGTCATGGGGGAGAGCCGACACTAGCTGTTGTCTTCATCGACGTGCAAGAATCCAACTATGGTGTCTTGCACTATGCTACCCGGAAACGTGTGGCATGGGAGGAAGGAACGATCCAATTCGTCGAGGGCGAAGAAGTTGCCAGGCCAGATGGCCCACAGATCATCGCTGCTGCTCAAGCTTGGGTAGAAGGCGAAGATGGACCCACGCCAGAAGAGTACCTCTCCGCCGTCGAGGGGGCGCCTCCTTCCGTACCAATGCAAATGCCACCTGGCATGGACATGGTGCTGGCTCAGCTTTCTTCCTTGGCCGATGCAGTCAGCGCTCTGCAATCCAATGTCAAAGGTTTGCAAGAGGAACGCCATTCATCACCTCTGGCAGTTGGGGCTCGTGCAAAAGCAGCTTCAAGTGTCAAACCCCATGCAGACCCCTTGCAGCAACTAGCGCAATTGGCGGGCCCACCGCCCCGCACCAGAAGTGTAGCGGTCACGGCCGCCAAAGACGTTGCAGACTTAGATGGGGAGGAGCTGACCGAAGAGGAAGTAGCCCTGCTGGAAGAGGGTCAGTCAGCCCTGAGCACGGACCAGATGCTGCGCCTCGCCTTGGTGAAGGCCTTGGGAAAAGGGAGCAAGTCCCGCAAAAAAGTAGGCTTGGCTTTGGGAGACAGCTCAGACGAGGAGGAGGACGATCCGCTCAGGAAGTTGAGCGGAGCCCGCGGCACCCTTTTGCAAGAGAAGTTGAGACAAGGGATGGATGCAACACCAATGGCGTACGTGAAATCCATCGAAAGCATGGCTGCTGCTTGCCTGGGGCAGACTCAACCCACGCAAGACACAATGGAGAGGTTTGTGCGGGAAGAGATGCCAATTGGATCCAGCCGGGATTTGGGCTATATGGTTTGGGCTATTGTCAAGGCTTTGAATCTGATGCGGAGCAAGAGCTACGACAAAGCCCAGCTCGTTCTCATGCTGACCTTGGCAGCGGTGGAGCAGTACAGGCTGGACCAAAATTGGCAGTCAGCATGGAGGTTAACGCACCTGGGCCTGCCACCCTTTCAGGAATGGAAGGTTCGAGAGCAATCGGTGCAGCAGCTTCGCCTGGATCATGCCCACAGTCGCTTGATTCATGCAACATGGGCGGCAGCAATCACTGCACGTCTCAAGGACGAGGAGGTGCTGATGAAAAGGCGAGGAGCTCCAAAAGCGTTTCCCCGAGCCGACAAAGGCGGCGACAAAGGCAAAGGCCGTGGTCGCAAGGCGGAACAGGAGGAGCAGCAGCAGATGTGAACATGAGGCCCCGAACTTTTGAAGATTGGCCAATATTTTTGCTTAATTCATTACTCAAATCTAGGACAGATTTTGCGAAGTTTGTACATGCTGGTCGACGCTGCAGTGGGCCTTCAGACGCACGGTCCGCAGAGCTTTTTCCAATCCCAGTGCCATTTCCATGGACTCCTTCCAATGCCATTCATGGCGCGTCCAGACGTAAGCGCCAGCGGTGGCGGCGTAGAAGGGCAAAGGAGATTTTGATCAACTTGCAAATTGCGGGGTTGAATTTTGTGTTTGGCAAATCTGGGCCTTGGCATTTTGGGATCCCCTTAACCTCTTCTCAACTCACTGTCGTAGACAATCTTTTGTTGAGGGCTCGCTCTCTAAGCCGCCTTGGTGGACACGTCTTCTCAGGGTGCGGCTCCAAGGTTGAAGACACAGCCTCTGAATTAGAACGTTTGCATGCGTTGTTTTTTGATCAGGATATCCCCTATGGCTCCAATCAGGGTCATGAGAATCAGAGATCTAGGTCAACTCCTGCGGTTGTTGTCCCCACGGTGGCATCTTCCGTGGCTTTCCCGGAAGAGTTGCAAGGTTTTAACCCCTTACCCTTTCTGGATGAGGAATTCTCCCGGGCATACCACGACCCTAGCTGTTTATTGCATGGTCAGTACAGGGAGCAGCCGCGGATGATGCCACCTGATGCTGTGTCGGCCGCGACCCGGAGTGAATTGCTCCATTTGGGATGGCGCTGGGATCAAGTAGATCGGCTTGCCTTAGCTCTTCCGAGCGAAATAGAAAACCAAGACAGATCGGGTTTGTTTTGTATTTCAAAGCCTGATGGAGAGCTTAGGCAAATAATAGACCGACGACCCCGAAATAGCCGGGAACTTCCGCCCCCTCAACATGGACCAAAAATGGGACACCCTAGTTCTTTGTTGGGTATTGTCATTCCTCATGGTTTTGATTTGTTGGGTAGTGTTGATGACCTCAAGAATTTCTATCATGAATTCCAAGTATCCCACAAGCGTGGTCTTAGCACCCCTGTAGGTCCCTGGTGGTCCGTTTCGGAGTGGGAAGGTTCCAAAGCTTTAGCTGATTTGAAGTCCAGACATCCCCGGTTGCATTTGAAACCATCTGACACCATCTTCATGTGCTTTAAAGGTCTTAGTATGGGGGATCATTGGGCACCTGCCTTTGCCCAAATGGCTCACGAGAACCTCTTAGCGTCTCATGGGGCTTTGAAACCGGAGGAACATCTACGTTTTGGGGAAATCACCCCAAGGGCCCCGTTAGGTCACTTTTCGGGTGTATGCATTGATGACAAGCTTAACCTTCAGCTAACCCCTAAAAAGTTTTGGGATGTTCCGCTTCGGGATTCAGAGTCGTGTAATCAAGCGGACACAGCCTATGAGACCGCTGGCCTCACCCATCACCCTAAGAAGCGATTGCGCAGGGTTCCGGTCACTGTGGCTTGGGGCGCCCAAGTCGAAGGCGTTTGCGGCCTAATCGGTGCAAAGCGAGAGCGTCTTTGCATGCTGTCTATGGCCACGATGTTTGCTGCGTCATCTTCTGCCCTCACTCGCACTTTAGTGGAAAAGATTTTGGGGTTTTGGACATTTTGTTTCCAATTCAGACGGTGTCTCTTTAGTTTGATCCATGTGCTCTATGGGATTGGGGCTTCTAATGGATCTGTAGACGCCCCCTTTCGACCCACTAGGGAGGCCAGAGGTGAGTTGCAGCTTTTAAGCATTTTGGGTCCCACGGCCTTAGCTCAGTTGCGACGTCAAGTCAGTGCCACAATTTACGCAACTGACGCAGCGCCTGGAGGGGCGGGGGCGGTTTCGTGTTATGTTGGCGACCGTGTGTCCCAGGAATTGTTTCGTAGGGCAGAATCCCGAGGTTTCCACACCAAACTTTTACCTCCTATCAGTGCTTTTTTTCAAGAGCAAGGGTTGCCAGTGTGCCCGACCGTGGCATCGCACGATTTTGAGTTCCAAGCGCCGCCCGCCTTGGAAGGCGACCTACTGCCACAGGAACCGCGTTTTGTGCAGTCTGCAGAGTGTGGGGTGGTTAAAATATCGGCACCTGGTGTGCAAGCATGGGCGCAGAAGTTTTGGGAGTTTTCGCCGCAGGCCCCACCTGATGATGGACTCATTCCAGCACCCCGCAAACAATTATCCTTCAGATTTGATTTCATTGAAATCTATTCTGGTTGTGCTCGTATGACAAAGGCATTTGCGGATAGGGGTTTAGTAGTGGGACCCCCGATTGAATTGAAAGAGGGGTGGGACCTGTTCGACAAAGATTTGAGTCGACTCCTTCTTTTTCTGTGTATGGCAGGTAGGGTTGCGATCCTTTGGTTGGGGCCCCCTAGTACAACCTTTTCATTGGCTCGGTGCCCCAAACTTAGGAGTCGCGCGCAGCCCCTGGGTTTTGATTTGTTTAATTTGGATGTTCTGGCTGGAAATTATCACATGCACCTTTCCATCTGTTTGTGGGTCGCCCAGAAGTGCGCCGGGCGGATTGCCCTTCTAGAGACCCCCTGGTTCGCTTTTACTAGATTCCTTTCAGCATGGTTGTGGTGCCGGCATTTAGGTGGTGTAGACATTCGGTTGGACCTATGTAGATTTGGAACCCCCTATTTGAAAGGTACTCGAATATTGGGATCCCATACATGGTTAAGGGCCATGGGGCGTCTTTGCACTGGCGACCATACTCATGTTAAACTGGAGGGTTTTCAAGCCGCGTGTTCAGCTGCATATCCGTTTCCCATGTGTGAACATGTTGCAGACATAGTCATTGAAGGGTGTGATGCTTTACAGTGGCATAAGAAATCCCCAGCTCATGACGCTTCACATGTTGATGTGCAGACTGGAGTTTCTCCACCTTTGCGGGATTGTAGGAGCTCCCGTAAGTTTGTAAGTCACCTATGGGCCACCCAGCTTTCTGAAACTCTCCCGTGGAAGGTGTGCAAAAAATATAAATTTCGAAAAGAAGGGCACATCAATGTGTTGGAGTGTCACGCGCGTCGATCTCTCCTGCTCAACATTCCAGCCCAGCAGAGGGTAGTAGTCATGCAAGATTCCATGGTCACACTTGGTGCTAGTGCAAAGGGTCGGAGTAGCAGCCCTTCACTGAACAAGGTTTTAAGACAGGAATGTGCAATTTGTGTTGCCAAAGATCTTTATGTTGGTGGCATCCATTCCCCCACATGGGCGTTGCGGGCTGACGACCCATCCAGAGGACGCTCCGTGCGTCTGCCTCGGGCCCCTCTGCCCGGCTGGTTCTTAGACTTGCGAGCAGGGCGCCTGGCACAAGCTCAGGACACTTTAGATGATCTCTCCCAGACTCCGCGGTCTGCCGGCCGGTGGTTTCTGTTTGCGGCAGCAGCTTGTTTGGCTGGTGTTGGCGGTTTCAATACAATCCGTGATTGGGCCTCGTCCATCCGCTGCGCCTCGCAACAGAGACGATTTGGAACAAGGGAGGGTTCTTCAGACCACCGCTGCCCTCAGAAGACAGCTTCTGGACGCTTTTGTGGACTGGATACAGAATCAGGAAGCCAGTGCGACCGGAGCTCGTCCTTTCGCAAGTTTGGCCAGGGAGACACCCATAGTTGTGACGGAGTTGCTGGAAGAATACGGCCGAGTTCTCTACGAGACTGGGGCAAGCCGACGAACATTTGCGGAAACAATCAATGTGGTCCAACAGAAATTCCCATTCTTGAGGAGAATGATGACTGGCCCGTGGCAACTGGCAACTACTTGGGAAAGCTTACACCCATCTCAAATGCATCCTCCAATCCCGAAACCTCTCTTGGAGGCAATGGTGAGCATTTCAATTTCTTGGAAGTGGCACCGCCTAGCTCTGCTGCTTTTGTTGGGCTTTTACGCTTTACTGCGGCCTGCCGAACTTTTCTTCTTGAAGGTCAAGCACTTTGTACTGAGCGATCTGACAGGTCTAGACAGTGTAGTTCTCATCCAGCTGCTTCAAACAAAGACCAGAACGCGGGGAGCTCGTTTTCAAAGTGTCCGGCTCGAAGAGCCGCGCGTGATCGTTTTCTTGCAGAAGTGTTTAAGTGTCATGACTCAGAACGAACTTCTTTGGCCGCTCTCGCCAGCCCTGTTTAGAACAAGATTTGACCAAGTGCTCACCAGAGCCTGCGGAATTTCCAAATTAGTATACCCTTCATCACTTCGACCAGGAGGGGCAACTTTTCTTTTCCAATTGTGGAAAGAAGATATCCAAAAACTCCAATGGAGGGGGCGTTGGTTACATATGAAAACCATGCTTCATTACATCCAAGAGTTAGGGGCTGTAAATATTTTTGACAAGTTGGAGCCTGCACAGAAGTCACGGGTGCTCCTGCTTGCTCAACTTCTCCCCGAAGCTCTTGCCAATTGTGTTGTAGTGGTGGACACCTTTTCTCTTGTTGCAGCTTTCGCGAATGCTGGTAGCTAGCTCTGGGTCTTCCCGGCCCTATCCCCCCCAAAAAGTAAGGGTGGTAACTGATATCTTGTTGTGCACAGCTGTGCTCGTCAAGTCAAGTTCCATCACCTTTTGCAGCTACCAGCAGAAAAAAGGAGTTTTGCGTGGAAGAACGCATGAACATCATTTGCGTGTGTGTAATGCGAAGCTCAAGTGCAACCAGGAGGAAGGTGGAGGCAAGAATGCCATTTTCATTCTTTCTGATCACCTGTATTGTTGCAGAAATTTTGGCTGACCGACCTCCGCCCCACCACCACTGATATCTTGTTGTGCACAGCTGTGCTCGTCAAGTCAAGTTCCATCACCTTTTGCAGCTACCAGCAGAAAAAAGGAGTTTTGCGTGGAAGAACGCATGAACATCATTTGCGTGTGTGTAATGCGAAGCTCAAGTGCTATAGACATTCATATATATATATATAGACCATTTGAGTCTTGAAACCATTTGAAGCCCAATGGTCACTTGGGGATCCTTCGTTTTAAGGGTCCCCAGCAAGTCGACAGGCCCGTGGCCAGACCAGCCCTGGTGCTGGTGCTTTGGAAGCCCTGCAGGGATTGCCAGCTGATGTGCTGCAAAGTTGGATACTTAGGATCTGAGCTGCCACTCCTGGAAGTTGATCTTGGATGTTGATATATTAAATTATATTCAAAAATATAGTGTGTGTGTATATATATATATAATTATATATATATATATATTATACAATATTGGCCACATATACAAATACATTTATATTGATCAGGAAATTGATGGAAATCCACCATTTTTATCCCTTTTTCAGGGGAATCGATTGAGATCTTTCCCTACTTTTTGTCCCAGGCAAGTTGATGAACATTGTCCTGGACGTGGCACAGGGTGTGTTGGGTGACTTTTCGGACTTGCTGTTTTTCACCGAGTTTTTTGGGGGGGTTCCAGAGCTTAGTTGGGACCCAAAAAAAGCTGGATGCGTCATGGACAATCCGAAAATAACATGGATGATTTGTGGGTAACCCCAATTTGGAAAACCTCCATGTATAAATCACCAATAAGCTGGAAAAATGATGAAAGATGTGAATTTTGTTTTGGGTACCTCTATTTTAGGAAATCTGCATATCAAGATACATCAAGATCGATGATTGACCTCAGGCATTGTGAAAATCTCAGATGTTCCACAATCTCATTGCTTTCGATTCTATGATTTCTATGGCCTAGGATGCACAAAAAACCGACCAACCCCCATTTCTTAGCCGCCCAAAAAATTGGAATTGGGGATTTCACTGTGATCCATTGCTCTCCGGCATTTCAGCATAGCTATGGAAAATTGCTCATTTAAAGATGAATCACCTATTGAACATGGTGATTTTCCAGTTCGCAAACGGTTAAGCTACTGGAGAGTATGCCAGTCATCTGAGGTGAGAGTTTGGAGGAGGATGCTCCTCTGATGGAGTCGGGTCTGGATTCTCTTTCTGCGGTGGACTTCCGCAATCAGGCAGGTCGATGCATCTTTTAGTCAGGTTCTGACTAGCAGATATTCTGTTCTGACTATCTTCAACCGCGGGATGATGATGCCAATTGACTAACAATCTTTTTGGATGGACACCAACTCGACATGAATTTCCGGGTAGGGTAGGATTCCAAAAGATGACCCTGGAAGAATATGTGTGCGCCTGTGACACGCAACGCAGCAACGCTATGCAACACTCAAAGAGTTGGTAATTCCAGCAGTTTTATGTGTTGAAGACTGAAACAAGGACGAACATGGATGTCTCCATCATTGGGTAGATCGAGAAGATCCAAAAAAAGCCCTTTTCCATTACCGATCGTCCCTGATCGAATCCTACCAAATAGCTACAAGTCGAACGTGACTAATCCATGCAATATTAATCACATTCCCTCATCATGAACCTTCCTAAACGGGTTTTCAAGATACTGTACATAGATTTCCACATGGAAATCAAATGTGGCATTGGACAATCTCTTATCTTTTCAGATGAGTTTCCCATGGAAAACCTCCATTTCGTTCGGGCTTTCCCAGCCAGCCATCTTTGATTTTGTGACAGCTCAGGTGGCGAAGCAATTGCCAGGGCTGAAGTTGCCGAACACCTTGATGTTCGACTATCCCAGTCCACAGGTGCGGTGCAACCTTGATCAGGATGTTGTGCAACTAAAAAAAGAAATGGCAACCCCTTAGTTAGATGATATCGCAATGAGCAGACTTCCCATATTTGAGAGGTACATATAGGATCATATAGGATCATATGCTTATATGTACATGTTTGGTTGCAAATGGTGGATCCGATGGCCATGAGAGTGAATAGTGTTCAGGAAAAAAACGCATTGATGTCTGGCAACATTCCGCCTGAGACTAGGTGCACATGTACTTCTAGATCAAACAGTCAAACATATCAAGTTGTATTTATTGTAATCAGTGGAATCAGCCTCTGGGCAGCTGGGCTTGTCACAAGAGACCCAGAATTTCTATGAACCCCCATGAAACTCCTACCATTCGGCGGAATTTGCCACAGGCCATCGCCAAGTACGCTGCTGCCCAGCTGGCTCCAGCCGCTGCGCCAGCCCCTGCCGTGCTGCGCGCAGCACCAGTGGCGGGTGCGGAGCGGGGGCCCCTGGCGGCCTTGTCCACCGCCTGCCGATTTCCAGCGGGCGGTGAGGATCCAGAAATCTTCTGGACTGCACTGGCAGCTTGGCCTTGACGAGCTGATATGGGTGGAACTTCGAAACTTAGAAAGGTTTGGAAACTTACTGTAGATATATCTGTTAAATTTATGGATTACGAAGGGTGTACCTCACTACATGGAATAAGGCTTGGCTGGTTGATGGTTTCACCGTGGCTTCCCATCACTAATTAATGGGAAGCTTGGGAAGATGGTTGGCCAACCCACTTGGACCGTAGTGGTCCGTCTTTTTGGGCCTGTGCTTTGGTAGTGGGTGGTTCAACTTCCCATCCATGGATTGGTCAAACATTGGGTCACACAAGTGCTGTTTTTTGTGGAGATGGAGCCACAGCTGGATTCATGGCTTGGAGGCTCCTTACCAGAGATGACATGTCACAGTGGTGCGAACTTAGGTGCAGAAGACAGATGGTGTGACAGAGATTCCCTACGATCGCTGGGATGTGGATGAATACTTCGATCCATCGCCCAATGCAGTGGGACGCATCTTGGGCAGCAGGGCGCTAAAAGTGACTCTCTGGGAACGAATACCCTCTGGGATGTTGTGGCCATATGTTTTTTTTTCATGGGATTTTATGTTTTTTTTTCAATGGGATTTAATGGAGATCTAATGGGATTTCATGGGATTTGAATATAATACCCTCTGGTCATTTAACATAGCTATTGAAAATGGCCCAGTCGAAATAGTGGATTTACCCAGCTAGAACATGGTGGATCTTTCCATAGTTTTGTGTATGTTTACCAGAGGGTACCACCTGAACATATGTATTACTTACTTTGCCCGGACGTTTTTGCCAATGTGACGTTTTGAATGAAAGCCATCCTTGTGTCATCAGTTTTAAAACCAACACATGCTGATCAATCCATAGGGGTACCCTTTGCTGTACAAGGAACCGCTGATGGTTTGATGACCATATCCCATATCATATCCCCAAATTTTGGTTACATATCCGCACTATCATATCTCCATGTGTGTTGCCTTATCCGACATTTTCCCATATATATATACATATATATATATACATATAGATATATAGTCTCATCCATTCCCATTCCAGCACACCTGGCCAGGTATGTACGTCCGCCATGCGGCCTTCATCCAAAACGCCGACTGCTTTGATGCCATGCTCTTTGGCATCTCGGGAGCAGAGGTGCCTTGGGAGGGGCTGAGATGGGCTGAGGCATGGGGGTCACGGTGCTGTTTTTTTGATGATTCTACAATTGGGTATGTCTGAAAATGGGGTATACCCCCAATTATAGCCATTTAGTAGGGATAATGATCATTAACCATTGGGTGTAGGGGTACACTATTTTCAGACAAACCCAATTCTGTCGGGAAAGTTCTACTTCCTAATCTTTGCATATTTGTTCGAAATCGATGTGAATATGAGAGGGTTTCGAGTGGAATTATTCAAACAAATTCGCTTTACATACTGGTCAATGTGACGCAGTGGAACTCAGCCCAGAAAACTGACAGGTTAGTATGGGACTAAATCTCATGTTCATCTTGAGGCTTCATGTGATTTTCTGAGGCTTCAAACCAGGAACTATAGCATACTATAGCCATAGCAGGCATGGAAACCTTGACAGGCGGCTAGCATGGATCCACAGCAAAGACTTCTGTTGGAGTCTCTTGGCGTCAACCATGCGTAGACCATGGCTTGGTCAATGGCTGGGCGTTTGCCTCCGCCAACCCATAGCTTGGGGTTGTAAACTGCTCTAAAGGTGGTACTGGGTTGAAAGTTCCCCCCAAAGAGATAGAAATACATTGGGTCTGCCGCATTAATTCCTGTCGGATTGAGACACGCAGAAATTCCGCAAAGCCTAGGATTGTGCAGGAAGCCTTCACTTCCGCAAAGGGTTTGCTGGCAATTGGTGGCGACACCTCTCCTTTGACCAACAAAGACATTGGCAGCTTTGTGGGAGAATGCAACAACGATGCTCAGCACGGCGCTGTTTCAGCTTGCAGCTTTACCCTTTCGACATGCTTTCGACCGTTTTACGAATCATGTTGTCGTCACATTTTGCAACATTCAAGTTATTTTTTGTGTACAGTGTGTGTGCAGTGTCCAGTTGAGAGAAGAATCATCTAATCATTTAACAATCGTCACCATCTACGAGGATTGGGGCCACTTCAAGAACTTGGAGACTGAGAAGATGAATCCCAGCTGCACGGTGCTGCCGATGTTTAGATGATGTTGAGGCTATAGGCTATAGGCCATCACTGGGGGTCATCGTTTCGCACCTGAACGATAGTAACATAAGCAAAGATAACAAAACCATACTGAGTCCTTTCCAAATCATTGAAGACATGACATCTAGCCACATTTCAGGAACAGCAATGCACCACCAACTCATCCAACTGCAGCCACCAGGAATCCCTTCAGTGGAACGGGCGGTTCCATGTCCATTTCCTCCAACCGCCTGGCCTATGTCTTCGGCTTCCGCGGACCCAGCGCCTTGGAGAACTCGTGGGATACCATGGGATAGCAATAGATTTCACCACTCAAAATGGGGTAAACAAGGGTTTACTACCACTGTTTTTTTTTCTCCACATCCCTTGTTCCATTGCGATGTTGAACTACCTCCAAAGATCTCCAATATTTTAGAAAAGATCTCCGAAGTGGGTGCATCAACATTGCATGGTACTCTCTTTAGATGAGTGATCTGATCTGTAGCTTCGTGCCATCCCTGGACCCAAGGTGTCACCTCGGACACCGCGTGTTCGTCTTCGCTCGTGGCCCTGGACACTGCCGCGGCCAACATCGGACGCAACCGATGCAGCGCGTCGGTGTCTGCGGGCGTCAACATGAACTTGTTGCCGGGACCCTTTGTGGCATGCTGCCAGGTTTCTCGATGGCATGAAGCTTGGGGAGGATTATGATGGATTATGGATGGTGAATGATGGTTATGGAATGTTATGGATCATGAGATCGGCTGGAATTTCAGGTTTTCTATGGTTTTCTGGGCAGCATTTTGTTGGACATCAGGCAACCTGTGATGAGTTCCTTTGAAAAACCACCCCCTCCAGGGATGACCATGGACTGGCACAGGCCAAGATGCTTTCGGAGGGCGGAAGATGTAAGACCTTTGATGCCACTGCAGATGGCTACTCAAGGGGCGAAGGCCATTGTTGAAGGGTATACCCCAGGGTACAGGAAGGATAGTGAAGCGGTGTGGCAAAAGCCACCTTTATTTGGCTTGGAACGTCGGAATTGTTTGCTGTCTCACATTTGGTAATTGCGAAACGGACAGCAGTGTTGTCGAAAGTGAAACATTGCAATCAAGAGCAAGTCATTCAACATCTCAGCTCATAACATCTCTAATAACTAATAATCATTTTAGCAGCTGCCTGAGAAACCCAAGAATCTGCCCAAAACTAGCTCCACACGAGTACGGGTAAAGAGTTAAGACCGGTGCAACTGTAGGTCTTTGGTCATTTTGAATTTTCGAGTATCAACTTTCAACATCTATTTGTTTGGGTATCTCCCATGTTTAATTGTCCATGTTTGGTGGTGGTTAAATCTCAACTTTGGATGGTTTTAATATGTTTGGTAGGCTAAACCATTCATTGTTTGGGGTTCTCCAATTTGAACATATTTTTGCCTGGCCATAAATGAGGTGTCTAAGTAGAGTTTGTCTACCTACAACCGGGGTGGATAAGCTACTTGTGATGACTGTGATGACTCACCAAAGTCACAGATAGCTTTGTTTCGTTGCTTGAATTCCAGTTTTCTTTGTTCATCCTCCCACTTTCAGGTTATTGTTGGATGATAACCCTCGCATGTGCTTAAAATAAGCACCACAAAGATGCCGAACAAATCATTGATCACTACTGTAGTGGGATTTGATTTCTATCTTTGTGAATTTTGTGGGTTGTTGCACTTGCTACAACCTTCCAGTGACAGTAAAGGGCCAGGTTATGCCTAAACGTCAGGTCCCCACGAGGATGCTCGGCGCCGCAGGTGCTGGTACCATCCTGATCCGTCGCCTGAGCGATGTGGCAGACATGGGCCTGGCGGCCATCAGTGGCACAGCAGCCAACCAAGACGGTCCCTGGAAGCAGCGGAGGTGGTGAGGTCCCTGGTTTAGGAAAGCTTAAGCTGGACTTTTCTCAGCTTTTCTTGGATACTTTGGTGATATGTCCCGTAAAACTTGGAGGTTTCTTGGACTTGAGAAACTGGTAAGCCCAAGGTGAAAGTAGACTAAGTAGACCAACATTCTATTTGTTTGGGAGTCCTGCTAGCCCCCACAATCCAACCAGGGATTCAAAACTGGTTCCATTCATTCAGTTTCCAGCTTTTAACTTCATTTCAATTCAGTGAATGCCAGAAGCCCACTTGTAATTTGATTTGGCGAAACCAACGTTTGTTTTCTTGCAATTACATCCTTGCTTTTGTATGCTTTTGTCGCTTAACCTCCTACGTCTACTAAGAGCCGTGGCCAAAACTCTGGCTAACAATAATTAAAAGTAACTAAAAAGGTGTTCGACTATTTGTTTCTACTGGATCTTCTCAAAATAACCACATCAACCAACCGGTAAAACAGTCTATATCTTGATCGTTCTTGTTGGTTTTTTATCCCTGGTGTTCTTGTTGGTTGACTCCCAAGTTTTCGTCAAATCATCATATCAATCCATTTCAATCCCTATTGATGTTGATTACCCTCTGGTAAATTAACATAGACCCTGAAAATAGCCATTGTTTAATGGAAACTAATCTTCCAACCCCGATGACTGCCAGGGTCTATGTTGATGAATCCCGAGTCTTTTTAAGGTTCATCCCAGTTGATCCTTCCCTTGCTGCACTCCGTCCATTTTCGAATCGCCCAGGACGCAGCTCGTCCCTGACGGCGCCCAACGGCCCGGCGCAGCAGGAGGTGATCCTCATGGCCTGGCAGGAAGCTGGCTTGAACCCAGGCGACCACCAGGGGACAGCATTCCCAGCCAAGTGGATGGGTAGTTTAATCATGTTTAATTAATCATTAAGTGATGTTTAAGTTATATATCTGTGATTCAGATTTGACCATGGAAAATATGTTCAGGTTTCCAATGTTTCCAAAGTCATGGGGGTAGTTTCCTAAGTTTATCAGCCATATGGTTTTCCATGGGATTTTCCATGAATGAAACACACTTTATCCATTTTTGGGGTACCTCCATGGCCATGGAAACCTCCATATTTAGCCTTTGGTACACGAACATAGCTATGGAAAAATCACGATGTTTACAAGCCGTAAATCCATCATCCCCAGAGACCTTAAAGTGTGGTGTCAACATATGGGATTTCTGACATTGCTTTACTAACATTAGAAGACCAACATTTTTTTGGGGGATATAATGAGGATATAATAGGGATATAATAGGGATATAATAGGGATTATTAGTGGAAAATCATGGGGATATTTCATGGGATGATAAAAACCATGTGATTTGGGATGAACATGATGAACCTGGTTGATTTATCACCAAGTCATGGCATGTTTTTTTCGGGAAATGACCATAAAACCCTTGGTTTTAGGTGCCTATTTTCAGCGACTCCCGAGTTTTTCACGGCCCACTGCGCTACGGTGCTACGGTCAGGTGCAACTGATTACATCGAAACCCACGGCACTGGCACTGGATTGGGCGATCCAATCGAGGCCGGCGGAACTGGTACCAAGCATCCAATGGACATGTGTCAATGGTAGCAGTTCCGGTGGAACTAGTCTTTGTTTGGGGATCTTTTGTGGATCATTTGTTGGATCAGCAGGAAGTTTTTTGCTATGTGCTGCATTGTTTATGGTGGTTTTTCAGTTTTTTAAAGAATAAAAGAGAAAGCAGGTCTGTTGTGACTTTCCAGGAAAAGAACCCTCACAAGGGCTTTAGAGCACATAGGTCCATAGGTCAATACCATATATACATCGAGACGCTGTGTTGCCAGGATGGAAACTCATAAGAAACATTTCAACAGTGAAGATTCCTGATCCATATCAACCTGACATCAAAACTGCTTGGTGGTTCCAAGATGTTCCAAGTACTTCTATGTTTAAAATCCATATATTTGGGAGATTTTTGGGATGGTCCCTTTTGGTCCCGCGAAAAACCATGGGAAAAACCCCAGAACAGGTGGGCGCCCTGTGCAACACCATGGGTGACCAGCGCAGCTCCTCTCTGTATGTGGGCGCCGTGAAGACCAACGTGAGTCACTTGGAAGGTGCTGCGGGCATCGCGGGGCTGCTCAAGGTACCTTGGCTGGTGACTGGTGGTGAAGGCGGCGGTTGTTGGATCCTAGCTTGAAAATGATGAGGAACTGACAGAAAGGAAAAATCAAAATCCATGATTTCTCATCATTTTCTCCATTTAAACTGCTAGTTTTTGGGTATCATTGGATATCCCCTTTTCAGTCACACCCGTATGGCCATGGAAGATGGGATACATGGCCAGGGTGGGAGAGAGACTTCCAAAGAACAAATCAAGAGGAGGCTGAAGGGTCAGCTTGTCCAATTCAGCTAAATGGACGTCAATGTCTCCTGATCTTCATGTTCTGTTACACAACGGCTTTGAACCTATATGGGTCTGTCTGAAACTAGGGTACCCCCATTTCTTTGGGTACACCATGGCACACCCCATTTTCCGACACCCCATACATTTGGTTCGACATGTTCAACCAAGGCGGTCTCTGCAATGCAGCATCGTCAAGTGCCTCCGAATTTGCACTTGTCCAAGTTGAACCCGCACATTGATGTGGAAGATGCTCGCCCATATTTCAGTTGCCACAAATGTATCTTTCCTGAGGAAAATGATCTACAAAGTTCTACAAATAGTGGGTGTTTTCACACATATGACATATGTTAAATTACTGCAGGGTAAGAAACACCTCTAACTGCGGCTTGTTGGTTTTGACAGCTACCACAGTTTTTTGGGCCATTGGAGGTATGGAGGTCCTCTGCTAATCTGATGCAATTGGCATCACTTGTTTGTTGTTGCTTCATTAGCTGACGGTGAAGTCTACAATGTCACTACACCGAATAGTGACTATAGTGGCAACCACATCATTATCTATACGAAAGCCATTTATCAATATCAGTACATAGTATGAATTTTATATTTATATATATATGAATATTATGTTAACTTTTACATACCAAAAGCGTCTTTACACTCTTACCAGAGTCTTCAGCACCACTTTCGGTAGCTGTGACTTCCAAGTTTTTCCCGGCCCGGCCCAAGGGAGTGGACATGGTCTTCCCAACAGAGTCCATGGTTCAGCTCTCGCAGGATGTGCGGTTTATTAGCGTGGGAGATGTTTGATGATTTTCTGGTTGGTGGTTTGGAACATGTTTTATTTTCACCAATAGTTGGGATGATGATCCAATCTGACTTTCATATTCTTTCAGAGGGGTGGCTCAACCACCAAGCAGTTTTTTATGGTGAGTTCATGGGTATTTTTTGTATCCAAAATGAGGATTAAAGTATCAAACATGGTAGAATGAGGATATAATGGGGATGTTTCATGGGATATATATATATATATGGATATTTCCAACATGGATATAATATGGATATATGGATGATATATATTCTTATATTTCATGGGATATTTACCATCTGTCCATTGAGTTCGATGATTTACCTATTAGTTCCATGGCGAGATGTTGGCGTAGCAAACTGTTGAGTCACCAGGGTGTACTGGAGGGTAACTGGTGCATTTTGGCAACCCATGGTTGCCATGGTTTTTGCTTTTGAAAAATGGTTAAACAATGGTAAACCATGGCCTTTTGCTATGGTACTGTGTGTGGCCTGTGGTAAGATCTTCATAAGGGTAGCATTTTTTTTGAGTTCAAGCATCAGTGTGGACGGATTGGGTGGACGTCTTGGAGTAACCTCTATCTACTAGCTATATATATATATAGTTATATAGTAATTATATATTTATATAATATATAGTAATATTATGAAGATAAATATGATGAGAAATGAGTCTAATATACAAATTACATACATATCTGTACAATGTCACACTTATGTATATATATATGCGTATATCCACCACTCTCAAGGCTTTGACCCCCAAAACAGGAGACCCTGAAGAGCTTTGGCCTGTCCTCTTTCGGCTTCGGCGGCACCAACACCCACGTTGCGGGCATTGCTGCAGAAAAGCCGGCGGAAACGACAGTGGCCGCGGAGGAGGGAGACATGACATTTTGGGCCACGGAGGATGAGCAAATCCAAGTTGCTGTGGGGAGGTTTTCTATGGTTTTCTGGGTGTTGAAACCACGTCCCTGCAAAACAAAGAGACATATTTGGAGTCCATTCAACCATGGAGAGATGTTGGACTGGAGATATTTCTCTGCGTTTGTAAGATCAGTGGAATATCAAAAGTTATTCTGCGGACGTTTTTTAGGGGAGGCCAACCTTGGTGTCTTATAATTGTCCCGGATACAGGAGAAGATCGTGTTCAACCGCCAGCGTTTCGGATGGTCCCAGACCAAGCATCCTTTGTCCGTGCAGCCACGACGAGGTGAGGGCTTGGGAGGGCAAAAGGATGGAAAAGGCTTTGGTACCCTCTGGTAAACTAACATAATTATGGAAAATCACCATTTTCAATGGGTAAATCCACTACCAGAGGGATCCAGAGGGTAGTTTCAGGTCCCAGAATGGTGTTCTTCATTCCCGGGTTTCGAAATTAGTTTTCTGGGAAAGATGGGTATTGTAGCTGGCGGTGGTCTTGGAATGTTTTAGAATGTTTTCGGTTTAAACGGCACCCACGACATGGAGGAGATTGTGAGTTCATGGAAACCTTCCTCCCCGTGTTTTTTCGGATCTTTGGGTTAGCACCTTTGAAATATGCATTCTGTAGCTCCACCTCTTTAGCTTTCTGCAAGACATGGGTTTGTCCTTTCACCGCGGACAAAATGTTCATTTCCTGTTCCTGTCCTTAAGTTCTTGCCGCACATCCACAGCACCAGGTGAAGCTGGTGTCATGGTCTTTGCCGCGCCCATCAAGGGCAAGGTCTTGCAGCTGTTGTCCCATCACATCATCTATGGTGAGATCGTGGTGCCAGGCGGCCAAGGGCAGATCCTCCTGAGGATGGCGAATTCAGCTTTATGAGACACAAAAAACCCTCTGGATTAATGGGATGCAATGCGATTTTACAATCAACAATGGGGATTCTAAATGATTCTAATTCATTTACCGTCTGGGAATCAACCACGGTAATTGAAAATCCCTTGGTTAGTTCGATGCTCTTCCCAGTTCTATTGCCGTTTAATGCCATTTAGAAACAGGTGATTTCCCAGGCCACGTTTGATGACACCGGCAGGTATAGTGATTTGCAGTGGCATGGTTGGAGTCCACAAAGGTCATGAGTCCAGCATGGGAATTTCCCCGACCTTCTCAGCATCCCGCAACCCACCTTGGCCAGGTGCAACCTACATCGAGATGGTCATCGCGACTTACAGAAGATCTTAGTCATTTTGTATCATTTTCTTCTTTCCAGAAGATCAGTTGCATTATCCCGGTCAGTGGTTTTGCGTTGGTGTTGCGGTGCCACCACCGAGGCGACTTCGGCCTTCAGATTGGACATGGCTGGCAAGAAGTTTGCGCTGGAGAACATTGGCAGCTGGGTGAAACAAAAGGGGTAGAAAGATGAGAAAATGACGGTGAACCAGTGAGGAAAGATGAAAAAAACTAAGTATAAACTATGGATTATATAATTTAGGATAATTAATTTATAATCATCATGTGAGATGACCAAAGATGAAAACATCAACAATATGGGTGTGCCTGAAAATGAAGTGTGATGTTAGCATATTTCACACTCCCAATATTGGCCAGTTTGATATGTAGGGAAAATGATGTAATCACCAGGGGATTTGGAGGTACCCTATTTTCGACAAACCCATATGTTGATGTGGATATGATCTAGAAACGATGGATACCCAACAACACACCCAAATTATAGGCATGGTTTATCGTAATCACCATGTAGTAAGCCACTGGGTTTTGATTGATGGGTTGAGGGTTGCCACTGTGAAAAAAGAGGTCCAGTTGGCTCAGTTTTGGCACCTTTTCAAGATGCCAAAACAGATTGGAATCTCAGAATTTACCCTCTGGTAATTTAATAGTTGATTTTCCCATTAAAAATGTTGAGGGTACAAGAATTTCATGGAAAGGATGTGGGACATGATGTGGGTTTCTTCAGGGGTGTATATCTCGAAGTTGCAATTTTTGGGAAAATGATGCCAGCTAAATCACCACGGGTTCTAAGATATCATCCTATTTTCGAACAAACCCATTCCCATCCTTCACCCAATTTGATGGTGTTTAGTAAAATGGGCCCCTGGTCATTTGGCGCTTTACTTGAGAAATTGCTAAGACATGGCAGGAGTGCATACAAAGTACTGTAGGAGACCGCCACATTACAGCCAATCAGCCAATTTTTATTGCACATGGCCCAATTTAGCGACCCCCCATTTGACCATTTGATTTTGAAGGCCAAGGCCTCCTCCAATTTTTAGACCCCATGGCCTCATGGATTGGCACAGCTAACCTTCAGTTCTTCGAGGTTTCCAGAACCCGCTGGTCTTGCGACCATCCAACGACGATAAGGTGATTGGCATCACCACCTTGCGACCCAGCAGTTTTTTGGGGAGGGTTGAAACATCAACTGGTAAACAAAATACGGGATGAACCTACAAAAGTCATTCAGTTAGTGGATGTTAGTGGTTACTGTGCCTTCTCATGTTGATTTTGGATGATTTTGGATGCCGGACTCTTGGAAACCACCAACCAGTGATGTTCATGGAACAAAGCAGCCAAGCTTTGGGATGCTTTGGGGCAGGTCAACCCAGAGCTGAATCCTGGAGTTGACCTCTACCTGCAGATCCAGGACCACTGAAGCAGCTGAAGCTGTGGTCCGTGAAGCTGGTGAATGGCAAAATATGCCACGTCTATCCAAGTGTCAAGTAAAACGGAGGACAAGCAGTCAGGTCGTGACAGTTTGATTTGGCGGACGCCTATATGAAAATATTTGCTGCCTTGGTTGGCTCCCAAAAAAATCCAGCTGTTGGTCAGAATGTTGGCTCCGTTCCACAGCTCGAGTTTCTGAGCCCTGACAGGAAAACACAGGCAGATGGTCTATGAACAGTGTGGCTTGGTGGAAAAAGAGATGAACGATAAATCCGATGCTCCATTTTAAGCCAACATTCCTCATTCTAATCATTTAGTGGGGAGCCAGTGGGGAGTAATAAGATCATGTTTGGGGCCAATATTCCTTATTCTGCGGTGTGTTGGAAGATCATTTTTGGGGGACCAGAATCATAGCTGGTCGGAGCAGGTCAGCTGCCTGAGGTCGAGCATGGCACCTCAGAGATCATCAACACTCATGCTGAGGGCAGCATCAACTTCCTTGGACCCAAGGCTGAGAACGGTGAGAACGGTGAGAATGGCAGAAGCTCAGACGTTGACCTGGGGGTCTTTGATGGTCTTTGGAGATGTGACAAAACGGTTGGTTGTCTGATTAGCTAATCAAGAAGATCAAACAGATTGCCTCACTATGTCTCACTAATATTTCACTAATAGCTAATGAAGTCTGTTTGATCTCTTTCCCCATTGGAAGATCCTCACATCTATGCCAGGCCACAGCGTCGACGGCAGCCGAGCTGAAACATTTGCCCTTGGAGGAAATCAAGGCAAGATGTCCTGAGGAGGTGGAAGATGCCAGGATGTATGTGTCTTGGCAGAGGGATCATGGTGGATCATGGTGGATCATGGTGGATCATGGCTCCAAAGCCGGTCGATTTTAAGCCACCAAAATGGTCACCAAAATCTACTGATTGTGGTCAAACCTTTAGTACTAACATGTACTAACCATCCCCATTGACCATCATTAGCCCAGATTGTCAGGTCAGTTCTGGCCCCAAAAAACGTGACGCTCCCCGTGAAGGGTGGGAGCGTCCACAAGTTTGACTCATACCTTAGGGATGATAGATGGAATTTTTAGCGGATGTCCATGAAATTCTTTGGGTTGGTCAAATTTGTTACCTGGTGGTTTCAGCTTTTTATGCAATTCTCCGGGATGAAAAAGATGATCCATGATGATCCCAATTGGAGGTGCCAGGGCAATCATGATGATTATGGGTTTTCTGGGATACTGCCATGAATGAAGGCACCTGATAGTACCTTGGTGATCTTGAGTGTGCAACTGATGATTTGGATTCATTTGCATCGACTTGTCCAGATCGTAGAAGGCTGCTACCCCGTTCATGAGCTATAACGTGGTGCCCCAAGTAGTTAGCTAATAATCTAACTATGATTTAACTATGGTGAATTAGGGTCTATGGCAGATGTTGTGGAAATATCTAGCAGGGTATTCTACAGTTTGACTGGTGGAACCAACTTTAGAGGGGACACCAGACCAGGTGCCTTTCGCCAACATTGGCTTGCCATTGCAGCCACGCTTCCGCACAGTGCGCACCATCAAGCGCTCAGAGGATTTGGGGGGGCATCAACAATGGTGGTTTAATGGGAGTTTAATTGGGGTTTCATGATGGTTATACCTGGTACTACATTTGGGGGGAATGAACGAACATCCGTTTACCACCTTTTTTGGTGTTCATCGCGGTATCAGGGTGTTGACTCATAGCCAAATGTCCCACCCATTTTTCCGGGGTACCTAGATATACCGTTGATGGGAACTGCTCAATAGGACCCCAGAAGGCGACACACTTCCTACGCATCACAAGTAGGTTGTATGCTGTACCGGGGCCATAAGTGGTGCCAGTCTAACTAGGCTCGGCCCACTTATAATCCCTTCCACTTCCCCCCAAAACTTGTTTAGCATTGGATCTGTTCATCTGGGGGTCTATGGAGGGCATTTTTCATATGATCGGGGGGATGGGATGTCTTTTTTTTTTTACTCAAATCATTTATCCCATCATATCCCATCATGTTTAACTTGTTGTTGGTTAATCCATGTTAAGAGATGATTGTTAGAATTAACCAACAGGTTAACAGGTTTATCAAGAATACCCGGTTTAATCATCCTATTATGTGAACGTTCATCCATCCGTTTTGATTTTTAAAACCGGGTCGTGGGCTGCCATCCGTAGTATGAACCACCCAGCCCAATGCTGGGGCACCAGGATGAAATCATTGCCTGGGTGGCCGCGCAAGAAGATGGCACCAATGCGGGCTTCGTCTTCGGTGCCGTGGCTGAAATCGTCTCAGATCACTGTGGAAAAAGTCGTGAATATGTGGGGACAATTTTGGATATTTGGGATTTGGGAGATGCCATTTAGATAACTTCAGATATTCAATGGCCATCATGGGGAAAATGATCAAACATGATATTCTGGGCCCTATTTTCAGACAGGGGACAGGAATAGAAAATTGCCACCTTGGGGCCAAGTTCAGGCCACTGCATTGAGGTCCAGCAGTGATTGATGGCTCCTTCCAAGCGAGCTGTGCATTCCAGAACCTCGAGGTGCTAGAACTTTCCAGGAGTTTGGTTGGTACGTAGTCTAATGTGGGATCACTCACCCAGCCGTTTCTGGGGAGATTGCATATCTTTGATGTTAATTATCTCATTTTTGACTTGGATATACCCGAGTGGTTTATGAAGTGCTTACTAAGTGGCTTTGCACATCGATCATCCAAGTACCACGATGCACACAAGAAGATCATCTCCAGATCGGCTGGTTTGCCAAAAAGCTGGCAGAAATGTTCTCAGGCTTCTGCATAATTAGAATTTATGTTGACTTCCCTAGCCGACGGATGGTGACTAGGGTGAATCCTCTCCAAAAAAAGGTCTTAGTCGTGGTACTGGTCGTATACTACAGCCCGAGCGCTGGTTAAGAATCCCAAACCTTGAGGCCCAGGGTACCCACATTCTTATTTTTAAATGCAGGCAAATTTACACCACAATAGGCCGAGGGTCCCTCAAATTCTTACATTCTTAGTTATGTATTGCATGCATCTGCACAATCTGGAGCGAGCTTAAACGAGGTAAGGAGGTGGAGTTGGCAGATTTGAAGCAGTCCAAGCATTCCAAGCATGTGCGAAAAAAAGAAAAAAAACACATTTTTTCGGAGCTTGAAAAATTGTTTTTCCACAAAGCCTCAGTTTTCACCGAACTGGGTAAACAATGTTCCAGGTCCCCACGTCTATCCACATATCGATTTTGTGTGGATTGGAAGCAGTCCAAGCATTTGCGCAAAAACAATTTTTCGGAGCTTGAAAAAATGTTTTTCTGCAGAGCCCGATTTCATCCCATAAGACCATAAGGGGTCACTCCACGCAGAAAAATGAACTGCAAAGGGGGATTGCAAACCTCACGTTTAAGCAGTAATTTAAGAATTTGGCAATCCTATTCCAGGGTCCCTCAAATTCTTAAAGTCCAATGTGTTAGGTATAGCTGAAAATATGTAGCCCGCCTTGGATTCGAGCCCCTCAAATTCTTATACAGTGAATTCTTGTACAAGACTCAAGCTGTATGAATTATCCAGATGCCTGGAGGTGGAGAAAGGCCAGGAATTGGATTTGTGGTTCCACCTGTTAGATTTCGGGACAGTGAAACTTCAAGAAACCTTTGAAATTCCTAAGACGCATCAACAAACTTGGTACTAGAACCCCTCTATGACATAGTGTCCATTTAAAGACCTTGATGTTCCATGAAGCATCATGAAACTTTTGAACTTCAGCTATTTTAAGCTATAATCTAAGAATTGCCAGAAAAAAAAAAAAACATCCAAAATCATCAGAAAAAACACATCAACTATCATCAGATCCTCGTGAAGCAGGTGTCTTCAGTTCTCCTCATCCGGCCAGGCCTTGCCCAGCTTGAGAATTCCCCTGTCCATCGATCGTGTGCAGATCTTGGGGCAAGGCTTCTCACCCAAGGCCTAAGGATTGGGGATCCGGGTGCAATTTTTTCTGGGTATATATAGAGATTTCCTCAGCAAAAATCTGGGGTTTTAACCATCATTTTTTGGGGTTTTAACATGTTTTAGCCATCGGAGTGACCATCAAACATTGGTAAACATGGGGGCAGGATAGAATATCATCCAGAATCATGCAAGCACGGGCCACCAACATCAAGAGTTTGGATACTGATCACAACAAATATCGGTGGTAACAAATGAATATCCAGGAGCACCACACCATATGTTTGTTCAGCAGAGGGCATAACGTTTTGTGAGGTGCCATGCCAACATTTGGCTAGTACCCGATGGGAGGGAAAACGACAGAAAGATTGGTGATGCAGGGAAGGGAAACCGTCATAGCCATGACTGTTTGTGGCATGATCAGCCTCAATGTTGGCCAACCCAGACTGCTTTTGCCTCTGCATTTTGGAATTTTCAGCACCTTGGGCCCGGGACCTTTTTTTCGCACCATGGAAACCTCGGCGTTTTTTGGGTTTTATTTCTGGATCAGTGGGGTGGTGGGTATTCGGGAGGGGAACCAACTAATGTTAGAGAAACCCACCAGGAAACCAGCACAAATTTGACCAGAAATGGGTTGGTTTTTGACCAAAGTTGGATTACCAAAACTGGACTCACTGCGGGCCGCCCGACGATTTTCATCGGCAGGTGTGGGTGCACCACGTTCTTCTTGACAATGGTGAAAAGCAAATGGTCCAGGGCTTAGTCACGGTGGTGTGCCAGCGAATTGAAACCAATTTTCTGTGTGTGACTTTTGGAGCATTACTTGGCAGTGAATCTGACACTTACCGTAGACAGGAAAAAATCTGAATTTCAGAAGATTGCCAACCAATCCCCACCACAGGGAGAGCTGTTGTGATTCACATACCATATGGCATGGTGGGTATGGCGGTGGGTTTCACACGGTATGACCCAACGGGAAACGTGTTCAACCACACCGACTCCTCTTTTTGCATGGGTCCTTGTAGTCATTTTGATTCATTTTGTATGATGGTTGCTGCTTCCAAGATACTGTGTTAGTTTGTCAAGACTTTAAAAAACATTTAAACATCACACCATCCAATTTGATCAGCAGTGTTGAAATATGTTGAAACAACCGGAACTGATGATTCTTTTTGTTTGCTTCTTTTTTGAGAAGGGTATCCCAAGAAACTATGTAACCAATGGGTTGAAACCACCAGCCGGAAAACACGTTGACCCCATCCGTTGCCTCGGCCGCACCAAGGAAACCAACGTACAGCTGGCAAGAGATGACTTGACTGTGGTGATGACCATGGCCTCTGGGATCGTTAAGATTGATGTGGAGCTATCCTATGGGTGTTTTGGAAAAATGGGGTATATCATATCCTTATATCCTTCAGTTATGGCCATTTAATTTCATAGGGGCAATTCTCATAAACCATGAATTTTGGGGTAGCCTATTCTCAGACCAAACCATATTTCAAGGTTAAACAAGCTATTAGGTAGGACAATGGGCCATGTTTTTTGTCATGTTCAAAGTGGAGGAACAAATAGTTGCTATGTTTAAAAAGAATAAAGGATGTTTGAGATTAGCCACATATATATAATTATATATAATTATTGTCTTTACTGCATTATTAGTTCTTGGATCAAAGTATTGTCCCAAAAGGCAGCTGTGGTTGACCATCAAGAGAGATGCTTGTTTTCTTTCACTGTTCTGCTGATCTTAAGGACCGCATGCGCTTGCGGGAAGTCCGACCTGAACACATTGCAACTTGTCAGGATGGTTTGAGATGGGGTTGTCAATGAAATCCACTCATGTGGATTTGTTCAATGATGGGATATACCGGTGTTTAAATCCAGCTTGCAGCCAGATGTATTGCAGCTTATTGCATTACCAAGGACATGCTCCATCCAATTCATTCCGTAATCCATTGTGGTCCGAGGGCCCTTGAGCCATGTCTAAACAGACATCGGCTGACGCATCGAGGTAGAGAGAAAACACGTGTGGCGCTGACCGCGCATTCCCCTTGTGTTTCAACATGGTAGCGGAGCTGTAAGCTCCTTGGCCTCCGCGCTGTGAAACCGCAGGAAGTGCTTCACTGCACTCTGGGTTTGGTGGCACCATCCTTTGGTGCAACAACAATCGAACAGTCCCGTTCAGTGCAAACTTTGGGCCTTCGAGATGGACAGCAGAGATCCATTTCGAGATCTACAGTTTGATGGAAGGCCAGGTCAGTACCGAGAGTTCAGGCGCAAAGTCATTCTGTCGGTAGCTGCCCTGGAGGATAAGAATCAGCACTTAGCAGGGCCCAAACTATTGGCCCGACTTTCTGGTGAAGCTTGGAGGTGCACAGAGCACTTATCAATAGCTGATGTGCGATCAAAACGTGGATGGCTTACAGTTTTGGAGTGTTTGGATAAACATTACAAACATTTGCCTGAGGTTGAGTTGCACGAGGCCATTGATGAATTCCTTTTTCATCTGAAGAAACGTCATGGTGAGGGAACTACTGCTTTTGCTGCAAGGTTCAAAACAGCCTTGTCTAGGTTGGAGAATTTGATTCAACAGGAACGTGAAGCTGCCAGGACGAAACGTCGCCGCAAGGGTGATGGAGGTAGGCTCAAGCCTGCGTCGCCTGTTGATAGCTCACTGGAAGAATCTGATTCTGCTGCAGACCCACCGCCGTCCGAAGGCGCTGCTGGTCAAACCGATGATACAGATGAGGGTGTTGAGAAAGAACAGAAAGAGACTGCAAGAACATCCCATGCTGCTGCATCTGGTGCCGCAACTCCCAAAGCTGCTCCAGAGCCTAGTCCAGCCGGACCTGAGAGACAGACCACCCCTGGTAGAACTGAGTTTTCAGCCCGATCGAAAGCTGGTTCAGAAGGAGGTTCACACAAGTCATCCAAGAAGTCAACTGGAACTCATGCCGGTGACACTAGCCGTGCTCAGCTGGAGATGCAACGCATGTTAGGCACTTTGGAGCCATCACACCGAAAGCCGAAGCCGATTTTTCCACAGTCAGTTTTGGGCCACCTTTTCATGCGAAAGTTTGGACTGAATCGTGAGCAGAGAACTTTGGTTATCCGCTCAACAGGTGAAAGCTCTCGTTTCCTGGACGTGGAGAGGATCCTTCGAGCATCTGATTTGGAGGATAATCGGTATGATGACAAAAAGCCCCAAAAGTTGCAATTGCGTCCCCAAAAACAAGTTTATGCAGTTCAAGATGATCCCAATGATGATAGCTCTTCCTTAGAAGCTCCCCTGACTGAATCTGGTAGCGATGACAATGAGGTTTTAGCAGGTGAGCATGAACAACAATCAAGTGATGATGAGTTGGCCGAAATCTATGATATTCAGAAAAAGGCCAAGAAGGATTTCAAGAAGAGTTTTCGATCATACAAAGATTCCAAACGTAAGGTCAAAGAAATCAAGAAGGCTAGAGCTGGTCCTTCCTCATACTACCCTGTCGTTGCCATGCCTCCTGACAACGTTTCAGCCAGTGGGAGCCAGCAGCCGACGGTCAAGCCTTTCAAGTATGACCGCAAGGACTCCAACAAGAAGAAAGGAGATGGGAGGGGATCGAAACCACCTCGTAAGGAGGAAGCCAATTTGACCCAGTCTGAGTTTATTGAAAATTTCAGCTACATGGTTGAAGAATGTCATGCAATTTCAGTGGATTCACAACTCGACGAACTGGATATTTATTTGGCATCGATTCCACAAGGTTTTGCAATTGTTGACACTGGTTGTACAACTTCGGTTATTGGTGAACAAACTGCGGCCACCCTATCGACATTTCTACAACAACATGGTTATCCTGCTCCTCAAGAAGTAGCTCTGCCAGCTGTAGAATTGAAGGGTTTCAATGGCAAGTCCGAGCAGACCACCAAGGGTCTTCGATGGACAGTTTGTCTTGGGAAGTTGCAAGGTAATATTACAACCTATGTGGTCCCTGGCATGACCCCCTTCTTACTTTCACGCCGCGTCCTTGAAGGTATGGAAGCTGTACTTGACCTTCACCATCGCACCATCACCAGCAAGAAGCATGGCATGGACCAGGTGCCATTGCGACAGGCCTCCCACGGCCATTTCCTGCTGCCCTTGTGTGCCATTGATGGTGAACTTGAGATAGCCCAATGTGAAGATACCAATGAGCCCAATCAAGATGATCCGCCTCCGGCCAACCATTCGGCCGATGAAGCTGAGGTTCCATGCAATTTGCCATGCAAGGACAAGCCGTCCAGAACTAGGTCTCAGCCAGTTAAAATAACTCCCTTAGATCAAAAGCGGGCTTTCCAAACAGTTGTGAAGAATACCAAAAATGGGGTAATAGACCTTAAGACCCATAGTAAAGCCTTAGAAATAATCTTTGGGGTAAGTAAAGAGCCAATTGTTCATGCAGCCGTTGCCTATCGACCCAAAAAGGAACGTGTTCCCCCTGGTGCTGACAAACAGGAATTTCAGTGTTCTGTAGCATCCCTGGAATTATGTGGAAAGTTTGCCATCTCGCCCTGGAGGAACCGGACGGCATCTATAGATCGCCGACCTGTGACTGCAATGAACACAGCCATCTTTGCCTTTCGATTGCCTGAGCCCAGTTCCGATGTTTCAAATGCATGCCAAGAACCGACAGAGCCATCATGTTACTGCTGTAGCACTTGTGATTCCAGTCCCATCCAGCCTGAATGTCATGGTCTTGATGTTGAAGAACTATATAATGAAAATATGGATTGGGTAGATCTGGATCCCAAGCAAGAAGTTCCTAAGAAATCCCAAGAAATGCTAATGCGTAGCATCCAGTCAATGAGAAAAGCCAGCAGCCGCATGGTCCTGTCACGCATGGCCTCACAGCCAAATCAAGTGAAATCTGAGCTGAGGAAATGGTTGGGGTCCCAAGCATATAAGTTGGATAAGAAAGTAGGACTTGTCGAAGTGTTCACAGGTCAAGCTCCACTGTCGGACATGTTTGAGAAAACCACCGGATCCCAAGCCATTCGCCTGGGTCTTGACTACGGTCAGGACTTTACCAAATTGCATGATCGCCGTTGTTTGCTTTTGCTGATCGCTTGGTGCAGACCAGACCACCTCTGGTTCAGTTTCCCGTGCAAATACTGGGGCCAATGGACACATCTCAATATGGCCAAAGAAGAAAGCACTAGACAAATGATTGTCGAACAGCAGAATATCGCCAGAAGATACCTGCACAATGTGTCCGAAGCCTGGCATTTGCAATGCCTTTTGGGCGGCCAAGCTCATGCAGAAAATCCTTTGTCTTCTCTGGCGTGGGCCGAGTTGTCACTGGAGAATGCCTTGGAGGTCAGAATAGACCAATGTGCCTTAGGCTTGCGATCACCAAAGACTGACCAGCCTGTCCTCAAGCCGACACGAATTGTAACTTCGATGTCAGACCTGGCATCTGGACTTTTGAAATTTCGTTGTGACGGCAGGCATGAACATGCACACCTGGAAGGTAAGTTCAAGGGATATAACTTGACTAGTTGGGCTGAAACTTACCCCAAAAAGTTGTGTCGCATCATGGTAGGTCTCATGTCCCAGCAAGCTCCAGTTTCCAAGCATAAGCATATAGAAGACATTCTTGCCGAAGAACATGATGAACTGGAAGAACTTGATCAACCACAAGAACAAGTTGGCCAAGATTCAGAGGGCGCTGTTGCTGTTCCAGGTGATGACTTAGAAATGAAACGTGCCCGAGCACTTGTCCATAAGGTTCATGTTAATACCGGTCATTCATCCCCAGAACTCATGACCAGGCTTGCATTGCGTTGTCAGTCTTCCCAAGCAATCCGGCGTGCTATCAAAGAATTTCGATGTTCAGTTTGTGATGAACTGAAACCTCCGCCCAGCCGTCGTAAAGCCACGATAGCCCACACAGAAAGCCCCAACGAAGTCGTTGGTGTAGACTATGTTCAAGTTGAACTCACTCGAGAAGATCAACGTGGTCAGAACCGTACTGTGATTTGTAACGTGCTGACCTGTGTGGACTTGGCCACCGATTTTTGCCAGCAGATAGTTGTACAGCCTGGACCGCATGGACTGTCAAAAGCCTTTCATCAGGTTTGGAGTAGGCCTTTCGGAGTTCCCAAAACTGTCTATATGGATCCCGATCATAGGACTATTTCCCATGACTTCCAACGATATATGGTTAGGCATAATATCCAACTTCTTCATGCTGCAGCCGAAGCACACTGGCAATTAGGCAAGGTTGAGGTAGCAAACAGAGTTTTGAGATCCATGGCACAACATGTTTGGCGTTCAGGTGTTGATGCATCCCCTGAAGAAGTCATTGAAACTTGTGCCGGAATCCGGAACGAGCAGTTGCGAAAGCATGGCTTTTCGCCAGTCCAATGGTTCTTAGGCCGTGAGCCACGTCATGCCGGATCTTTGGCAGACGTTGAAGAGCAGCTGAACCCAGCAACTCAATCCCAGATCTTAGATGATCCAACCTTTGCAGCCAAGGTCCGTTTGAGAGACCAAGCAGCCAAGGCATTCCTTGATGAACATGCTAAAGATACATGGCGCCGTGCAGTTGCAGGCCGCAATAGGCCCATGAGAGGTCCTTTTGTTCAAGGTCAGTTGGTGTACATGTTTCGTAGGCAAGGAAAAGGAACAGCCAGAGGCATGTTGGTCACGAGGCAAGGTGCATGGTTGGGTCCTGGCCGAATCATAGGAACTGAAAGTTCTCGCGACAGTGTGATTCCTCGTTTGATTTGGGTGTCTTACAATGGGTTCTTATACCGCTGTGCTCCTGAAGGTCTTAGACCAATGCCTGAAGACGAAACCGTTTTCAGAAAGCTTTCCAAATCCCTGGCAGTTGGCAAGTTGTCGCCTGAGATGGAGCAAGCCGAAAGTCACTTGCGCCACAATGCAGGTCAGTTTATCGACCTTGTTCCCAGTATCCCTCAAGATGATGATTTTGAGCTCAAAGAAGACATGGATGTAGAACCAGATGCCCCTGATCCACACTCAGAGGGCGGTCCTAGGAAAGTAAGACGTAGGTTCTATCGCTCACCAGAGTATTGGGAACAGCGTGCAGCCGGCATGCCACCTGCAGGTGCTCTCCAGGAGGGTCCAAGACCTGAAACGGTTCACTTAGCTCCTGATGATGATCTCATGTCAGAACCAATTGATGAGCCTGAAGAAAAACGTAGGAGGGTTGCCATCAATAGTGATGTTGATGAACATGAATATGAACCTGAATCCCCACTACGTGAACCAGTAGCTGATGAACCCCAAATAGACCAACCGCAAATAAATCCAGATGATTCCAATCTTTTGCCCGAAGCAGCAGGCACTGTGCCAGCCGATAGTGCCGAACCCACTGATGTTCCCATGATTGAGCAACATGCAGAAGCCAATGAAAGAGCAGTGAACACTCAGGTTCCTGATGATGGTGACGAATTGCAAGTCACTGCGCAGCCGTCAGCACCAAGTGCAGATCGGAAAACACAGCGAGCCGAGCAAGTCTTTGAGGTCTCCATGGATGTTTTAGCAACTGACATAACATCCGACCCCTTGTGTCTTTGGGAAGTTTTAGATGAATGTTTTGAAGTAACCCCCAAAGCTAAGCAGCGTAAAGTAGAAGTGTCTTTCCGAAACCTGAGTCCTCATGAAAAGAAATTGTTTGAAGGTGCTATGCAAAAAGAATGGAATTCATGGATTGAAAACCGTGTCACATCCCTGTGCAAAAGCAAAGGTGTTTCCACTGATAGGATCATTCGAGCACGTTGGGTACTTACTTGGAAAAAGAGTAGTGACCCAGATGATCGAAACAAGACCCCGAAGGCACGCCTTGTGCTTGTAGGATGGCAGGATCCCGAATTGGGCCGTATCCAAACTGATAGCCCGACCCTTCGAAAAGAAACCAAGCACATGATCTTGTCCATCTGTGCCAGCCGCAAATGGCGCATATGGGGCGCAGACATAAAAACAGCCTTTTTGTCTGGTGATCCTTCACAACGTAATATCTATTTCAGACCCCCTTCGGAAATCAAAACTTGGATGAACCTCTCAAATGATGACCTGTTCAGATTGGAGAAGGCCGCTTACGGCTTAGCCGAAGCTCCCCGTGCCTGGTACCTTAGACTGACCCGGGAATTAAGTGAGGTAGGACTCCATGCGTCAAAATTGGACCCTTGTCTTTACACCTTAAGGAAAAATGGGAAATTGGTGGGACTTTGTGGTATTCATGTTGATGATTTGATTGGGGCGGGTACCAAAGAAATGGATGAAGTTCTTGATCGTTTGAAAAAGAAGCTTCCGTTTGAGGACTATAGGACTCATACCATACGGTATACAGGGATTGAAATAAGACAAAATCCAAAGACATTTGCTATCGAGGTAGGACAAGAAGCATACATAGATGCCTTGGAACAGATTCCCACAAAAACCATGGGTAATGCCTCCACTCCTATCAAAGACCCAACTCTGATGAGGACATGTGCCGGTCAGCTGGCATGGGTAGCAAATGCAACCAGACCTGATCAAGCGTTCTTAGCATCCTTTTTGCAAGGAATCCAAGATAAGGGAAACGTGAGTCACATCCAGTTGTTCAACAAAGCTGTTCGTGAAATGAAGCAGCGCAAAGTGTGCCTTCACTTTCCACCAGGTATAGAACTTGAAAACATACGGATCCTTTGCATTTCAGATGCAGGTTGGGGTACACGTGCCAACGGCGAAAGCCAGGGAGGCTATTTACTTTGCCTCACTGTTCCCCAAATGCTGGAGCGCAAGAGAGCGGTCTGCTGGTTGATAGATTGGCAGAGCAAGAAACTCCGCCGTGTCGTGAGATCTTCGGTGGCAGCTGAGACTTTGGCAGGGCAAAATGGTTTAGATGGAATCGAGGCATTCCAGGCCTTGTGGGATGAAACCTTGTTTGGCACCTCCCCCAAAGAATTCCGTAACAAAATTCCTATCCATCCTGCTGCACTTGTTTTAGATAGCAAGGGTTTCTTTGATGCTGTGACTAGAAGTTGCTGCAGCCAAGCCATCAGCCAAGAACGTAGATTGCAGATAGATTACTCGATTGCCAAGGAGACCACCCAAAAACAAAATATCTTGGTGTTCTGGGTAAATAATCTGAGAATGAGCGCTGACTGTTTGACCAAACTCAAAGGAGACACCGCTCCATTGTTTGAGATCTTGGAAAATGGAACTTATGAAATAACGATCTGTTCCCAGTCGGGGAAGAAACAGAAACAGTCAGAACAGAATGCACAGTCGCCACAGGAAGATGCCTAAATGTGGGGCCAAACAACATGCAGTTTTTCCTGAAATCACCACTTTTGTGCAGTGTTTAGCAGTTTGCCGTTCAGTTGCATCCCATGAACATGTCACGCCCAGCAAAGCTGTCCGCCGTGCCATCTAAGTCATAAATAAATATGTATAGATAAGTGGGATAAACTGGGGTAAATAAGGTGATTTAATCAATAAATAGATGTGCCTGTCCGAGCCTTGCATAGACCAACTCTTCGAAGCATGGAGTTGCCGGCATGTGTTTGACTGTGCCCGTTTTGCAATCTCAAGCTGTTAGATGCGCAGCAGGTTTTTCCAAGGGTGAAAGAGTTTTGAGATCAGCCTCCATGGCCTCGTCGCAGCAAGGTGCTCGCAATATGCGCCAGAAGTCAGTGGATGACCAGCCATTGACCGATAGCGAAGTTCGCATGACCACCGGTTTGCTGTACCGTGCAGTATGCCATGGCCAAGCCCAAGCAGTGATTCAGACTTATCGTGCCTCTGTGATTCCGAAGCGTTTCCAGGTGGGAGCCGTGAGCCTCATGAACGATGTGCAGATGTTCACTGGTTTGGCCAATTGTGCGAAGGAGATCCATGCCACTCAGTCAGCCCAGCTGCAGACTGTGTCAGGTGAGTCAATGACAGATGCCGCAAAGCGTCGCCTTGACCCTGAGTCCCCGCATTCCTTGACGGAATCAGTGTGGGAGGAACTGGCCGCTTCAAATGCAGAGTCTCCGCCGATGCACTACAAGATCAGCTCGGGGTACCCAGTGCCTATGCCAGGTTATGGCGATTTTCCTCCATCCAATGAGGTGTCCTATGTCAATTACAAGATCAAGATTCCTGAGGAGGGCATGACGTTTGAGCAATGGGGTCATACCATTTGTATCATGGACAAGGTGAAAGCCTTGGAGTTGAACTACGTTGGCCTCATCAAGTATGCCAAGCACGATTCCGAGATCGAGCGCTACCTTGGGTGGATTGTGAACACCTATGGATCGAAGGGTACTGGCCAGGTCAAGGGAAAGATCACCCGTGCAGTCGACCTTGCTTTGTTTTTAGAAGCTTCTGGTTGGCGTGCGGCGAGCCCATCCCAATCGTCTCAGGTGGCATTCACCAGGACATTGAAAGGCTGAGAAATTTGAAAGAAAAAGGATTCAATGTTGGAAGTTCGCATGGAGGGCGTGTTTAAATCCAGCTTGCAGCCAGATGTATTGCAGCTTATTGCATTACCAAGGACATGCTCCATCCAATTCATTCCGTAATCCATTGTGGTCCGAGGGCCCTTGAGCCATGTCTAAACAGACATCGGCTGACGCATCGAGGTAGAGAGAAAACACGTGTGGCGCTGACCGCGCATTCCCCTTGTGTTTCAACAATGGGGTATACCGGTATACCCCCAAATGGAACATTTAAGGGAAAACATGACAATTTTGTATAATTTTCATATGTTGACTCTATTTTCAGACAAACACGTGTGTCGTTTAGCAAACCATAACAAACTACACTCGATGCTTTCAAGGAGTAGGCGCTTACTTGTTGTGGTTTCCCCCAACCTCGTGGCTGGACAGCCATTCTGAAAAAAATGGAACAAAAGAGCCGCGAAATGCTGGTTGTCCGATGACATATATATTTTGTTTTGTCATCTTTTATTCTTGCATACGGTACGTGGAATAATGATTCCTCAGCACATTCCGAAGCAGATTGATTCAATGGATTGGTTTCTTTTGGAAAATCCAAACCGGAAACCCGCCAAGGCGGTTTACCTTCAAATTTATCATGGTTTCAATTGTCAATCGCAAATATTCCCTTACACCAACGCAGGGATATGAATGACCAACATGAAACCATGTTCCCCTTACCCTCTGGTAAACTAAATTAAACTAGCTATTGAAAATGGCGATAGAAATAATTAGTTTTTTTACCTATTAAAAATGGTGATTTTCCATAGTTATGTTAGTTTACCAGAGGGTAAATGATGCATTCCCCATTGGGAAAATATTTCACCAATTCTATACCTTCCAAGGCCAAGATGCTTGCAGCAAGCGCTGGTGATGCAGACGAGGACCAGCTGATTAGCCGTTGATGACTTGCTTTAGATTTCATAAACTGAGAGATCCAAAGTGAATCGCAATGAGAAATAAAGAGATCATGTGCTTTCCGTCATTGATTGTAACTAACTGATATTAACTGTAACTGGACATGGTGATTTCGTTAATCTCAATTATCACCAGTATAAACCCCAATTTTTGATGGTAAAATCCCATCAACTGATGATGTACCGAATGAACAACCAACGGGGTTTCGCTTAAAATTGGGGCACCCCAACACCCCAACAGTTTTCGCCAGCGGAAGCGACAGATCCAGCCAGTGGCTCATGAGTGAAGAAGACACCATTTCCAGCTCATGTTGTTAGGAAATTCGCTGCAAAGGGCACGCTTTACATTTTGCAAAGTAAAGCCTAGAACCGATTGTGGATCTGCGTTGCTGACCCAAGTGTCTCAACCACCAGAGTTTACCAGAGTTTGTTCATGTTTATTCCCATTTTTCTCCTAGTGAACATTCCCATGTTCATTAGTTTAGGATGTTACCCTCTGGTAAACTAACATCACTATAGAAAGATCCACCATTTTGAATAGGTAAATCAACTATAAATGGGGTATTTTCAATAGCTATGTTAGTCATTACCAGAGGGTAAACTCCATTCAAACGTCCCCATGCCTTCCAGCGGTAGGACTTGCTGGAAGTTGCGTGGGTCCCCATGGAGAAGCCTTCGAAGTCAGCAGCCGTGCCCAAGGCTTGTCCCCATTTCCGTTTTGGATCTTGTTCTGGGACCAAAACTTGGGGTTTTCATAAATGGGGGTACCCCCAAATGGATGGTTTAAATGGTATAGCGGACAATCCCATTAAAATGATTTAAAATGGATGATTTGGGGATACCCCCATTTTAGGAAACCTCCAACTGTCTAATGGAATCTAATCAACAAACATTGAGCTTCATCCTGTCATCCAACAGAAAAGGAGATGTGAGTTAACCGACAAGAGTGCGGGTTGATTCAGTGAGAATGGTGGCAAACAGCAGGGTGGCAATCAGGAAGTATTTGAGATATTCATAGAATTTCCACATGCTCCATGTAAATATGGTAATTGCACTGATGTATATTGTTATATTATGTTATATTTAGCTTTCTTTGGGCTGCTTTCAAAATGAACTTGGTAGCTCTCGCCTGCATGGAGTAGTCGGGAGTCGGGTATCACCATGGACCTGGTTGGTTGATGATAACCAGAATTCGGCTGGTAGATGACGGCTGGTATACCAGGGTTACCCGAAGCCATGTTTCCTGAAATGCAGGAGCCGCTATCGGATCAGTCCACATGCACAAAGATCGTTGTACCCTCTGGTAAACTAACATAACTATGGAAAATCACCATTTTTAATGGGAAAACTCACTATAAATGGCCATTTTCAATAGCTATGTTAGTTTACCAGAGGGTATATCATGGTATATCGGCATATCCAAAAGTGTTTCGATGTTTTTGTCTCAATATTTGGCTGCATTTGGGAATGAACATCCAAAAATAACCAGCTCCATGCAAGTTTTATCCAAGTTTTCCCGTGCTTGGTGTTTCATAAGCCATGACAACCTATAATAATATGTCATAAGCCATCATTAACATAGCAAAGTTTGGTGTTTCATCTTGGGTGTCTCCAGAGTTTGAACCCCTTCCATCGCATGGTGGTCGTTTTCGTCCCAGGCTCCACTGTTTGTTGCTGCGGGTGCCCTGAGTGACGCCTTGCAAGCGGAGTTCCCTGATGCCACCTTTGTGGACGGAACCAAGGACTTCATAAAGCTTGGGGATTAAGTGCTTAAATGCGGAGTTAAGCAGAAAAAATGGTGGATTGGTGGGAGAATGGTACAATCATGAACTGAGGTAAACCAATGAGAAACCATCCCGTAAACTTACAAACTGTTTGTATATTATTTGGGATGATGTCTGGTCATGACCATAGGCGACCGTAGGCAATTTCTGAGCCACACCTGTCTACCCTTGCCGTAGCCAAGTTTCACTCCCACATCGTGATCATGCCAGCATGGCAGTTGTGCGTGTTTTCGCCATAGGAGGCATTGACTTCCACGATGAAAGATCCACATGGCGCCATCATCTACGTGGCCGCCCTCTCGGAAGACTGTCCCGAGATGGAGGCCGGGGTCATTGAAGGGGATCAGTGGTAGAACTTGCTTTGGTGATGTTGGGAAAACCCAGAAGCTGATATCACCAAAGAAATTTGCAGTCAAGGATTGGCAATCAAGCAACTTTCCAATGAGCTGTCAGGCGGGGTTGGATTGGACCGAAAGCTTTTCTACATTTTTCTACCCCGCATGTGACTCCTGTGGCACGATCCATGAGGTCTTACAATCGGCGTTGCTGACCGCACAAGTGGCCATGCAGATGTCTTCGCAGCGACTTGCTGTGCCACCCATTTGGTGGGTGACAAAAGGAACCCAGGAGCGATGGTTCACCCGCCTTGGTTGCTTCCCTGTGTTGCAACCATGGATGTGTGAGGTTGTGTTGCAGTAACTATGAACTTAAGCTTTGTTCTGTAAGACTTTCTACCACGGATGGCTCGAAGAAAAAGATGCTTGGAGAAAATCCCTGACAATAGAGGCCTCTGTTGATCGATGCAACAATTCGTTCGACTATCAGATTCTACTTCGTGGAGAACTAGATCCACGATTCTTTCTGTGGAAGTGTGGCCGAGAGTCTCAATGTTAACCCTGTAGGGCTCTGAAGAATTCACCTTGACATTCAGATTTGGGCCGTTTGATTTTGCATTGATCCCCAAAAAGATTAAACAGGAAATCACCCTCAACATGTCTCAAGACAGTACGAACTTGAATAACTGTTCTATCTTTTCAGGAAATCCATCCATTTTTGGGGGTACCCCGTCTTTTCGATCCTGTAATCCATACCCATATTCACGACCCATCATCCGCCATTTCCAGAATGTTGTTTTAGGGGGCAAATCTGCAACCCCCAACAAATTTGATGGTACAAGACCCATCATTTTTCCAGACCCACGTATTCCACCTGGTGGCACAAATCATGAACTTGACACATTTAGATCGATCCAGTGGATGTCATATCTGAAATTCCAATTGCTTAAATCATGAAGGAAAATGACGAAACACCTCATGAATCATTCATTTTTGCACCGAAACCATCAATCTCCATGGTGCCATTGAAATTACTCTGGCACCAGTGGTACCGCGTCGCCAGGACAAGGTCACACGCAGCTACGTCCACGGCGGCTTGTGGGGCCTGGCACGCACCTTCCGCATGGAAGAGCGCAATGTGTCTCTCAGGTCGGAACCTTTGGGATGACTGGGATGATGGAAACCTGGTGGCTTTGTCTGAAAATCGCCATCAATGGGCCGCCATCCCATAGAATGAAAATATAACGTGATATAACATGATATATACAATGGGAATATATGACTATGATATAATCAGCAATGTGATCTGTTTTTTGTCTGGATTGGGAAAGCTCCAAAAATTGATGCTTTCAAACCTCATCTTCCATATTAAAATTGCAATTTGGGAGTAGATAATCCATTTTCACACGCACCCGTGTTGGAACTAGTGACCCAAAAAGATAGAAAAGTAGATTACCCCTACTTCGGTGGGGGTTTAGCGACGGAAAGTGTTTTGGAGGTCCCAATTTCTTGTTTTGGGGTCTCAGCCCTGGAGAGTTGGTTCCCCACAGCTGCAGCAGGTGTTTGGACCTGGACGATACCTCCAACTCCACTTCTGAAGCCTTGGCTGCGGAGCTGAAACGCTGGCTGCAGCAGCTGCAGAACAGCGAGGCGGGGTCGAGCTCGCCCCCCGTGGCTGGTTGGTTTACAAGCAGTTTGGCCATGGCTCACTCCCCTCCCCGGGACAAGCTCGACATGTCCTGTTTCATGCCAAGCTCCCTGCCAAGCTAGCTTTCGTCCCTTACCCCTAGGCCTCAAGTTGATTTGGCCATCAATTTGACTATACGACGATACATGTGTTGATTGGTTCTACCGATATGCGGATATGCGTGTCGCTTATATAAACTCATATAAATGGGCTGACATCTTAAGGTTTATTGCTTGTGTCCCCAGATGGAAGTGGAATGATTCCCGAGTGTGAGTGGTCATTACTGTATATAGTTTGCGGGATGCGGATGATCGGAGACTTTAGGCGAAGCATGACGAAACATTACGAAACATTACGAAACATTGAAGCATGGCTGGTATATATAATAGGTTTCCTGAGGCTTCCTAAAGATTAAGCACAACCTCATGATCTTTGGCCTGATGAAGAGAAAATCTGGAAACCATGAGTTATGTCCCATAAAATGTAGGTACTTCCTGCAAAGTTTCGCCTAAACCAATTCTAGGCTTCTAAAAGTAAACCATATTTTCAAAGGATTCCCCTTATATAAATGGTGGGCTTCCCATTGGGAAAAATAAGAATATCCTCATGTGAATCCCGATCCCCAGTACTGGTTTGAGGAAAATTTGCAGGAGCCCTATATTTGAGAGGGTAAAGCCAGGGTTGTTTTTAAACAAAATAACAACAAAGCTTACCAATCCATTGATTACCCTCTAGTAAACTAAAATAGCAATGGAAAACCATCATGTTTGATAGGTAAATCTACTATAAGTGGGCCAATTTCCATAGCAAACCCTTAGTTCACTGGGTATTTGATCCAACCATTGCATCCCCATGATCCCCGGCTCTCCGGCCAGGTTGAAACGGAAGTGGCCATCGCCGACGACAGCTGCATGGTCTCACGCCTCTCGCGGGCTGAAGCCTTGCCATTGAAGGCGGGCGAGTTGCTGATGTCTTCCCGCGCCTGGGCCAGAAACCTGTAGATTTCACCCATCAACAGCAAAAATGTGGGATTTTTCACCAGAAAAACCACCTGATTTCGGCAAAAAATGGCATTGAATCATCAACCATGTGGATTTCGTCATCGGGAGTTGACCACTTTGGCTCAGCGCCATGGGATGAGAAAGTCAATGATGGGCCCCGCAGCCACAGATTGTGAGGGGGTTCACAACCAGTGATTTTGCTTGTGTTACTGTGGATGGTTGCGAATTCCTGCACCAGTTAATAGATGTGTATCCCATTATTTATAGGGCTTCAACCATCCAAGGTGATGCAGGATTTCTTCCATCCACAGTAGTATTTGATTGCGACATTCAATTCTTGCCGGACTATCGCAGCTAGTGAATTTACTTGTTTTCTGCTCTAACTTTTGCCGTACATCGGTGGTTATTCCAGTGATTCCTTTACGTTGATATCTACTGGTAGCAGATATCCCTGATGTCTTTCTTGTCCCAATCTTTCTTGTTCCTCAACTTCCAATGATTGTTTGAGTTCAAGCCCTATGTTTGTTAATTGAGACCGCCCATTGCATGTGATCATACAAATCAATCTGCAATCCATTTTTGGCAATAGTATATATTCCAACCTGTTGGGGTCTCAGAACCATCCACTGGTTTCAGTTTCCCAAGGGTCATTCCTACAGCTAAGGTGGAAGCCTCTCCAACTTGAGGTCGGCGTTGAGTCAGGGTTTTGACCTGCTGATGGGGGAATATCAACCAACCAGACATAGGCTAGCGATTTGGGGTTGGTTTCAAACGCAAGAGAATTTGAACATATCCACAATAGAGATTCACTACATCCCATGATGGATATCATGTAATATAGATGTATATAAGAATATATCCCCACTATATCCCAAATTTATAGACATGTTTGGTATTGAGTGGGGATATCTTCCATGATTTTTGCTTCAGCTCCGCGAGGCCGGTGCTCCAAGAGACTCGCGCGGTGCCCAAGGCGACTGAGGCTGAGCTCCGTGTCCGCGCGGTGGGGCTGAACTTCCGCGACGTGCTCAACGTCATGGGCGCCTCGGATTTTGTTGGCTTCTGGGCCTGGGTGATTTTGAAAAAGGAAGCTGCTGATTTTTGGGGGATTTTGGTGTTTGGTAGAGATTCCCATTGGGGTCTGTATGCCACCCCTTTTGCTACTTTTGGCCGGAGGCGGCCTCAGCTTGGGCTACAGACTACAGTTTGTGGTCAGTTTTTGGCCCTTGTTCAGCTTTCCATCTACAGCTGACTGTTCTGTTAGTAGATGAGGATTTCTCAGAGCTGAATCTGGCTCTGATGGATCAATGTTGACATGCAATGCTGGCAGTAAATTAAAGAGGTTGTCGGATTATTGGATATTAAGAAGAGCCTATGGATCATGTATGGCAGTAGGCTATAACATGCTATAACATTGCATTGTGCATGATCATTTTGCAGCGGATCTGTGTACATCGTAAATCTATTGTAAATCTAGGTTTCCTTGGATCCCCCAATCGTTGCATCGACCCACGTGAAACGTGCCGAAAAGGTCTCTACCCTGGCGATCCTGGACCCCCTGGAGCTGACAGCGCAGGCGCGATGGATTTTTGGGATCAAGGGATGGATCCCATGGGGATTTTTCAACATTTTTCAACATTTTCCCATGTGAATCATGAAAAAGATGCCACTGTTGGTTGATGATTCAAAGGGAAAAAATACTACCTGGTTTCTTGATGATGATTATACATTATACCCATAAGAGGGATAGCTACAGTATTCATTAACCAACATAGTGGGATGGGATATGGGTATTTTTAATGGCTCATGTCAACAAGTATTTCGCCGTAATGTTTCAACGTTTATCTATATAGCGGAAATTTACTTTGAACCTATCTTCAGCTCAAACTTTGACCCCGTGTCGGGGCAAAAGGTACTCTTTGATGATGTGGATTCATGTGGATTCAAGCTGCTTTTACAGATTTGACAACTCATCTCAGAAAGAGAACTTTTGATCAGAAGGTTCACCCTTTCAGGGATTAAAAGCCATTGGAAGTGTGCAAAGCTGTTGCAAACAGCAGCATCCACTTGCGAAGTCGGCAGGCACTGTGTTGTCCAAGGGTTCCGAGATCACTCACATTCGACGCTTGGCTTTGGAATTTCGGTCACGGTCATGGTCGAGTTTGTCTGAACATATCCCCAAACTCCCATGCTGCATGATTTTCCCTAAATTATCATCCAATGGCCATTTATTGGAGGTAAATCCATACGCAAATCCATATGCAAATCCATGGGATTTCTATCCCCATAGTGTCCATATCTATCCATACTATCCCCATGATGTTTTCCCTTTCCCCATGATTTCCCACATTTCTTGGAAGGTCTACTTAGTCATACTTAGAGACTTCACGACTTCGCCTCGCGTCCTCGCGACAGGAGCTGGTGATGACGTCTTTGGCGAATCTCCGGGCTGCCTGCGACGCTACAACTGCGGTCTGGCAGCGCTGCTGTCGCCCAAACCGCCCTCCTGGTCCTTTGAAGAGGCGCATGGCAGGGCACACGGGGCAGTACGGGGGCTATGATGGCTATGAGATAAGAAAAATATGAAATAAAGACAGATTGGAGGTTCCTAAAAATCTAAAATGAAGGATCCCCAAGTCACCATGGGTTTCAAGACTCAAATGGTCTTATTGATGATTTGGGAGTACGCCCATTTTGGAAAACCTCCATATTGGGAATATTAAAAGTGTTGATTTAATGGGATATCACTCAGATTTGTGGACACATCCATTTGTGTCTAGGTGACTTGATGCAAGTCTTGTCCCTCGCAGGCTTGCTGCATGCCGGTGATTTTCGTCACTGTCGAAGAGGTGCGGACAAGGATGTGGAGGAGGGTCGTAGGGGTCCAGAAATTGCGACCAGGTTCACAGTCTCCCGCCCGTGAGGGAAGAATATGGAAGAACATGGAAAATGAAATATGAAGAATATCATAAAATCAGTGAAGATCACTGGATAAAAGTAAAAGGGTACTCGCGTATGTGTTTGAAGCATATGGGACCCTCATTTGGGGTCCTATGGGGTCGTAGTCGACCGACCATAGAATATTTACCCAATATCTTTAGCAACAATATCTTTAGAATATTTACCCAACATTTCCCCATTTACCCAATATATACCCAGTTGCAAGGGATTGAGAAATGAACCATGATCTTTATGCAGATGTGTGATATGTTGTGATGATTCTTCCTACTCCCATCATGATTCTGCTGTCTGGATGTTGAGGTGTCCCTCTTGTAATCAAACTGTGCAATGAACAAATCCTCAGGTATGTCTAGTCGTATTATGTTACATCATGTATATTCGACTATGTTTCCCATTTTTCAAAATCCACTTGCAAAATTCAATAAATTACCATAATATGTTCTTCATCCTTTCGAAGTGAGTCTTCGCCAAAAATGATGGGATTTTCCATGATTTTCCGGTTCACCAGGTCGCCAGGGTCGGTCGCCATTTCCGCAGGCCCTTGGAGATCTGGCTCAGCTGAAACGCGGCGAGCGTTGCCTGATCCATGCTGCGGCCGGTGGCGTGGGGCTGGTGGCGATTCAATACGCGCAGCACGTGGGAGCCGAGGCAGGTATCGATCCATGGATGAAGCAATGAACCTTTGCTAAGCCACAAAAATTAATATGGTATGTTTATGTATGTACTAATTTATACTAATTTTCAAACAAAAAGGAGATTGTAAATATTCTGGTTGGGCCTTAGATTTTGACGACCTATCTCATTGGATGACATGATGAATGAATATGTATACTAGTTTATAGGAAATCATTGCTGTTCCCAGGAACTACTGGAGGAAGATCTGTGAAGTTCTAATTGGTTGATAGACGGGTGACGATTGTGGACAACCTCTTCGATTTGATGAAGATATCACATGTTGTAAATGGTTGAAAAGGAAGTATGTCCCATGCAAGTGAAACAAAAGACGCCAAACGACAATTATTATACAGAACATGGAAGATGTATGAAGATGTTACTTCATCAGTTTCATGGATGCATTTCACCAGGTTTCAAACAGGTTTGCCTAAGATTCATTGACCATATACCCTCATGGTCGCTTCCATAGAGTCTACATTCTCCTTAGTGAAGCTGCAGGTCTATGCCACAGCCGGTGCAGAGGAAAAACATGAGTTCTTGCGATCGATGGGCACCTTGGCAACAGGAAAGGGCTCATGTAACTATCACTGGAGTTTCATGGTATACGTTTGATGAGAAGGGTCAGAACAATCCTTTTTAATCTATTTTGATATAGGTGGAAGCAAAACATGGCTTTGCTTGTGCCCACTTCTGCTCCCAAGCCTGTGGGCAAACAGCCCTAAGGCTTATTTAACAGCCCCTAAGGCTTATTTATCTCAAGATATCTAAAGTGTAAGCAGCAGAACATGAGAACAACATGAGAACAACATGTCTGATTCCTTGTACCCCTAAAATATTGACGGACTGATCTTCCCCTTCGCATCGGGACTCTCACAGCAGGTGTGAAGTACATCACCAGCAGCCGCAACGGTGCCAAGTTCGAAGAGGACAGAGATGGTGTCCCTTCTTATATCCAGTCAGTGTTTTGAAGTACCCTGCAGTAAACGTACAAAAAGCAACAAAAAGCTATGGAAGTTAATGGGTGTCCCCGTTCTGACAATGATCTAAAACTAGTGGATTTTTCCATAGCTATGTTAATTGACTGGAGGGTATAGGTCTATTTCGAGATATATTCTTCAAACACATCGGAACTGCCAGTCCGCTGGCAAAAATCGGGCACTTGCAATTCCGCAAATTGTTGCAGTTTGGCTCTTTCCTCTCTAGCTCCAGCTTGAGAGGTTCTATGAAAGTACCTTTTCAAAATGAGACTGCCGTGCTGCTTCGCTCAGAGTTGCGCAGATTGCCCCAAGCTCAACTTGGTTTTTGTGTCCACGTCCGTAGGATTCTGGTAGTCTCTACATCTCTTCGCATCTCTTCATGGGCGCCATTGATGTTGGATCTACCGCGAAACGACCTCGAAGATAACTTGCTATATATTCCTATATGTATATCACTGTATATCCCATATTTCCATATATTTCCATGTAATTATATATATATATTATGTATGTATATATATATATGGAATTATATGGAAATATCAAGCATCAGGATCCAACAGCTGACCAGAGCAGGACATGAAGAATTTCCTGAAAGACACAGATGGCCTGGATGTGGTGTTGAACAGCTTGAGTGTCTCGGCTGGGGATGTGGAGATATGTAGATGGAAAGTTATTCACAGGTACGCATTGGAATGCATTGAAATATGTGTTTGAAGCTGATGGATTTATGAATTGCCTTATTCATGCTTGTTGCAGTTTGCTGAATACCATTGAAGACCTGAAAAAATGAATGTTTTGATACAACAGTAAACCTGACCAGCCAGACCAGTCCCTTGTCTCTACGACTTGAGGCCACGATGACTACATCGGTCGATCCCTGGCATTGCTGAAACCTGGCGGACGCTTCATGGAGATCGGCAAGCGAGGTGCCTGGGCGATCCGGGGGATCCGGATGGGTTTTCCCTAGCCATGACGGATCCGGCTGGTGCTGGTATATATGCGAACATAAAGGGGGTACCCTCTGGTAAACTAACATAGCAATGGAAAGATCCACCATTTTCAATGGGAAAATCCACTATTTCGACTGGGCCATTTTCAATAGCTATGTTAAATTACCAGAGGGTATATTGATGGGATCCATGGCACACCATATATATCCATATATAGCATACATGGATCCTATGGGCTATAGGAAGGGTAAGAAGTGGCGCTGCGGCAGTGCTGCGCATGGTCAAATGGCTTAGTCATGGTCAAATGGCTTAGTGAGAGTGAGTTTTGAAGGGAAAAAATGGCAGTTATGATCGAATATGAAAATGATGGGCTGATGGGTTTGATTTTAGGGATTGGATCAGATCACGATTTTTGACCTGTTTGTGATCCATGCTTGGGGATTGCTCTGAGCCACAAAGGCTTAGGCCCTTAGGCTCGCCGGCAGCAAAATTCACCTGTGGAGAGACTTGTTTCATCAACTCTTGAAGTGTTGACATTGACATGCTTTAACATATGTACCATGGTCATGGTCAAATCATAGTTCGTTTTCCCGTAAAAAAGGATGGTCACCCGGTCACCCCCCCATTCTCATTGAGGTCAATAGTGGATCACTGATTCCCACTGAGGCATTTGGAGCCACGACCAGATGTTCCAAGCAAGGCCTTGCGATGTTGTGCTGCTGCTGTCACAACATGGGGGAGTCTGCCTTCTCAGTTTTAGCAAGTAACCAGCTTGCAGGTCCCCTACCAAAACAGACTCCCAAGTTCTGGAGAACTCCAGTTGCAACATGTTGTAGGGGCCACACATTGTGGTGAGCTGTTTGTATTTCTCCAGCATGGTAGCTGGTCAGCTGGGAGGCCTGACGTGATGTATGAGAAGATTGCAGCTGATACCATGATGGATCCTTGGCTTTCGTGAAATGGGAAAGGGTCAAAAGTCGGAACACCCTGGGTTTTGGTAAATTCTAGGAGGAAAGCAGATTTTGATGATTTACGGTAGGGAACATCAGAAAGCACCCATCTTCGCTGTAGTACCAAGTGTTGGCCTATGCCTATATTGCACCCACCTGTAAGTCTATAAAGGATTGTTCATCAATCTTATCTTGTTTTTTTGTCTTCTACTGGTAGCAATAGATCCTTCGGCGCATCCATGCTCATCCATTTGCACTCTCACAGGATCTGTTTTGCAGTGCAGGCGTTCACACGTTTCTTTTTTTTCTTTTTTTAATTTGCAATCATCTCACAAAATTGGAGCCGCAGCGATCATATCACAACAAAATGATCATATCACACGATCACAATAGGCCCAAAGGGATTTATAGACTATCCGGTAAATCATCTATAAATCATCTATAAATCATGTACATTTAATTTGTTTATTCTGCATCGCCATGTGAAACAACCAGAGGGTCATAAGATCTCGCTCTCCTATGTCTTGGCAGGACCTGGAACCTTGGAGATACAACGCCTACATGAAGCGACTTGTAGGACGCGTGGAGGAAGGCGGAGATGCCATGGGCCATGTATTCAGCACTGGTGCATCTGCTTTTCGTTGTTAGTTCTGGTATGTTTTTTTTCCATCATGTTTACCCTCTGGTTATTCAACATAGCCATGGAAAATGGCCCATTTATAGATGGTTTACCGATTAAAAATGGTGATTTTCCATGGCTATGTTAAATAACCAGATGGTAATTTCTATGTTTCATACCTGCAATTGTTTGATGCCGTGAATTTCCATTTTTCTCCCCCCCCCCCTTGGGGCCTTTTGGAGTGATGGAACGCGTACTGTATCAGGCACAAGGTCACCAGTTCAGCTTAGCGCTGCAGGCGGCTTGTCGCCCATCAACATGCACATCTTCGAGGGCATCGAGAATGGTGCCTGGGCAACACCCATCGTCGCAGCCACATGCGCCACCAAATTACCGCATTCGTATTCCCACAATCAGATTCTCGAAAAAATGGAAACACGCTAAGTGTAGCACCACTTTTTTTGGTGCTTTGGTTTCCATGACGTTGTTGTTTCCCGCTGTTTCATCCTTTTTCTGTTCTCGCACCGCGTTGCGGTTCTCGCCTTTGTTCAGGCGTCAACGCAATGCAGTTCCTGCAACGTGCCAAGAACATCGGGAAGGTCGTGATTAGCCTCCCGGCTCGGCTCGGCCACGTCAGGTCACCAGGAAGATTTGCCAAGGTAGACCTTGGCGCGAAGCAGGGATTTGCCAACAATATCTGCTTGGTGGTTTGGAACATGGCTTTTTTTTCCATAATATATGGGATAATCCTTTTCGTTGACTTATATATATATTTCAATATTTTTTATTTTTCCATATATTGGGAATAATGATCCCAACTGACTTTCATATTTTTCAGAGGGGTAGGTATACCACCAAGCAACAATATTAAAGGGGATTTTCGGATTTGACAATGTGTTGTTTTCATAAAGTATAGGTACTCAAATAATAAGCACTGGAAATTCTTGGAGATAGTCATCATGAGGATGTTCCCAAATGGATCGCTCCGAAAATCTGCGCATCGATCTGATTTAAGGGATCTTGGTGGGATGAAAATGATGAAATGGTCCCCAAATCCCCAAATCCCCAAAATGAGATGTTGAAAGCAGGACCCCCTGGAAAACCGTCGATATTTTTCTCATCTATTTGCAGACTGCTTTGCTTGCATGGTGCTGAGTGTCCAGCTTAAACAGGAAAGCAAGTGCAAGTGGTTGATGTGCTGGGTGAACAGTGCGCATCGTCACATTGGTTGGATGCCTAAATTGATCACTGGCACAGCATCATAGGTCAACATTGACATTGTACGAGCGCTGTGGGCCTTTGTCAACCTGCATGATCGGTGAGAAATACCCATAGGCTTGGATTAAGGTTGGAGTATTCTACCTTTATACAAGGGGTAGAAGTTGTTGGAATTGGGGAATGAATTGGAGAGGATCCATGGCGATTTGATAACCACACGTGGCCCATGTTCTAAAGGCCACTTCAGCCGAGGCCAACCCAGCACGATGGACCTGAAGACCGACTCGCACTACGTGCTCAGCGGTGGCATGGGAGCACTGGGAATGGTGACTGCTCAGTATCTACTGGAGGAGCTGTTGGGGCGGGTAAAGATCACCTTCTGGGCCTCACCATTTATCATAAAATAACATAAAATACCTGGTCTTTGGCAAGTTTGATCCTTCCAAAATGGAAAGTGAACAAGGATGGCATCATAAAAAAAAAACCCTGCAATGAATGGTACACCGGGGATACATCGATGACCTCCACTGGTTGGGTGATCTTTCAAGGTGATCTGCCGCCACAGGAGGGAGCCAAGTCCATGTCTTTACTCTCACGGAGCGGCAGACCCTCTGCGGATATCACGGAGCTCTGGGCGCAACTGCAGGAGACACGGGGGAAACCACTGGGATCCACTGGGGCAAGTGGTGGAACTGGGGCAGTTCAAATGTGTTCACTTTGTCAAGGACGAAAACTTGATCATTTGGGTTTGTTTGAAAATAGAGTAGCCCTAAATCTCTTGGTCAATCATCATTTCCCAAATGAAATACTGTAGCTGTAAGTGGGGGTATACAATGGTATACATCATTTTCAGACAAAGTCATTTGAAGAGACTGGATTCTATTGATTGCTCAGAGGTACTCAACGCAAGTTAATGGGCTTTTTGGTGCTGGATTTTGGCACCAATACGATGGCAAGAGCGTTTGATTTCTGCTGTGTTGGTGTCGGAACTTGGGCCATGCCATGTTGAAAAAGATGTACATACCATACCCGTTTTTTGAACCTGCCATGGTTTCTATCCTGTATCACCCTCGCATGGGCAAAAATCGGGAGACGACGGACGTTCTTTTTTTTTCTTGCAACCATTCATTTTGGCTGAATTATCGAACCCATAATATCCATCTTACTTACTTCAAGGAACTCGTACTCTGAAACCAACCTGGGCTCAAAATCATATCAACTCCCCCAAAAACATGGATGAGTACTAATTGCAAAGGGCATGAAAAGCTATTTGTGGGTCCATTCAATATGGCAATATGGTGCCGACCCGTTGTGTTGGTTGGTGTTTAAACCCCATTATTTAACAGAACGGCCCCTCATGGGGGAGTGATTTTTGCTCTAGAAATGGTCAAAAATACTGGTATTTACGGTGTTTTGTGACCAAAGTGGGCTTAAAACCGTTATTTTAGAGCAAAAAATAGAGTTCACCTCCAAAGGCTCTCATATGCTGTCATAAATCACTGGCATTTACAGACTCTTGTGGCAGGATTCAATTTTTCCTGTGAGGCTTGCAAAGAAGTACAAACAATCAGCACATAACAGAAAACATCTGCTGCACAACATGCCATAAGAATGGGTAGCTGCACATCTTGGAACAGAATATACAGTAGCAATAGGTGACTAGTGTGATGGAGGTGATGAAGAAATTCTATTGTTAAAAGCAATTGATATGATATAGGTGTTTCTTCATGAACTTGTTAGATTGATATCATCTTAACATATATTGTATATAGAAGCATTTGCGCTACATAAGAAGTATGGTGGGAAGGGCATACATTATATAGGTGGATATAACATAACAGAAAACATCTGCTGCACAACATGCCATAAGAATGAAACATCTGCTGCACAACATGCCATAAGAATGGGTAGCAAACCATCTTGGAACAGAATATACAGTAGCAATAGGTGACTAGTGTGATGGAGGTGATGGAGAAATTCTATTGCTAAAGCAATTGATATGATATAGGTGTTTCTTCATGAACTTGTTAGATTGATATCATCTTAACATATATTGTATATAGAAGCATTTGCGCTACATAAGAAGTATGGTGGGAAGGGCATACATTATATAGGTGGATATCACATAACAGAAAACATCTAACACTCTGGATAAGAAGGATGGTGGGAATGTTACAACTCAAGAAGTAGGTATATATCTCGTTTATCATTGTTATCTTGCAGAGTCTTGTCAGCAGTCTCATTTCAATAGTTAGACAGAGAGAGAGAGAGAGAAAGCCTAAGAGACAAAGACGTGTGTCAAGCTGTTGAATATTAAGGTCAGGCAACCTGTGTGGTGGCATAGCTATTCAAAGATAACGGTATGTTTGCTTCTTTGAAACATAAGTTTAAAATATGGCCAAGATCCAAACATACACAATCTAGAATCACCAAAACCTGCACAGGCATCAAAAAAACAAACAAACCAATAGATGCACCAAACCTGCACAAGCACCAAAAAAAAACAAAAAAAAAACAAACCACTAGATGCACCAAACCTGCAAAGGAAAAAGTAAAAAACTAAAATTTCCAGGAACTATGGTCCACTTCTGAGTAGTTGCTGGAATTATTGGTTTTTGTTGGTTTTTTTGGTGTCTGTCAATGTTTTGTGAAGTCAGAGTCACCAAACCTGCACAGGCACCAAAAAAATCAAAAAAAAACCACTAGATGCACCAAACCTGCACAGGCACCAAAAAAAACAAAAAAGCTAAAATTTCCAGGAACTATGGGTCCACTTCTGAGTAGTTGCTGGAATTTTTGTTTTTTTTTGTTTTTTTTTGTTTTTTTTGGTGCCTGTCGATGTTTGGTGCATCTAGTGGTTTGGTTTTTTTGGTGCCTGTCAATGTTTTGTGAAGTCAGAGTCACCAAACCTGCACAGGCACCAAAAAAAACAAAAAAACCAAACCACTAGATGCACCAAACCTGCACAGGCACCAAAAAAAACAAAAAAACTAAAAATTCCAGGAACTATGGGTCCACTTCTGAGTAGTTGCTGGAATTTTTGGTTTTTTTGGTTTTTTTGGTGCCTGTCGATGTTTGGTGCATCTAGTGGTTTGGTTTTTTTGGTTTTTTTGGTGCCTGTCAATGTTTTGTGAAGTCAGAGTCACCAAACCTGCACAGGCACCAAAAAAAACAAAAAAAACCAACCACTAGATGCACCAAACCTGCACAGGCACCAAAAAAACCAAAAAAACTAAAAATTCCAGGAACTATGGGTCCACTTCTGAGTAGTTGCTGGAATTTTTGTTTTTTTTGTTTTTTTTGGTGCCTGTCGATGTTTGGTGCATCTAGTGGTTTGTTTTTTTGGTTTTTTTGGTGCCTGTCAATGTTTTTGTATATCTCATGTCAAGATCATGATGAAAAAAATGTATTTTACTAGGGTTTTAGACCCTCCAAATGCATAAAACATCGGTATTTACAGTGTTTTATCATCATTTTTAATGAAAATTCACTCCCCCACGGGGTGCCGCCCTCTTATTTAACCATTATCAACTACATGTATATCATATATCTGCCAGTCCTTAGTTCATTACTATTACTATACCAGTAGTACCGCACAAGGCGGTGGCGGAAGTTTCAAAAATAGGAAACCTATAGGAGAGGTTGGTTGTTGTGAATCACCGATGGCAGAGCGAAGCCATTGATGGACTGAAAGGTGATTGATCTCTTTCACTCTCTCTCTCTCTCTCTCTTTCATCTAATTACCTATGTATCTATCTATCTACCTATCTATCTGTCTGTCTATCTATCTATCTCTCCCTTTCATCTGTCTATCTGTCTAGCTGTCTACCTGTCTATCTGTCTATCTATCTATCTGTCTACCTGTCTATCTGTGGTGCAGTGTCATTCAGTGTAATGTAGTGTGGTGTAATGTAGTGTGGTGTAGTGTAATTTAGTGTCGTGGAGCGTACTGGAGTGTAGTGTGGTGTAATGTAGTGTACTGGAGTGTAGTGTAGTGTAATTTCCTGTAGTGTAGTGGAGTGTAGTGTAGTGTAATGTAGTGTAGTGAAGCGAAGCGACATCTGAACCTCCAAAAGTGGTTCCAACCCCTAGTGTCTTGACTTCCAAATGTGCTTCGCGCCACAACGGCATGCACTTTTTCGACATCTGAACCTCCAAAAGTGGTCCGACACTGAAGTGTTTTGTACATTTTGACTTCGAAATGTGCTTCGCGCCACAACGGCGTGCACTTTTTCGACATCTCAACTTTCAAAAGTGGTCCGAACGTAGTGTGTTTTTAACATTTTGACTTCGAAATGTGCTTCGCGCCACAACGGCGTGCACTTTTTCGACATCTCAACTTCCAAAAGTGGTCCGAACGTGGTGTGTTTTTAACATTTTGACTTCGAAATGTGCTTCGCGCCACAACGGCGTGCACTTTTTCGCGCCACAGCGGCGAATTATCTCTCATCTGGCCAGCTGGCTCCGCACCCGCCGCTTTAGCGAGCCTACTTTTCGACCCTCCGGAGCCCCAAATCATTGGAAAAACATAGTGTTTCGCGACTTTCTTACCTTTTCACGCATCTGCATCTTCTTTCTTCTTATTCTTCTTTCTTCTAATCTTTCTCTTCTCTCTGCCTCTTCCCTGCTCTGCTTTTCATCTGTCCATATTGTTGGAAGTTTGACTTCTAAACTTCCTTCGATAATCTATAGATAATTAGTTAATATTTATTCACTATGTATATATATATATATATGATATATGTTAGTTTATGGACCATAAGGCAAATAGTAATATATAAATGGCGGGATACCATGTACTTTTTATATGCGGCAGGAGTCCAACGTGGAGATCGCCGCCCGCAGCTGCGACATCGCCTCAATGGACGCGGTGCAACAACTGGCGCAGCAGTTGAAGGAGATGCCCCGGGTGGCAGGTGGGATCGCCACGGCGCCACGGGATGGGATGAGGATTTTCATGGCAATCCCAGTTGAAGGATATGGTTTTGTCGATTTTCATGGTGTTTAAATGGGATGTTTATGGGATGACTAATGGCCATATGTGTTTTTTTTCATGGGATTTTATGTTTTTTCAATGGGATTTTAATGTGAGTTCCATGATTTTATGGGATTTTAATGGGATGTTATGGGATTTCAATAGTGAAGTGTGTTCTTGTGATGTTAATGGGATTTTCTCGATGTTATGGGATTTCAATAGTGATGTTAATAAGATTTTTATGGGATTTCCCCTGATTTTATGGGATTTTAATGGGATGTTATGGGATTTCAATAGTGATGGTAATGGGATTTTAATGGGTTTTTCCCTGATTTTATGGGATTTTAATGGGATGTTATGGGATTTCGATAGTGATGTTAAATGTGATGTTAATGGAATGTTCCCTGATTTTATGGGATTTTAATGGGATTTTAATGGGATGTTCCCTGATTTTATGGGATTTCAATAGTGATGTTAAGGGGATTTTAATGGGATGTTAATGGTGATTTTCATGGGATTTTGTAAGGATTATGATTCTCATTTTGTAGGGATTTTATCGCCATGGAATGGGATGTTGATGGGGTTTTAATGGGATTTTAATGGGATTTAATGGCCATATGTTATTGGGATGTTTGGGATGTTATGGCCATATGTTTTTTTCAATGGAATTTTCTGTTTTTTTCAATGGGATTTAATGGAGATCTAATGGGATTTCATGGGATTTGAATATAATACTAATACCCTATGGTGATTTAACATAGCTATTGAAAATGGTACATTTATAGTGGATTTACCCATTGAAAATGGTGATTTTCCATAGTTATGTTAGTTTACCAGAGGGTATCTGGAAAGGCACCTCCACTTCTGTTGGTTGGAATCCATCCCCCCAACGCAGGTCTTATTCACTTGGCTGCTGTACTGGACGATGCGACCATGCCCAAGTTGACTCGTGGGCACCTAGAGAAATCCTATGGAGCCAAGGTGCGGAGCTTTTTTTTTCGCCAGCGAGCTGCGCTTCGCCGTGATATTCACATGTTTATGTCCAAATATGTTGAATATCACAGCGATTTTCTGTCAGATTGATATTTGGACATAAAGATGCCGGCGGACCGGGAACCGTGCTCGTAAAACGCACGTTTTTTTTTATGTTGTTTTCGCTACGGCGAAACGCACATTAAATTTGGCCAAATTCTCGCTCGAGAATTTGGCCAAACTCGCGTTTCGTCGGGGTTTTTGACACTTTTGATCGGACACTTTTTCTTCTCCTTTCACAGCAAGCGTTTCAGCGTCGAAATGGTCTTTTGCTGGAGGCGAGTATGTACATTCACATATCGACATTGCCAGCATTTGGTATACAGGAGAACATCTTTGCTCTTTGAACACAATGAATTGGGAATGAAGTCTTTGACAGCAGCCCATGCAGCATCAATTGTTCCAGTGTGGCAACTGATCTTCTCCCTGCCGCGGTAGACAGCATATAACGCACGAAATACAAGGAACGCTAACATGCCCCCCCAACCCCACCCCATCATGAGCAGCGTAGCAACATGTAACGTAGCAACAACACCAGATATTTATCCAAGCGTAGCAACATTTAACGTAGCAACAGCACCAGAGATCTATCCAAGCGTAGCAACATATAATGTAGCAACAACACCAGAGATCTCTGCAGCGTAGCAACATAAAACGTAGCAACAACACCAGAGATCTCTGCAGCGTAGCGACATATAGCGTACGAAGTACAAGGAACGGTAACATGCCCCCCCCCCACCACACCCCATCATGAGCAGCGTAGCAACATAAAACGTAGCAACAACACCAGAGATCTCTGCAGCGTAGCAACATATAACGTACGATGTACAAGGAACGGTAACATGCCCCCCCCACCCCACCCCATCATGAGCAGCGTAGCAACATATAACGTAGCAACAGCACCAGAGATTTATCCAAGCGTAGCAACATATAATGTAGCAACAACACCAGGATTCTCTGCAGCGTAGCAACATAAAACGTAGCAACAACACCAGAGATCTCTGCAGCGTAGCGACATATAGCGTACGAAGTACAAGGAACGTTAACATGCCACCCCCCCACCCCACCCCATCACGAGCAGCGCAGCAACATATAAGGTAGCAACAACACCAGAGATCTCTGCAGAGTAGCAACATATAACGTAGCAACAACACCAGAGATCTCTGCAGCGTAGCAACATAAAACGTAGCAACAACACCAGAGATCTCTGCAGCGTAGCGACATATAGCGTACGAAGTACAAGGAACGGTAACATGCCCCCCCCCCACCCCACCCCATCATGAGCAGCGTAGCAACATACAACGTAGCAACAACACCAGAGATTTATCCAAGCGTAGCAACATTTAACGTAGCAACAACACCAGAGATCTCTGCAGCGTAGCAACATATAACGTACGATGTACAAGGAACGTTAACATGCCACCCCCCCACCCCACCCCATCACGAGCAGCGTAGCAACATATAAGGTACGAGTAGCAACAGCACCAGAGAATACCAGAGATTTATTCAAGCGTAGCAACATATAATGTAGCAACAACACCAGAGATCTCTGCAGTGTAGCAACATATAACGTACGAAGTACAAGGAACGTTAACATGCCCCCCCCACCCCACCCCATCATGACCTCCGAAAGTGCGTTTTCCAAAAACGTGCGTTTTACGAGCACGGTTTTCGGTCCGCAGGCATAAACATGCGAATATCCAAATATCCAAATATGTTGAATTGAATATTTAATTTTGTGTCAGATTGATTCAAGATAATTTTCAGAGCAACAAAACGAGGATATTGTCAACTAAGAATAGGACAGGGTAACTGAGAATATGTGACAATTGGGGGGATCTACAGACGTGTTGGAGATTCGGGCCTCAACATGCCTAACTGTGCTTGTCAGCTTGGGACGTTGGAATTTACGGCACACTGAAACGGAGTTTGATGCTCATTGAAGACAGAAACACTTCTGAATTTTCAGATAGTGGATTTGGAATCATTATGGCTTGCAATTACATAACAAGTTGATGCAAACTTCTTGTCTACTTCTGGTTCGCATCTGGCCTCCATCTTTCGCTTTTCTTGCAGGTTTGGGGAGCGCGTCATCTGCGCTGCGCCTTGTCGGATGGCAAGACGCCCTGGGACTTTGCACTTCTCTTCTCCTCCACGTCGGCTTTGCTCGGTCTTTTCGGCTGCAGATAGCCTCACTAAGCAGTTTGCTAAATGGATCTAAATGGGTTTGTGTGAAAATAAGGTATGGAACCATAGGCAACCGATTCCATCCATTGATTAGGCATCATGTTCCCTATCAAATGAGCATAACTTGGGCGTATCACCCATTTTCAGACAAACCCCTAAAAATTACATGTCATCAATTTCCCCAATGCGTTCAACTATGGGAGGACAGGTTGCTAAATTATAAAACAATAGACCATATTAAACCATCACCATTTTGAATTGTTAATCCCCATGAAATCACCGTTATATGATCACAATGTTTGTCATGGTTTCTGTGTTGTGATTATTGCCCGATTATGGCAGGTGGTGGTGTTGCTAGATTATGAAATTCCTTATATTGGTGGTTATATATCCACACACATCCCACTATATGCCCAATCAATCTCCATAAAATGGATATCCCATTACCATTATATTTCCAATATGGTTTTTCCATTCTATTCCACATATTCCTGAATGCGGTGATCCTCCAAGTCAACCACCACCATTTGGAATTGTGAAAATCCGCATGAAATCACTATGGTTCAGGTGGTTTCTGGCTCATTTCGTTCTCCACATGGATGATAACAACATATAACAACCTGTCCATTTATATCCATTGATATTCCATGTGTAGTCCCATGGCCCATGAACCCCTATCAAATTCCCTGAAACCACCGGATTTTGGGCCTATCGCTCCAGGTTCTCCGGGCCAGGGCAACTACTCCGCGGCCAACGCAGCTCTCGACGGCCACGCGCGCTACTGGAAGCAGGTCTTGCAGGCGCGAAGCCGTCAGGGTGAAGCCGTTGGGGATTCACCCATAGATCCCATAGCCATAGCCTAGGACATGGCCAGGGCTGTCCTTGAAAATGGAGGTACCCCAAATATCTGGATGTTTATTTTAAAAAAAGGAAGATCCGACAATAAAAATAGATGATTTGGGGGGGTAGGCCTAATTTTAGGAAACACCTGTATGTAGCCGAAGTATAGCTCATAGCAAGAAAGCAAAGATCGGTTTGAAAATGTTTGAAATAGGTTGAACAGAGTACACAACCTAGCTCCAAAAGCGCAACCAGCTGAAGGATACTGATCACTTCACAACTTCGAGCAACGACCAGTTTCACTTTATTTTCATGGGGCCTCAAGCAGAGGTTGGCACATGTCCCGAGAATGATGACTGACAATTGGCCATGTTTCACCTGGAGTATACCGATGTACAGCTGGGTCAGATACAATATACTGTATCTGTGATAATTATATTATTACATATACATATACATATACATATATATATAGTTACGCGCAACGCCTGGGCTTTGCCCAGGCGTTGCAGCGTAGATGGTCCCCATTCCCAATCAAATCTTGTTGCAACTCTGCATTCCATTGGGAAGATCAACAAAGGCACAAAGGTATTAGGGAATATTAAAATCCCACCCCCGTTAAACTCTACATTCACTTGGGAAGATCAACGAGGGTATTAAGGAATATTAAAATCCCACCCCCATTAAACTTCACATTCATTGGGAAGATCAACAAAGGTATTAGGGAATATTAAAATTCCACCCCCTTTAAACTTTACATTCAATTGGGAAGATCTAAAAGGTATTAAGGAATATTAAAGTCCCACCACCGTTAAACTTCTACATTCATTGAAGAACTTCAATGAGGGTTTAATTCTCCCACCCCCGTTAAACTTCTACATTCATTGAAGATCTTCAATAAGGGTTTAATTCTCAAAGCCCCGTTAAACTTTACATTCATGGAAGATCTTCAATAAGGGTTTAATTCTCCCACTCCTGTTAAACTTCTACGTTCATTGAAGATCTTCAATAAGAGTTTAATTTTCCCACCCCCCTTAAACTTCTACATTCATTGAAGATCGTCAATAAGGGTTTGATGATGGTGACGAGGATGATGATGATGATGATGATGATCATGATCATGGTGATGATGATGATGATGATGATGATGGTGATGATTATGCTGTTGTGGTTGCGGTTCCGGACAAAGCCCAGGCATTTGCCGTATAGTTACATTATACATATGACATGATACATCATGTAGCATTCTATAGATTTTGTATGGTTGTTAAGCATATACCAAGTATATCCAACTAGATCTATGGTGACCTTTGTATCCCAACTAAACTAGCCACAGGAGAATGTCATCTCAGTGCAGTGGGGCCCCTGGAAGGAGGTGCTGAGAAGGGATGTGGCTAGCGAACCCCCAAGAATTAGTGATTTTCATAGGGAAAATCATGATTACATTTGATTAACTAGTGAATTCAACCGATACATTTGATCTGATATAGAGGGACAACCAAAGTTGCCTGGTGCTTTCGCATGTATTTGATGTTCCTTCTATGCCTCGGATGATGAAACCTCCACCTTGGGTTGAAACCAACAGCCAGGTGTTGTTGGTATCAGGTTTGATGAGGATTGATCATTCATGAAAGAATTATCGATAACCAAGCAGCAAAGATGGTATCACAAGGGGGTTGGGCAAGACTCCAACTTGGGACTGGCTCAAAATTATGGAAGTTCAGACATGGGTCTACTGGGACCGTGGAAATCGTTGTAGGAATAGAACCTATTTCGCGGGGCAATGTTCATATTTGGAGCCTATGAGACCATCCTTGGGTGGATGAACATCCAACACGTTTCCTTACAGTTTTTTGTGTGAAAATCATCAATCGGCTGCAGGCTGAAGGCCCTGATAGTTTGCAGTAAAACCAATTTTTGGGTAGATGAACATTCATTTACCAGATGTTTGCAGCAAGATTTCGAAACCAATTTTGGAACCCGAGTTTACCAGATTTTACCTGCTGTTTTTTTCCGGATTTCACTGGACTTTAACCAGCCGACCTACCAGTGACGTAGCATCTTTGACGTAGAGATTCTCCATGCCAGGTGGGCATGGCGGCTCAGAAGGGCACGGTGGAACGCTTGCGGCAGAGCGGCGTCGGTGCGTTGAGCAATGCCTTTGGTATGGCAGCGTTCCTTCGGTGGGACAAGTGGGGCGAAGTACCTGAAGCTGGCCAAGCTCATGGGAGAGATTTAATGGAGATGTAACCATGATTTAAGCATCATTTATAGGCGAATTTGGTGTTTTTAAACTAGTTTTAACCATCAACAATTGGGATATCGTTGATAAATGATGGTCAGTTGATGATTACTTCCGGGGTCAACCTTCACAATATATTGGGGATTCTCACATTCCGTTGTCGGAAATCGTATTTGGTGGGTGTGTCCAAAACATGGCATGCGGAAAAAATTGATTTTTTAGTGGAGGAATGATGATCAACTATCAAGTTTGGGGTACACCAATTGCTTGGCCGACCGACTTTGTGCATCTCAAAGTTGGCACCAGAGCCAATGTGTGACAAGACCTCTTCTTCGAGAGTTACAACAGCAATGATGAAATAAGGTGTGAGCTATGCTTGGGATTGTCACATTGCATAGTATCATAGTCAATAGTTAGATGTTTCTTCTACATGCGGGCGTAACATTCCGTAACTTTAATGTCTAGGTGAAAATCATGACAGCTGACAGATGAACATGATCCTTCAACACGATCCTCTTTCCTCCTCATGCCTCTTCCTCCTTCCTCCTTCCTTCCTCCCTGCTCCTTCCTCCTTCCCGCTCCTCATCATCATCATCATCATCATCATTTTCCCATCAAAATTGTCATAAATCGTAGGCCCATCCACCACGATTTGGAGGACCCCAAGTCATCCAAGCGCTCGAATTCAAGGCTCGCTGGGTGCTTGAAAGCCCCCCTGAGTACCACCTTGGTCGCGCAGCCCATGCGATGGGCCGTGTACCTCGATCTCGTTTTGGGGCCCGGTGCATGTTGTCCCATGGGGTTTTGTTCCAAAAACAGATGATGGTTAGGAGGAGCAATCGTCCCAAAATCACCTTACTTCAGGGTGAATGAATATACCAGAATTCAAGCATGTATCCAATGTAAGTGTTTTTGGTGTGGAAAGCAGTGGTTTTGGAGGTGCGGAAGTTTGGATATTGGTTTGAACATTTTTGAACTCATGAGAGGAGACCGATTGATTCAGTCCATGGAGTGAATGGTCTGGAATTTAATGGACGACAGAAATCCAGAGGTGCTGACTTATACAAAAATCATGAGTAATTTGAATCCCATGAAACCTAAGGATTGTTGACCGATCTTTGGTACTCATATGAGGGACAGTTCCTTTTTCAAGCTTCTAAAGCTGATGTTTTTGGGATTTTGGATGCCATGGCTGCGAAGAGAGCCCGGTGGGCCATGGCTGCTTGAGGTACCTGAAGCAGTACCCCAAGATCCCGCCCTTCTTGTCCAAGTTTGCCAGCGAGGCGGCCAACCTCACCTGGGTGACCTGAGGATTTCCAGCTAGGTGATGTGATGGATGGATCAATTGGTGTCCCAACATGTCTCAGCCAGTTTCAAACATCGCCTTCTTTATATGAACAGCTGTTCTTGCTGTTCACCAGGTTCACCAGATCTCTTTTCTTTCAGTATGTTCACAAGGCTACGAGGGTTTCAACCCATAGCCCATGGCTACAATACTGTGGGTCACAAACACGTGATAGACATTGGACATGCATAAATTGCTAGTAGTGTTTTTTGCCAAAGACCATCGTGCCCAGAATCCCAGTAGGCCAAACCATCTCCATAGATGGTCCATTGTATGACGTCAACCAGTTTTTGAGCCATCACTAGCTTGATTCCGCTACTTGAAAACCATACAACAAAAACTTAACGCAAATTTACCCAAATGCGCAGGGGTTCCTGATGCTCCTGAAAATTGTCCAATGTTTTTTTCGGTTCCCAACCCATTCGAAAGCCAGGTGAAGACGGCCAAGCCCAAGAAGGCTGCGGCCCCTGCGGCTGCCTTTGGTGCCATGGCACCTGCGGTGCCACAAGTGGACAAGGCATGACGGGACGCTGCCTCAAAATGAGGGCATTTTCCAAACATTGGATGGTTGGAGCCAAGAAAATTAAATAAAACAATGATGGTTAGCATCTTTTTTTGATATTTTTCCGTTTTTTTTGGGGAATCATCCCAACATTGTGATTTTATTGATGTTTATTCCTGGGAATTGGATTGAATTATAGTCACTTGCCGATTGACTTTAACCAGTGTCTAACCCCATTTTGGGGGCTATGTTCATTTTCCACTAGGCTACTGTCTACGGAGTCAGAACGTCTCCTTAGAGCAGCAAACCAACCCAGCGGGCTCACGTTGAAAAGGCTTCGCTGATGCAGCTGTTGCAGCAGATTGCATCGGAAGCTTGGAGTCGATGGATCTGGTCGATAGTAGTTGTGGATGTTCTTTTGGGATATCACATCCTATCGTCTACTGACATGTCATGGAGGCCGCCCAAAAAAGTAGAGGATGACATGTCCATATCATCGGAAGGACTGTGATGAATCATCGGCCACTTACTCACAATGAAGCCAAGAGACCAAGATAAGTATGGCCGCACGACTTGGGGCGAATGATGGGATTCCGAGAAGATGGTACAGTACCTCGGATAACTCCTTCGGAAATGGACTGGAGCAGCCGAGTACTTCATATCTTCATCATCCGCACGCAGTGGGAAATCGCCACTTTTGACAGCAATTCTCTCCACATCATCCCACTTATTTGATGATACTTGACCTTTGAGCAACCCCGAAACAACATCAAAAAGGGGAAAAAAACGGATGTATCCCTATTTTGGTATGATATATGATGTTCCTTGGATTTATCTTCTTGGCGGTTGCTTTTTTGTGACACCAGTGACGTTCTCAGGAAGTGGCAGGTGGCGGCACCGTAGATTCGGAGACGCCATTGATGGACTCGGGACGCCTGGCGTGATGGCAAATACGGAGCATGTTTTTCTTTTTCTTTTTTTTTCGGGATATGGACCATATGGAGATGAATATCATAGATTCATAGATGAATATCATAGATGAATATCATTGATGAAATATGATGAAACATATGATATTAATTATATATGATATACGATAGGATATGATCAGATATTATAAGATATTATAAGACATAATTGGACATTATGAGAAAACACTTCGACTCAGACTCATCTTTAGAGCAGAGTGAGAGAAGCCATGACGCAGACGGCTCAAACTTCGCTGGCAGATCTTAGGGCTATGCGCAGCAGGATCAAGAGGAATAATGAATCAGGTTGGTGGTTTGGAACATTGTTTATTTTTCCATATATTGGGAATAATCATCCCAACTGACTTTCATATTTTTTAGAGGGGTAGGTATACCACCAACCAGGAATGATTCCCACATATTTTCTTCTGCGAAAGGTCATATCATGTCATATCTTCAGACGTGTAAGACCACCTCGAATGCTCTCGAGAGGTATCTGCTCAGCAAATTACAATCAGTTGGCTCGAAACAGTCGAAACATTCACAAATTCTCCCTGAAAACTGTCCAGGAATGGATTCCTTGTCGGCCGTGGAGTTCAGAAATCGCTTCACTGGAAAGATGCCAGGACTGTGATCGCTTGTTGCGACACAGTGTGAAATCTAAATCCAGATTAATTGTGTAAGGTGTAGATGTTTCCATCTCTGAAACCAGTAAATCTAAATCCTGCTGAAGTTCATCACCCATCAATGATTCATTCTTCAGAAAGTTGTGCTACGATTTGACACACGGAATTGTCAGCAGTTCTATGATTCTGGGTAAATTATAACGACCTCACTGTTCTCCCTCACTGGAATCATGGTTTTTATAGGGGAATCATCCCCTTTTATGGCCCAAGATTTCAGGTGTGTGAATTATTATATGCCCAGAGATTAGAAAATCAACCAGTTTGAGTCTCACAAAGTGACCGATTCACTACTCGGACTGGTGAAGATGGGCCCATATGGACTGATCAAATCAGAAGACTCCAAATTCTTGTGGTTATATCATGTTATATCCATATAATGTGGTTAAAACAATGCCATGTTTACCATCCCCCAGTCATCACCATTTTTATAGGTGGTGTAAACCATTCCCAGTCATGGGTAGTTTATGATTGTTTTAACCACATTAATGACATTAATCCAGATATTTCCGTGCCATCAACGGTTTCCATCTGCAGGGATCTTCTATACTTGTTTGCCGCCCAATGAAACTAGCACCACCGTTGCATTGAACTTCCATTCCATGCCTCTTTTCATGGTTAGCCTCGGTCTGTTGCGGGGATGATCCGTGAAGTTCGTATTTTTTTTGTCGTCAAGTTCGCTTGTGGCCCTTCTTGGCTGCCATGTATTGGATGACATATTGGGATGATTTACATCCATGAATTTCCAGGAATCATCCCAGTATACCTCTCCAAATGTCAGCCATTTTTTCAGGAGTGAACCTGCCCAACACGCTGATTTTCGACTATCCCACCATCTCAGCCATTGCAGACTTCACTACCAGCCAGATGGGCCCGGGCGCACCTGCAGGGGAACCCAATTTTTGCTGGACCCAACATCTCTGGTAGCGTCCCCGTTTTTTTTGCTGGTTCATTGTTTGCTAATGCCCTCTGGTAATTTTACGTTGCTATGGAAATCACTATCTTTATATATATAATAGGTAAAAATCAACTATACATGGGCCATTTTCAATAGCTATGTTAGATATGTTAGTCATTCCCAGAGGGTACCATGTTTACTCGTGAAATCCCGAACCCGCCCATCGTCTCCAATCACTGAGGCCCGCGCAATGCCTTACCAGGCTGCAGGTCCCAGCCAAGCAGAGGCGCGGGGGTAATGCGGGTAGCCTGCGGCACAAGGGGCAACCCTTTGGTAAACATAGCAGGCTGCAATTTTAGCAGATGTGGGAAAATCATCCGTGAATTTGTTTGAAAACGTTGTTTTCTTACAGGGCAGAATCACATGGAGCAGTTTGATTTCATCCAATTTCCCATATTTTTTCCTCAGAAAGGCCTGTTTGAACCTCGGTGGTTTTCCCGGTGCCCAAACATCTTGGTCCCAAGGTGAAGGACTTGCTGAAGCGCATTGCCTCCGATACCACGGGTGGACTGGTGGAAGACGAGAAGCCCTTGATGGAATCGGGCGACTTGACACCATCTGGGCCTCACACATGGGGGGATTTTGCTCCCAAGTTATGCCTAGTTATGGCCATTTTGACGGGACATGTATGGGAAAATATGGGAACATTACCCTCTGGTAAATTAACATAGCTATTGAAAATTGCCATTTATAGTGGATTTACCCATTAAAAATAGTGATTTTCCATAGCTATGTTAGTTTACCAGAGGGTAAATGATTATCCAGTGGATCTGGGTTCCCGTAATCTTGAGACAAACCCGTCTCGGATGGATCAAAAAATATGACATATGATTTGTCAGATGACGACTCATCTTCCAGATGGATGACGGATCATCACATCCCACTAAGATACCAATTGTGGTTGGTATATTCCCACTGTATCCCCATAAAATAAGCGTATTATCATATATTATCCCAAAATAACCATATTTTCATTTGTATATATATATATTATATACACCCTACATTATCATGTCTTATCCCTCTTGCATCCCCATGAGTTTCTGATCCACATCGATCAATCTTCGCATGCAGTTCCTGAGGCATGGATTCGCTGTCGGCGGTGGAGTTCCGAAATCGCCTCAGCACCGAACTCCCAGCATTGGATTTGCCCAACACGTGGCTCGGAAAGCAGTTGGGCCAGTTGGCTTTTGATGGTGTTTTCAGGGTTTTGGGATGGCTTGGGGATGGCCTGGGGATACCTTAACCATCCGAAAAACTTATACATACCACTATTTCATCTATATTAATGTCTATATAATGACTTGAATGATGCAAGGGGGTACCCCCATGACTTACGAAACCTCCATTTGGGAATCTGCAGAATCCCGGGACCTGCCTCCAATCTGCAGTGGTTGCTGTTTTTTTAATCCCTTCCCCGTAATGAGAGAATGGAATAAACATGAAATACCCACTTAGAAATCCTGGTTTAGCATTGGATCCATTCATTTTGAGGTCCCAAATGGAAGGTATTATTCAATCTTAGGAGATGGGATAACATCCTATGTATCTATGTAACAGTTTTGGAATTCCAAAGAATATTTTGTATAGGAAAGTCACCATCGAATCGTGGAAAACATCTGTAGCCCTTCGTTCCACCTCCAGGATGAAGAGACTATTGAGGTGTCTTGTGGGTTGTGTAGCCATGTTTGATCATTTTTGTTGAGGATCCTTGGGGTACCCACCCGATAGCAATGAACAGCCCCAAGAAACTCTGGTTTACTATTGAATTTTATCATATTGTTTTTGAGCTCCGTATTTGTTGGGGGTTTTGCATAAATTGCCCTTAATTCCCGAACAGGACATGGAGGACATGGAAATTTAATGCGAAAATCATCCATAAATGGTGGACTTGACATTGCATCATTGCCACGTTTGATTACCAGAGCGTAAATGGATTAGAATCCCCGTGGTTGATTTTTTAATATACCATTACCCTCTGGTAAACTAACATAACTATGGAAAATCACCATGTTTAATGGGAAAATCCACTATAAATGGCCATTTTCAATAGCTATGTTAAATTACCAGAGGGTAACTCCCATGAATTCCCGTGAAATCGGTGGGGACGGGATGATGGGATTGATTGACACAGCTGTAAGGCTCATCTTCGACTACCCCACCATCTCCAGTGTGGCCAGCTATGCCTCCGAGCAACTCGGAGCTGGTGCAGCCACCATGCCCATGGCCATGCCTGGTGTGGCAGGAGCTGGGGGAGTCGGTACTTGGAGGATCAGCCTATGTACCCTCTGGTAAACTAACATAGCTATGGAAAATCACCATCTTTAATAGGTAAATCAACTATAAATGGGCCATTTTCAATAGCTATGTTATTTTACCAGAGGGTATAGTAAGTTAATATCCCCTAGGTTCTATGGGAGATCTTCAGGATCCTAAAATGGAGGTACGTTAGTACCATGTAAGGCCATATTTTGTGAGGATATTCCCCTACATAGCCCTAAAAAATAGGCCTTATATATGGTAGGTACCTCTAATCAATCGGTCCCTGAAGTGGCAATTGATAAGTGGGTTATCCGGTTATCCCATCTATAAATGGATTATACATATGATTACTAACCACCTACTAAGTGGGATAATCCTCCAAGTAAGTGGGTATTTCTTCAGCTATGAACTGTGAATCGAAGGGTAGGGCCGTAGGGATTCCACATCCCAGCAACTTATTTATAATGTATATCAGGTTAGGTTTCAAACCAAGGACTTCAAGTTTTGGATGGTTGAATACTAGCGATGATCATTGTGGCTGATTGCTGCGCCTACGGCCACGGCTTAGAGCCACCAGCGCTTTGTGGCGTCCAGGATGGGCACCACCATCCAGGAAAGCCATGAACAATCAACCACTGTCTGTTCTGTGGTACACAATGGGTTTGTCTGAAAATGTTGGGTTAATATTCCCAATGAAATAGCCATTTAATAGGGATAATGATCAGCAAAACCATTGGGTACAATGGGGTACACTATTTTCAGACACACCCAATCTTATCAATTTCAAAAGTTGGGCACCTACCTACTTGGATCATTCTACATCCCATTTGGTAGCTGGAATGATAAGCCACAGAGTGGAGTATATCCTATGCATGACTGGGCGATAACCATGGCCATGGCCACTGACCCTTTACCAAACTGGGATGCACATCCAAGTAGGAACCTCTACTGCTTGGTGGTTTGAAATATGTTCAGGTTTCAAACGATATTTGGCTGTCGATCCAAGATGATCCCAGTAGAGGTTGAACCGATCATTGGCAAATCTATTTTTAGTCATTTGGATGATCTACTAAATGATCGGTTGATGATTTGGATATCTAAACGATCCAAGGTGAGCCAAGTAGATCAGTCATTGGCAGATCATCCAAATCAACTAATTAAAATATGTGTCTACTGCTTGATGATCTGCCAATGACTGTCCCATTTGCTTCCGGTGTTTGTCTTGGGACAACACCGCAGGAGTGCCGCGCGGCCCGAGCGCAGGCGGCATGGATCAGCAGCTCTCCGTGGCTGGCGTGGTTCCTTGGCTTCCTTGAAATTTCCTGGGGGTTTTGTCTAAATATTGGAGGTACCCACAAGTAGTAGGGAAGTATCTCCCAATATTGGGAAATACTTAGGAAAATGCCATTTCAAAAAATCTTGAACTTTGCAGGTTGGGGACTTGCTTTTCCTGCCAAACATCCTGAACTGGTAGTTTTGATGCGGTTTTCCTTGCTTGCGGTGAGCAGCTTCAAGGTGATGTGATGGGTGTGTCGGTGTTGATCGTCTTTGACGCGTGTGATGTGTATCCCGAATGAACCAGAAAAATGAACCTGTTTTGCTATACTATCCCCATGCGTGCGGGTGACATTCCTAATTTGTCAGGTCAAACCAAGCTCTGGTCAAGTAATATCCCAATGTTGCAGGTTTTACTCCCATCGTTTTGTTGACTATATCAATATCTATCAATATCCCTACTTTTGCTGGTGAACCCCCCCATTCTTCCAGCGCATTTTTCTTATTGAAAAACCATCTTTTGCCAGCGAAATCCTCATTTTCGTTTGTTGCCTGCCTCCATGACATTGTGACATGACCCAGGCCGCCAACTTCCCAGCAGCAGCATTCAACGGAGCATCCTTCCAGTGTGCGATTACGCAGGTGCTTGATTGACACCAGGGGGTTGAGACATGTTGAGACGATCATCGGGTTTTGTGATAAGGAAAATACAAAAATACAACCCGGAGCCAGGAACATGTTGGGTGAGGATTTTTGAGAACCAGGAACTAGGAACCCAATAATTTGTCACCATATTGCAGAAGCCCCATGGGTTTGACCATCCGATGTTGAATCACGATGATTTAAGAAGGGTTTGCATCAAACTTACAGGTAACATCAGGTAACCATCTATTTGATCATCCAGTTGTTCAATGTGTTTGGAATGCTTTCAGTGAATTTACCCAAAACCCAATCCTGGGAGATAGACACGGAGTTTGGGGCCGACGCCCCTCATCCACTATCCTGGAGTTTGGAGCCCCAACCCGCAAAATGCGACACAAAATGATAGCTCCAATACACTCCACAAGGGTTCGATTGGGTATGATTGATACTAGGGTGAAGGGATTAATTTACATTACATTATGATATTATGATATATTATGTAACTAGTTGGCCACTCGCCAACCTTCACCTTCCTTTGTCATGCTGGGTTGTATAAATCGCAAGATGTAGCTCTTCTGGGCAGACGAGTGGAATCTGCCTACCTATGCCATGTGATTCTCTCTTGAAGCCTTGCACCTTGAAAATTGGATACCGTACATTGACATGACAATGATTCCAAGCCATGAAACATGAAATAGTTGCATCGAAGCCCTTCCGAAAGGTTTTGCTGGTGATTTCAAAGTTCAGAACAATCTTCGATATTTCCCATTTTCAGAACAATCTTCGATAGTGAGGTTTGGGAATCATCTTCCGATAGGTTTTCCCTCGGTTTTCTTCAACTCGCCAGGGAGTGGATGGCCAAGTGGAGGTTCCCTTCACGCGCTGGGAACTGGAAGAGGTTTGGGATCCAAACCCAGACGCCCAGGGCAAGATGTCGCTTGGAATGCAACCTTGCTGGGGACCTCATCGAAAAAAAGGTGGTCTCTGGACGCATCAATCCATTGTTAATGCGGCAAGATCAAGATCATCAGCTGTTGGATTGTTTCAAGTGCCCCACAGTTGTGCCAAGATTTTAAAATTCATGAAAGATTCCTTTTATTTCACTTTCCTATTCCCATTTCTTCGTTATATATAATTAATTATAATTATAATTATATATATAATCCTATCCCCCTAATATTTTCAACACCCTCTTCGAAACCATGGGTTTTGCAGGACAATTCCATATGGTTGGGACCAAGGTATCCTCGCCATGGCGCCTTCATCGAGGCTGTGGAGTGCTTCGATGCCAAATTCTTTGGCATCTCACCCCCAGAGGCGCCATGATGCTTCCTGGCTTCCTACTGTTTTTTGACCCTGAACCCTGCCATCCTAGAAATCAATGGCCATTTCAGGAACCAAATTTGGAGGTACCTAGTATATACTATATATATATATATAAGTATATATAAGGCCTATGTAAGGGAATATCCCCACAGAATATGGCCTTATACAGTACAGTACCTCCGTTTTTGGATGCTGAAATTCCCACTTTAGTAAAATCCAATAGTTTGGGATTGACCAGCATAAGTTCATCTTGGTCCAACCTCTCCTGACCTTTTCTTTGTTGAAATGCTGGAAAAAAATGAAAAAATATCAGATGGATCCAGCCTTTTCTGATCAATGTCTCAGAGGTTGAAAGAGAAACCATACCCTTGCTGCCAGGCACGCGCGATGGATCCACAGCAACGGCTGCTGCTCGAGTGTTCCATGAACAGTTCCTCGTCAAAGATTTGAGTTTGGATTTCAATAAGATTTATAATGTGAATTTAATGGGGGCATGAACAGCTCTCAGGGATTTCAAGGAGGTTTGATGCGTTTTGATTTTTTGGTAATTGGATCATTGCAGCTCCCCTGCATGATGTCACAGGCGAATCTGGCTAACGCATAGTGATGCCCCTCACGAAAATCGGCAGCAACTTTTACATGGTTTTTACATTTGTTTTTTACCATGTTCAATGTTGTGTAATTTACCTTCAAGTATTTACCTAAGCTATTTGCCAGGCTTTTTCATTCCAAGTCTCCCCCAATTTTTTGGGGCTTTGCAACTGGGTTTTCCAGCAACTTCGGCCCAGGTTTGCTGGATGCAGGATTAGAGAAGTCCTCGGTCATGGGAAAGGAGGCCAGGAGGGGACGGAGCGATGAAATTCAGAACCGTAGGTGCTGAAAGTCAGCATCAAAAAGAGAGAAAGAGTATCTGAGTATGTTTTGATATGTTTGGCGCATTGTAGCTCATATATGAGACATCATCTCACGTCTCCGACAGCGCGACGGAAGGATTCTTGTAGCCTGTGGTCCAATTCTTCTCTCGTGCCCAGTTGCTCTCCCATCAAAAATCGAGACATGTCGGTCAGCGGTGACGATGATGATCTCCCTACGTGCGAATGTGGACAGACTATGACCATCAAAAAGAGCGAGAATATGTGGCATTGCAGCGTTTGCCAAGAGGTCAAGGCTGCTTGTGTCCTCCAGTACATTTGCGCTTGCGGGTGCCATGCCTGCGATGAGTGTGCTTGGTTCAATGCTGAGATTGAGGAAGAACGCGAAGAAGAGTATGAAGAATGGGAATGGGATGAGTACTGTGAAATCGGAGGATATGACAGTTGGAATGGCTGTGACCAGTACCAGCACCAAGAAGAAGGACAATGGCAAGAGTGGGAGCACAAAGGCCATTCGCCGGATGAATCAGAAGAGCATGGTGAACAGAATGAGTCTGGCGCATGGAATGAGTATGGTGAATGGAATGAGTATGGTGAATGGAATGAGTACTGTGAGATTGGGGGCCATGGATGGAGTGGATGTGATTGGAATGACCAAGAAGATGCAGCCAGTGCAACTGATCAGCCACTCCCCACCCTCCTCGATGCTCAGAAGGCAACGCAGGAGATCAAAGCAGCCCTCCATATCCAGGATTGCAACGCCATTCCCTAAGATTCGCCTTCCGAAGGATTGCAACGCCGCTCCCTGTGATTTGTAGATATTCCATGATCAAAGGAAGTTTAGGTGGAGAAACTTCCGTGTTACGGACTTTTAGAATGTCAGGGAAAGAGTTAGTCAAAGAAAGAGGTAGCAAAGAAAGAGTTCGTCAGGGAAAGAGTTAGTCAAAGAAAGAGTTAGTCAAAGAAGAGTTTGTCAAAGAAAGAGTTAGTCAGGGAAAGAGTTAGTCAAAGAAAGAGTTAGCAAAGAAACAGTTAGTCAGGGAAAGAGTTAGTCAAAGAAAGAGTTCGTCAAAGAAACAGTTAGTCAGGGAAAGAGTTAGTCAAAGAAAGAGTTCGTCAAAGAAACAGTTAGTCAGGGAAAGAGTTAGTCAAAGAAAGAGTTAGTGAGGGAAAGAGTTAGTCAAAGAAATAGTTAGTGAGGGAAAGAGTTAGTCAAAGAAAGAGTTAGTGAGGGAAAGAGTTAGTCAAAGAAAGAGTTAGTCAGGAAATATGAGGTAGTCAAAGAAAGAGTTAGCAAAGAAAGAGTTAGTCAAAGAAAGAGCAAAGAAAGAGTTCGTTAGGGAACGAGTTAGTCAAAGAAATTGTTCCCGCAATGTAAATGGGATTGCACGTGGTGCTGGTGGATGAGTTGCCGATGTAGTTTTGAAGGAAGTCTCGCACGAAATGCGTTTTTGAGAGATAGCAGATGCACGAAACCCTATGTTTTTCCGGACAAAGTGCGTCCCCGAACGTCGATGATCTACCTCTGCGGTGCGACGGGTGCGAGACTGTGGTCGGATCATGGTCGGATCATGGTCGGATCGGTCTCGGACCATGGTCGGATCGGTTCCGCATTGTAAATGGGGTGTCACCTGCGTTTCGTGCATTTGCGGTCGACAGAATTCCATTGTGATTTGCAACTGTAGGATCGTTCCCGCAATGTAAATGGGATTGCAAGTGGTGCTGGTGGATGAGTTGCCGATGGAATTCCATTGTGATTTGCAACTGTAGGATCGTTCCCGCAATGTAGATGGGATTGCAAGTGGTGCTGGTGGATGAGTTGCCGATGGAATTCCATTGTGATTTGCATCTCTAGGATCGTTCCCTCACTGTAAATGGGATTGCAAGTGGTGCTGGTGGAGGAGTTGCCGATGGAGTTTTGAAGGAAGTCTCGCACGAAATGCGTTTTTGAGAGATAGCAGATGCACGAAACCGTATGTTTTTTCCGGACAAAGTGCGTCCCCGAACGTCGATGATCTATACCTCTGCGGTGCGACGGGTGCGAGACGGTCTCGTGTGTGGTCGGATCATGCTCGGATCATGGTCGGATCGGTCTCGGATCGGTTCCGCATTGTAAATGGGGTGTCACCTGTGTTTCGTGCATTTGCGGTCGACAGAACTCCATTGTGATTTGCAACTGTAGGATCGTTCCCGCAATGTAAATGGGATTGCAAGTGGTGCTGGTGGATGAGTTGCCGATGGAATTCCATTGTGATTTGCAACTCTAGGATCGTTCCCTCACTGTAAATGGGATTGCAAGTGTTGCTGGTGGATGAGTTGCCGATGGAATTCCATGGTGCTTTGCAACTGTAGGATCGTTCCCGCAGTGTAAATGGTTGCGTCAAGGTTGCTTCGTGCTGTGGCTGCATTGGTAATACTATTGTCTTTTGCAGCTGGACTTCGTAAATCGTATTGGAGTGGCTGCATGAAGGCTGCGACAGTGATTTGTCAGCAGATTTTCTCCATTTTGGCGCTAGTAATTTTCCTTTAAAAAATCCTTTTAAAAAGTGCTTCAAAATCGTCTTTTTTTTCGCTTTGGCGTCGAGATCCGGTTTTGTAGCTGCAATTTCCGACCCAGTTGCGCGTAGTTCTATTGTGTTTTGCAACTCAGTCTCTGCAGATCGCATTGTAATGGCTGCGTCAAGGTTGCTTCGTGCTGTGGCTGCATTGGTAATACTATTGACTTTTGCAGCTGGATCTCGTAAATCGTATTGGAGTGGCTGCATGAAGGCTGCCACAGTGATTTGTCAGCAGATTTTCTTCATTTTGGCGCCAGTGATTTTCCTTCTAAAAATCCTTTTAAAAAGTGCTTCAAAATCGTCTTTTTTTCGCTCTGGCGTCGAGATCCGGTTTTGGAGCTACAATTTCCGACGCCGTTGCGCGTAGTTCTATTGTGTTTTGCAACTCAGTCTCCGCAGATCGCATTGTAATGGCTGCGTCAAGGTTGCTTCATGCTGTGGCTGCATGCGTAATACTAGTGTCTTTTGCAGCTGGACTTCGTAAATCGTATTGGAGTGGCTGCATGAAGGCTGCGACAGTGATTTGTCAGCAGATTTTCTCCACTTTGGCGCTAGTGATTTTCCTTCTAAAAATCCTTTTAAAAAGTGCTTCAAAATCGTCTTTTTTTCGCTCAGGCGTCGAGATCCGGTTTTTGAGCTACAATTTCCGATGCCATTGCGCGTAGTTCTCTTGTGTTTTGCAACTCAGTCTCCGCAGATCGCATTGGAATGGCTGCGTCAAGGTTGCTTCTTGCTTTGGCTGCATGCGTAATGTCTTTTGCAGCTGGATCTCGTACATCGTCTTGGACTGGCTGCATGAAGGCTGCGAAATGGATTTGTTAGCAGATTTTCTCCATTTTGGCGCTAGTGTTTTTTTGTTGCACGTAGGTTTAGAGCAGTGTGAAGTGTGGGGCGTGAAGAGTGCAGTGTGAAGTGTGCAGTGTGAAGGAAGCAGTGGGAAGTGAAGTGTGAAGTGTGGAGTGTGAAGTTTAAGTTTGGAGTGCGAAGAGCGCAGTGTGAAGTGTGAAGTGTGAGGTTTGGAGTGTGTGAAGTGTGAGGTTTGGAGTGTGAAAGGAAGCAGTGAGGAAGTGAGAAGTGTGAAGTGTGAAGTGTGAGTGAAGTGTGGAGTGTGAAGTGCGAAGTGAGTGTGAAGTGTGAAGTTTGGAGTGTGAAGTTTGGAGTGGGAAGGAAGCAGTGAGAAGTGAGTGTGAAGTGTGAAGTGTGTGATTGTGAAGTTTGGAGTGTGAAGGAAGCAGTGAGAAGTGAGAAGTGTGAAGTGAGAAGTGTGAAGTGTGGACTGTGAAGTGTGGAGTGCGAAGAGCGCAGTGTGAAGTGTGAAGTGTGAAGTGTGAGGTTTGGAGTGTGAAGGAAGCAGTGAGAAGTGTGAAGTGTGGACTGTGAAGTGTGAAGTGTGAGTGAAGTGTGGAGTGTGAAGTGCGAAGTGAGAAGTGTGAAGTTCAGTGTGAAGTGTGAAGTTTGGAGTGTGAAGTTTGGAGTGGGAAGGAAGCAGTGAGAAGTGAGAAGTGTGAAGTGTGGACTGTGAAGTGTGGAGTGTGAAGTGCAAAGTGAGAAGTGTGAAGTTTGGAGTGTGAAGGAAGCAGTGAGAAGTGAGAAGTGTGAAGTGAGAAGTGTGAAGTGTGGACTGTGAAGTGTGGAGTGTGAAGTGCGAAGTGAGAAGTGTGAAGTGTGAAGTTTGGAGTGTGAAGGGAGCAGTGAGAAGTGAGAAGTGTGAAGTGTGGAGTGTGAAGTGTGAAGTGTGAAGTGCGAAGTGAGAAGTGTGGACTGTGAAGTGTGAAGTGTGAAGTGTGGACTGTGAAGTGTGAAGTGTGAAGTGTGGACTGTGAAGTGTGAAGTGTGCAGTGTGAAGTGTGAAGTGTGAGGTTTGGAGTGTGAAGAAGCAGTGAGAAGTGAGAAGTGTGGAGTGTGAAGTTTGAAGTTTGGAGTGCGAAGAGTGCAGTGTGCAGTGTGAGGTGTGGAGTGTCGAGGGAAGGACACGGTCGGGACAGGTTGTCTTTGAACTATAGGTCATTTATGTTTGGGAAACTTCCGCCGCCGGCTTGCCCGGGTCTATGTTATGGGTATGGATCAATACCTATTATATAATACCATTTTTAGGGGATGAACATCCATTTACCAGCTATTTTGATGTTCACCAGGGGTACAAGGTTTTGACCCATCCCCATATTCCAATGTTTGCAATGCAGTTGAAGCTGGAGACAGGCCAAATGGTCAAGGCTCCTAATTTGTTTTGAAATGCTGAGTGAAATTGTGTGTGAAATTCGGAATGTCCAATTATATAGCCGAGATTTCTGTGGCACATGTTCAGTCTGCAAATATCCGCAGAAATAGATGATATGCCGGAGCCCGATATAGCACTGCTGGCGTTTCCGAAAATGGCTAGATCCTTCAAAATCCAGGTTCATGTTTGATCGGCTTGGGAAGCTATGGATGTTTCATGATCCTTCTGAATCCATCAGAGAGCAGTACTCAGAAGCGCCTGCAGCTCGGTTTCCGACACGCAGCCAATGGTCCTCGCCTCCATAGGAAAAAGTTTGTCGCGCTGTTGTCATCCATAAAATCTGAAGCCTTCAAAATAAGACATTCAACACTTCAATACACTTCATTGCCAGATTCCCTTTACCCAAACACAACATCAACGGACCTTCCGATGTGGATCCGATTGATTGTGGCTCCGCCAAGATGTGCCATTTCCGGAATGTCAACGGCTCATCCCATCGGCAGGTCTCGGTACATGTGGGCTTGGCCAACAACGATTGGATCCAGATGCAGTCCTGGGACTTCAAAAAGATCAGCCCCTACACCGCTACAGGTCCGGAGTCCGGACAGGGACAGGGACAGGGACTGGGATCTGCTGGGGAAGTCTCTAAATTGTTTGTTGGATGTTGATGTGATCAATGATAAGACATTGATAATACATCATGATAAATGATGATAGATGATAAAGTTGATCGCAAATTATCAACAGGTTGTTCTTGGTTGGAATTGATTGACTGGCTTATTAATCGTTGAATCTGTCTTTGAATGCAGCAGGTGCCATTCAAAAAATCGTTCACGTATGCGTTTGGGTCGAGATTATCCATCCTTGAGTGGCAAATGGGGGTTTACTAAAGAGAGCAGTGGTTGCAGAATGCAGTCAAAGACCGCACTCCCAGGGTGTCCCCTTCTGTTCCTAAAATACCACCATTTTGATCTTCCTGAGACGTGCTGATCGGTTTCGTAGGCATGTCCTTCTCCGTCTCCGCGGGTCGTATCTCCTATGCCCTGGGATTGAAGGGCCCATCCTACATCGTTGACACGGCCTGTTCTTCGGTCCCTTGTTGCAGCATGGAGCGTTTGGGACCTGGAAAATAGGGAAATGCATGGCAAGCGGCAAGTGATTTTGTATAGGATCTTGTCATTGCAACCAGCATTTTCATGTTTGTTTTTTGTACACTAGGGGGGAGAAGCCTGAAGCAACTGCGTACCTCTGAATGTATGCTGCCCCCTCTGGTCCCTGTTCCCAATCCCCCCCAGCCAGACCAAAGCGTGCGCAGGTCTTGGGTTAAGTTACCAGTTTTGGTGGTGACATCAGTGACATTCCCATTTTTCGGGTACCTGATATTCCACCTGATCTTCTGTTGTGTTCTCAGGTCTACATCCCATTATATATATAATTACATATATACATTATAATTATATAATCATATGATATATGTATCTGTGTATACACACATATGATATTCTAAGGCTCTATATCCCATGACATACATGTATACCCCTCTAATATTCCCTTTTTTTAACCAAAAAAACATCTTGCTCCGCACCACCAGGCTTTGGTGGCTTTGGACTGTTCTGCCACGGCTCTTCGCAAGGGCCGCTGCAGCAGCGCGCTGAACACTGCGGCCAATGTCATGGCCAGCCCCACCACGTTCCTTGGTGAATGGAGTGGAGGGGAAAGGCTTTTCTCTGGGTTTTCAGAGGGTTTCTAGCCCCTAAAATGCCAATGACTCATTTTACCCCGGAATACGATGGAATACGTGGATTCCTGTATCCTCACTTTTATGCTCTATTATGATCTATTATGCAACAATTTATAATATAGTATAATCTATTGTGGTGGGTAGAGGGTAGTGCCAGCCTTGACTTACCTTTGATGGTGAGAAATGATAAGTGTGTGTGGTTTCGAAGGGTTTTACTACCAGTAATTAGCATGAGTGTGACTAATTATAGCATTCTCTCCGAGTACTGGTATGAGCTAAAAGTGGAACCAATTGACAATAGTTTCAAAGTCTTGAGATTCGCTACGCCACTTGGAAGACTCAGCGAAAAGACAGTGTGCAGAAAAGTTGTTGGAAACTACTCAGCTTTGATCTTTCCTGGGCTTTGGTTGTCCTCACTGGTCATCAGTTCCTATTTGGCGGTGGCTGAAATCCTCACCCCTCAAATGTTATCGTTTTGTCATCTACTCCATTTGAGTAGCTGGCCATTAGTTGTCCATTGGTACTCGACCTCATTTCAGGTCGCCATCCCTATTTCAGATGATTTCAGCGTTCGCCTCCCGTCATTACCACTGAAATTGTAATAGCCACCCACTTTCAGACACACCCACAACATCTACATATATTTTATACATCCCATATTAACTGTAGAATTATTTGAATTATTCCCATTTAAGCCAAAAAAAAACTGCCAGAAAAAACATGCTCCCTACAGGCCGACTGTCCAGGTACATCAGCTTCAGCAAGCCCCGCATGTTATCCGCCCTTGGGCGTTGCTTCACCTTCGACGCCTCCGCGGACGGCTACGCCCGCGGCGAGGGCGCCGGTGCGGTGCTGCTGCGGCTGCCGGAGGAGGCCATTGAGGCGGCTCGGACGGCGGAGCAGCCAGAGGCCACCTTGGAACGCTGTGGATTGCTAGGGGTGGCCGTCAACCAGGACACGGGGGAAGAAAAAACCTTGTGTTTTTTGGTGAGTTCATGGTTTTGTTGGAGGGTTGAATGGGAAGTGTTTGGTTGGATGGTTATTTTTTGTTGGGAAAGCAGCCGCATTGAGTTTTAAGGATACTTTTTCTTTAGGGGCGTCACGGAAGGACATGCTGTTCTTGTTGCTTTCTTGGGGGATGATGTGAGATCTGTTTGTGATGTTATTGGGGAAGGATTGTTTTGGAGGAGCTGCATGCGTTTGTGCAATTGGTCCCTGAAACAAACATGAAGTGTGTTGAAGCTTCCATAGATTGTAGATCCAAAAAAATATCAATTCTGATATGGCTTAAAGAGGCTTAAAGCCTACAAGAATGATGAAGAATGTCACTTGGATCAGAATCCGCGCTGCCAGGACGGTCGCAGCTCCACTCTGACGGCGCCCAACGGCCCCTCCCAGGGCAGCGTGATGCGCGTGGCGCTGGCGGAGGCCAGGATGCAGCCAGAGGAAGTGGCACCTTGGCGCGTCGCAAAAGGTGGGTGCTGGGAGAATCCACGGGTTTGCATCCATAGCCATGGTCCAAAAAATTGGTCATAGAATTGGATGATGGGGAAAATTTACAGGAAAACCCATGGAAAACCCTATATTTGATGGTAAAAACCATGGTTTCCTGTAGATTTTCCCTTAAACCAATCCATTGAATTGGTTATTTTGCCATAAAAAGGGGGATGGTCATCCGAAAGTGGATAGAATGGATAGATCTACGCTGAAAACGGGATTCCCCTTGTGTTTTGACAACGGCACTAATAGGGGTTTCTCTGAAAATGAGGAATTTACCCCAAATGGATCCAAATGGCAATTTTACGGCAAAATGATGATAAACACTCGAATTATGGATCTTTTCAGACAGACCCAGCATTTTGGTTGTATGTTGATTGAATGATCTTGAATGGGTATTAGGTTTTAATTGATCAATCTCTCTGAAATTGACAGGATTTATAAGTTATACTCTAAACTCTAAGCCTCTAAGCACAGTCAAGTTTGGTTCATTGACAGCCGGTCTTGAGCTATGGCTATACCCAAATGTTTACAGCCAATTGTGCTGGGGGTTTTGAATTATAATTCAAGCGGTTTGGAACATGTAAGAGAAACCACAACTCAGATCCATGGTGAGGAACTTTCCCATCAAGTGGTTTGAGGCAACGTCTGTAGGAATAGCTTGGATTTGGATCGTGAAACCATGGTGTCCTGCCATAGTTTTCCCATAGTTTTCCCCGAGAAATAGCTGTCCTGAAAAAGCAATGGCCGCCATCGGCAGATGTTGGGGATGTAGCCCAGTCACAAATAACTCGCTTCTTGAGGGCTCGTTCATCGTCCTTGGAGTCCTTGGATGTTTTGATAAGTTTTCAACTCATGCATCACTACTGGGGTCCCTCTCGTTGGCCGATCTTCATTATCTAAAAACGGATTTGTTGGAAAAACAGGGTATACCATGGTATACCCCCCCAACTTCGATGCAAAATTCTCATCCATTTTGCCAATTTTCCACATGGCCCTTTTGGCCCGGTGAACACCCTGTGAGGCTTCAGGATGTTCAGGCAGATCCCATCCCACCAGTCCTGGAGAGCCCAGGTGCACATGGAATGCCATGGAACTGGCACTCCTTTGGGTGACCCCATTGAGATCGGAGGCTTGAAATCCATCAACGCTTCGAGGCCCCAATTTCGGTGGTGAGAAAGCCCCATAACTTGTGGCCATTGAAATGGAAATATGATTGAAATATGACTCATGATAACTTATATAGGATTCAGTGATGCCACCATGTCAAACACTCTCAAAACTGGTTGAATGAACACCTAAATGTAGTCTATGATGTTCATGATTTCAGGTGTTCAGGTTACCAGGGCGTTGATCCTTGCCCATGTACTTGTTCAGATGGCAACCTAAATCTGCTTTCAAGAAATTGCGCTCCTTCCAACATGTCGAATTAAAAGTGTTTTCTGCACACAGCCTCTGCAAACAGATAATTCATCTTGAGATATGGGTTTGTCTGAAAATAGGGTATATTCCCAATTATAGCCATTTAGTAGGGATAATGATCATTAGCCATTGGGTTTAGGGGTACACTATTTTCAGACACGCCCATATCTTGAGATTGCAATGTGTTGGAATGTGATGGAATTCAACTGGGACCTGTCTCAGCTTCAGTGTCCAAAAAAGCTGTTGGTTGGGTCCCATGTTGAAAACACTAATCGCTAGGCCAGTCACAAGCCCATCAACGAGGAGTATATAGATCTTAGATTTGCACTCCAGCTTCTCAGTTGCAACCCCACCTCATTGTTAATATATATATACACATACATACATATATATATATATTATATATAGATTTATTTAATCATTATACATTATACGACATCTGAATCCAAGTACAAGGCTGCATGATGGCACTCGTAAAGAAAGACAATATTAATATACATACACTAACATACATATGTAAATACATATACAAATGAATATAAATACATATATATATACATACATATCATAGATTATTAATTATTATTCAAGTCAGCCAGATAAGTTGGGTTTGGCTCCCCCCCGTCAGTTGCCAGGACGCTGGAAAATCCCTTGGTCCTGGCTGCGGTGAAGTCCAACTGTGGCCACTTGGAAGGTCCCGCTGCCTCCACAGGCACCGTGGCCGGTGGACGATCCTGGAACCATGGGATGAGGGTGGTATACCTGGTATGGGGTGTCTAAAATGTCAGGAAAAACATATGATAGAGATATTCAAAGAGAACATGTATCCTTTTAGTGCTTTTTACATGTGATTTTTTTTTACAGTCAAACATGATGAGATGGGGTCATGAGTCGAAACTGATGCTTTCAGACAACCACAAGTTTGGGTCATTTTGCAGTTTGGAGAACCATCTGGCAGCAGGGACGGGATCAGTTTGCCAGTTTGAAGTGGATAGGACAGTACCAGGGAACTTGTTGAACGGACCTAGCAGCCATTGTTTCACTGTTAATCATGGTCTATTTATGTTCATATGGAAGAGGCTGTTCGATCACTGGTGGTATGTCATCCTCAAAAAGAGGCAGGTCATGACAGGTCTATGCCGTCCGAAGGTAGGCGTTGGCGTTGGCAATGTGCTGAGCATTGCCCGCATTAAACTATGCAGTACTTTTGCAAATATGGGTATGGATCAATACCTATTAATACATATTAATACCATTTTTAGGGGGATGAACATCCATTTACCAGCTATTTTGATATTCACCAGGGGTACAAGGTTTTGACACAAGTTTTTCAACACAAAATAACACAAAATAACTTGGATGGTCTACATGGAACCCACCAACGGCCATGTCCACGAAAACAATCCTTCGACCCTCTTGGAGATTTCAGGCATACCATCAGGGATCCATTCAAACTCACCAGGGAGTTGTCCCGGCACAGGACTCATCAAGTCCGTGGCGCTGATGGAGTGTCATGGCAGTGGAGGGCTTGGGAAATTCCTAGGGTTAAACACCTCGTACGGTTCCCCAAATGGCCAGAGAATCTGGGCCCAAACCCAGATTCGTTTCGTACGTTTTGGAACGTCTTGAGGGGCCCACATCGCCTGAGCTGGTGCAGTGGAACCATGGATCGACACGGTGGAATTTCACTATCTCGTGGGTCGTTTACTTGAAAGAATGCCAGTTTTACCCTACCCACCGTGGGGATGTAGCTAACTGATAAGGATCGAACCGGCGAGATTTAGCCATTGAAAAATTGCCAAAATCGAATCCTAAATGGATTTTCTGGATTTTGACCGGGAATCATACACCCTGAACCCCAATTTCAGAAGCAACAACATGTCACGGGCTGCCATGGAGATCCTTATACTGTGTACATATATATATATATATATAATACATATATATTTCATATATATTCACATCCCCATAAACTATAATTGATTTTAATTGCCCTCACTTTTGGACCACCCCATCGGGCATCTGAGGCATTTGTCGTCCATGTCCTCAATCCATCTGCGGGCCTTGAACCCGAGCATCGCGGCCTTGCACGACCTGCCTGCGCTCTTTGCGACGGAGTCGCTGCCTTTGTCAAAGAAGGCAGGGAGATGCTATATTGGGGACGCTGTATCTCTAGCATTTTTTGGGCGAGAGTTTGAATCTTAGATACTTCAGGATGAAATTCCCTAGTTGGCCCCCATTTTGGGGTTCAACGTTTAACATCACCTGTTTTGTGTCTAAAATGTGGGCAAACAGCCTTCACCTTTTGTGACGCTTCTTGGTGAAATTCTTTCAGGGATGTGCAAACCCTTCCCGGGGTGTTGCGTATTGAATTCTTCCATTTTGGGTGCCCGGATATGATCGGATATGATGGTCAGAGGGAAGTAGCTTGCCAACCAGAAACTCTGGTGGAATGACTTTGATCCCAGCCATGGAGGTTCAGTTCGCTGGGATTTGATCATGGAACTATAGCTGGGGGATTGGCCAGTCACGTTTGATGACACCGGAGGGTAAATTCATTAGAATCCCCAGTGTTGATTGCTAAATCCCTATTAAATCCACATAAAATCCCATTGAATCCCTATTAAATCCACATAAAATCCCGTTGAATCCCTATTAAATCCCAAGTCCGCCACGTTCCTCACTGCCGCACCAGTCCTTGAGCCGCCTGGGCGGTGGTCTCTCCTCCTTCGGCTTCGGTGGAACCAACGCGCACGGCGTGGTCTCCTGTGCCACCGAGGCCAGAGTGATCTGTGGGAACTCAACATGGAGACCTCCAAAAAATCAGAGGGGGTTATTCGGAGATATTCAGATGATGTACTCTATTATATGATTTATACATATATAATATGTGTATGTATATAAATATATATATATATGTTATATGATATATGATATATACATAATATATATATACACACACATCTGCTACTAGCTACATGTTACAGTAATGAATATGAATATACTACTGTTACTGTCAGGCGGCCGAAGCCTTCCGCCAGCAGCTGGCGGATCTGCGTTCGCCTTCGTTAAGGGCGGCGGCGTTGCCGCTGCGCTTGGCGCCGGCGGTCTTTGAAAAGAAGAGCTTCCCCTGGAGAGAGGTGAGGTGGTTGGCCACCTTTGGATGTGTCAAAATTGGGTCCAAAAATGGTGGGATTTTGATATAAACACCAAACTGATATGGCTAATTATGTTAAAATATGTGTAAATGGTGAATTGTTTGGGACATGTTTGGAAATGTTGGTGAATTGTCCATGTTTGGTGGAGCGTCATGGAGGTTGGGCATTGTTTGAAGCCACAAAGAGCCATCAAAAGGGAGTTCGCCGGGCCAAAAAGTTCGCTGCGACACAGTTTGGATTTTTCCCTGAGTTGTTTGTCTTCTTGTTGGCTATCCCAACAATTTGACGATGTGATGAGGAGTTGAAAGGCACCATCGTTTTCGGAAGCTGTGTTGAGATTGAGATGAGCCAGGCTTTTGTAGGAAGCTTTGACCATGGTTGTCGTAACAGATGCGGATCCTTCACAAATCTGATTGCTGGTTCCTTCCAAGGCTTCGAGAAGTCCAGCAGTTGGGGCATAAACCACCGTTTTGCTTCCGTCTCATTTCGTACCAGTACTGTAAATCATGAATTCAGGATATAGTCCAACTATGAAGCGCCTAGCGCTGAAGGATGTTCACCCCAGGAATTTTTCGGTGAAAACCACTATCCTGGTCCTTAGAGGGAGCAATTCTCTATGTCTCCCATTTTGGATGGATTTGAAGCAATCACTGACATGTCATTGACTAATCCATCTACCCCCGTACTTGGCTGGTAAAATCCATGGTTTCCTCATGTTGCCTTCAGATGTTCCCTTAAACATGTGCAGTTTGACGGTTCTCTCCGCCGCGCTGGGTGGTCAGGTGGGTTTCCGCTTCTTGCGAGCCAAGCCTGGTGCCTGGGCACATCTGAAACGCCAGAATCGACTTTCAAACGGCTTTGGAAGTGCAGTTCCAGTGAACTAAGTGGATATATAACCATAGTATGGACCATAGTTTATAGGGATTGTATCCCAAGCAGGGGTTCAAAGATGATTTTAGTATCGCAATAATTTGGTTGGGAAGGAGATTGTTCCATCTAAAAAATGGACTTGAACGAGGATTCCTCTATTGGACATGGCCAGGGCCCACTTTTTTGGGTGTGGTCACTTTCAAATACTCCATCTCATCCATCCTGTTGGCGGACAACGGACATTCTAGTTTGTTTGAAGTGATGCAGCTGACACTTTAACACGTCAAAGGCATTAAACAAAACCCCAACCACATGTTTTAGATTTTTTTAGGCACTTGTCCTTCCACGATACCATTTTCTCAATCCAAGCAGCTTGACTTTCACTATCTTTCAGTATCTTTCACTGTCTTCACTCCACCTCTCCGTCAGGTGAGTAGTACATCATATCATCTCCAATATCTCAATCTTTCTCAAGGATATAGCTTCTTACCATTTCAATCCATTTCTTACCCAAATCTCAACCAGGGCCTTTTTGGTGAAAAACTCCACCAGGTATCAACCATGGCCCAAATATATCCAACCATATCTACCAGGGCCGCTTCACCAAATATCTTTCCATTGGATCCCCATGGCCACTCCACAACCACCACTCCATGGCCACCACCCATGGCCACCACTCCACAACCACCAGGTGAGGGGATCTTCGAAGTGGCCATGCGAATGGACGTCTACGACGTGGTGAAGCACCACGTGGTCTTCGGTTCCATCGTGGTGCCCGGGGTGGTCTTCGTGGAGATGGCCCTGGAGGCCACCAAGGAACTCTTCGGACATGGCGTGCGCATCACGGATGTGTGCCTTGGTGGGTTTTGGGGGCCCGGGGGATGATGGAAATCTATGGATTTTATAGGGATTTTATAGGGATTTAATAGGAATCTATGGAACTTCAAGTCGTGTTATATGTAATTTTATTGCATTTCATGGGAATTTATAGTATGTCACTTTGTGGAGAATTATGTCATGTAGGATTTTACAGGAGTTTATGATATGATATAGGTTAATAGGTATCCAATCCAGTCTGGCAATAGGAAAATACAGACATGTCTAAATAGCACTGGGATTCTCATCTACAATTGCCAGTGATTTTGAATTACCCTCTGGTAACGACTAACGTAGCTATTGAAAATGGCCCAGTCGAAATAGTGGATTTACCGGATTTACCCATTAAACATGGTGATTTTCCATAGTTATGTTAGTTTACCAGAGGGTACCAGGTAAGATTACTGGAGAGTAATAGGGTACTGACATGAGATGATCGATATGGAAAGCAACCATGGTTTTTTCAAGGAGACGGTTCTGTAAACAGGATCAGATGATAGAATCAGCTAACAGCCTGTGACCTCAAAAGCCCTGGTTTAGCAGGGAAATGCGGCATTGAAAAGGGAGGATATATGACGATATCATATGGATACCTCATGCCAGCGCCATTGGTGACCGGGGGAACCACTGGATGTGACAGACCTACCCTCCAGAAATCGTGGACAATCCCCCCATGAAGTTCGATTTTTCCCATGCAAAACCTCCACTTAGTTCGGGGATTTCCCAGCCATGTTTGATGACCGCAGGGTAAATGAATTAGAATCTCATTGTAAGTCCCAGTTTATCGCATCAAAATCGTCGAATTTCCATTGAATCCCAATGAACAATCCATGTCAATGTGGCTGCTGAGGAACATGATGTTCCCCTTCGTGGTCCCTGAGCGTGTCACTGGTGCTGAGCCGCCTCCAATCATGCGCTTCGTGTTGAAGTCGGAGACGCGGTTCCAGACCCTGGGGCTGCCAGCAAAAATTGTCATTTTCAATGCTCAACCACTCCATTTTTGTGGGGTGAGAATTTTAACTCCATGAGAACCAAATGATTGAATGGTCAAGAAGAATATTGGCTGTAAGCCACTTGCACAAGAGAGACCCAGCGCCTTCAGGCGCTGGGAACTACCCCATCCCTGTGGCAACTTTCGAACTGGGAACATCCCCCGTCAGGTGAACCTGCCCAAGATTAAATATCCATAAATCTGGACGAATGCGATATGTTTCACGACAGAATCCAAAGACAAGTGCTTCAATGGGCTTCGCAAAGGTGACCCATGGTATTTCTCCAGGTTTGCAAGGTCGTCCATGATCATGTTGCATCATTTTGCCATCTTTGCCTATCCCCACTGTCAGGATTGAAAGCACTTCAGCCACCGGCACCGTCACAGTCCATGCGGAAGGTGGCATCAATCGCTCGCCCCTGCGTGGGGAGGCCCCGGTTGACTTGTTAATTTTTCCATGTTTGACCATGGTGGGTTTGTGTGACATGGTTTGAAGATGTTTGAAGGATGCAACTGTTTCAGAAGGTAAAGTTTCAGTCGTTTTCTGGAACATACATACTAGAAATGCATCATGGGTTCGCTGTTGAATAGACAGATGCTGGATGTTCAACGGAGATCGAATGGAAGCCAGGATTGGAAGTGGGTTTGTCTCTGCAAAATGTTGATGGTGTATCATCTCTTCCTCCTTAGAATGGCTATTTTCGAGTCCAAGAATTTCGCTATCCCTATTTTTTCACACCCCCAAGTGAAGACCAGCCGTCCTCGGCAGGAAGCTGAAACGGACAACTTTGCCAAAGCGAATCCGGTGGATGTCGAAGAACTTCGGGCGCGCATCAATGAGGTGGTGCCAACCAAGGACGGCAGCGTTGGCAACAAGCCACCTGCTTGGGGTCCAGAAGGTTACACAATATGGAGGTTTCCTAAAATCCAAGTCATTAATTAGACCATTTTAGGACTGAAAGCCGCGGTGACTTAGGGATCCCCCATTTTAAGAACCCCCCTTGTGGTAGTTTGGAATCTAATTTAATTAGGCAGGTTTCCCAACAGCAGACAGAGATGCCAGGCAGTTCAGGGCGGAGCGGCTTTTCCTTTTGGAATTGCACAACTGCACAAATCTATACAATTACATACCCTCTGGCAATTCAACATAGCTGTGGAAAAAACATGTGTTTCACGTATTTTCAGTAGGTAAAATCATCTATAATTGGCCCATGTTCTATAGCTATTGTTAGTTTACGAGAGGAAAAAATTGATCCCATGGCCCATGAATGTGAACTGTTGTTGCAGGACGTCTACGCTGCGATCGATGGCGTGGGGCTCTATTTGGGACCAATGTTCCAGACGGCCAAACAGCTCTGGCGAAAAGAACCTGAGGAAGGAAGTGAAAGCAAGGCGCCTTCCTCGCCATGGAAGATCAGGATCTTCCGATGTAAGTGTTACAAAACTTGATAAGACTTGATACATCTTGATACCATCATTTTGCTGGTGTAATCCCCATTTTTGCTGCTTTTTGTCAGAATCAGCCTCTCTGCTACGCTCAAGATCCACATGGTTCAAATAGTTTTCGAGCCGCAGGTCATTGAGGTGCTTGGACGCTTGAAGCTGGATGATGGGGTGCCCAATGTGGGTCTCGTCCTCAGGCGGTGGTAGTGGCAGACCAACCAGTTGCTGTGGTTGAGATAGTGGTTGAGTTTCTCAAGAAAATACCAAATGGTGATTGGCTCTATCATCCCAGTTGGTTGTTACCCTTAATAGTGGTTGAGTTTCTCTATTTGAAGGACTTGGGAAGTGCCCGACTATAATCCGTGCCTTGGTGCGGAAAGATGTTCGGCAATTTCGGAGAAGTCCCCTTGCAGCTTAGGATATGTCCTGCATCCAGCCGTCTTTGATGGCACCATTCACAGTTTGGGTACTGCCTCGGTTGGCAAGAATGTGAACGATCTGAAGATCTTTGGTGGTGTGGGACGAGTTTCGATCATTCAGACCGAGAACTTCTCTCAACATGAAGCATGGCTTGAACAGATGTGCATTCAAAACCCGCCTCATCAAATGTTCCTTCCCCTTCTTCCATTGTTTTGCCACTGGGAGGTCCTCTTTCTCGGGTGACTTCACTGCTGCACTCAACGGACCTATGATACAGTATGATACGGTTATTCAATCATTTTTGCCCAGGAAGTCCAGCAATTTGGGAGACCCAACTGGACCCAACTGGAAGGGCTGGGCCAGGGGGCCAGGGGATGTTGGCACCAAGGAAGAATATTGGATTTGGCTCAGTATCAAAGAGAAGCTCGAGGCATCGGAGACCTTTGACTTGAAGGCCTGCCATCTGGGCTGCTGGCTGTTTTTGTGCAGATAGGGTTTTTCAGGAGCTGTGGGAGATACCCTGGACATGAAGCACCGAAGCCATGCGCAGCCACACTAGGAAGATCATATCTATTAGGCGCCCAACCTGGAATGATGGTCCCAGTTGACCTTGATGTTTTTTCGGCGACCTCAACCAACCACCAACCACCAACCACCTGCCAGAGCTTGGGGAGGTCATGTCCAGCAATGGCACGGTGCTGATGCTCATGGACAATGTGGTCTTCCGCAAGGTCCTGCCCGAACAGATCCAGATGGCAATCGCTGCGCAATCCACACCGGAGGATGCTGCTCGGACCTCGAGAGTTTTGGGATTTTTTGGTGGGGAATGGAACCGAAAACGTGGACCTGGTGGTTAGGATGGAAGCTGTACTACTTGGGTTTGTCTTGAATTGAAAAAGGGGATACCTCAACCACTGTCAAACGTTCACACGGCCTATCTTGGCGTAGCCTTGGGAGCCAAACGCCTGGAAAGTGTTGAACTTGCAAGTTTTCAACTTAGACAATCTCAAACGAAATGGCTGGGCTCAGATGGTTCGCAAGCTGCATCATTGACTATATACCAAGGATCAGAAGATCTACGAGATCGAGTGGCAGGAAGTGGCAGAAGCAGCAGTTGAGGAGGAAGCTACTGAAGAGAAGTGGCTGGTGTTACATCAGGAGGCCTCCAAGAGTCCCCTGTTTGCAGATTTAGGGGGATCGTTTTTAGTCCTTGACCCAGAGTTGAAAGGGGTTGTGACCATGGGCACCCCTCTCTATTAACGAATGAGCCAGGGAGAAGAATATGTGTGATTTCTCTGCGAAGTGTTTGTTGCTTTTAAAGAGGTTGAAGCATGTTGAAACAAAGTATGCTGTCAAGATGTGGCAATGGTATGGGTACTTCAACATTGAGGACCCCCCAAAAGCAATGCAGTATGGCAAATCGATGATTGCTTCTTCGACCCACAAATGTGCAAAAGAAACTATGGCAAACAGTTGTTGAAGGGTTGTCCACCTTTGCTATATAGTACCCCCAAGAAAGATAGAAAAACAATGAGCAGCTCTTTATCCACAATTTTGCTACAATCTAAAGGGAGTCTCCTGTTCTATCTTTTCGTGGATTGCCATGGCTGCCAGTGGCAAGTGACCTTCGCATTGCTGAGGCTTTTTGGATGGTCTGCGCCAGCACTTGAGCGGCAACCACAGCTACGCTGGCCTCAGCGATGTAGAGAATTGGGGCAAGCTGCAAGATTACAACAGGCACCATGGCGGTTCCGTGTCATTCCCCCAGATTTTGAACATTTTGAAGGGGGATGTCGTTTATACATGTTTATACATATGGAGGTTTCCACAAATGGGGGTACCCCAAAATGGATGGTTTGTATAATGGAAAATCCTATGAAAATGGATGATTTGGAGGTACCCCTATTTTAGGAAACCAACATATTTGGACATAACCACTAGAAGTTAAATTCTTAGCAGCTGGGACCCAACCAGGCACGGGCTCAGAGTACGGACCCAGCCCATAGACTTTGATACTTTGATGATCCTTTTTTTCAGTGTGGGAAATGTAGTGCTTGTGGAGTGTTTACATGCCGGCAAACTGGCCAGCAACGGAAAAGGCTGCAATTTTTTTGAGTATGTTTGATGGGAACAGCATTTACCATCATTTACCTTTAAAAAGATATGAATGTGGTATAAATTGATATTTCTATGAGTGACTTCCAGCATCTTCAGCTTAGGGCACAGTGCTGCCAAAATCCTGATGTCAGTGAAATCCCAGGTTTCAATTGGTCGATTTGCTGCTGAAATCCGGAAAAAATCTTGATGTTGCTAGTATTGATGTTGCTAGTATTGAAGTTGATTTGTTGATTCAATTCTTTATGTTGCTCGTATTTACCATCTGGTTATGACTAACAGTTCGCCATGGAAAATCATCATGCTATTAATAGGTAAACCATCTATTTCTATGGACCATCTATACCATGGCTATGTTAGTCACAACCAGAGGGTATATCCCATTAATATCCCATTGAATCACCATAAAATATCCCATTCATACCCCATTAATAACCATAAAATATCCCATTAATATCCCATTAATAACCATAAAATATCCCATTAATATCCCATTATCTATAAATATCCCATTCATATCCCATTAAGAACCAGAGGGTATCAGATTTTACAAGTTGAATCACCAGAATCCCACGTTTCAAAAACGGTCCATTTCCGGTGCCAGGATCGTCTCCCTGGCCGGCCTCGCCGGGCTGCCGGAGGACGCCGAGAAGTCTGCGGCAGAGGTGTTGAATGCCACCTGGATGGGCAATGGATCCTGATGGATCCTGGAAATTCCTGGAAATTCCTGGCAGTTCTTGCGTTTTTCCAGGGATTATATGGGATTATATGGGATTTATATGGGATTATATGGGATTTATAGGGGTTGCTCCAAGCCATAATAGAAGTTGGTGTGGTTTGGGGATGGGGTTGCACCAAGCCATAACAAAAAAAACATGACAGGTATGTTTCTTTTTACCTCTATATTTACCCACTTTACCCTTCCTGTACCTGGGGTGTTTGAAGCAACTCTGATCTATATGTAGTTCTAGGATGCTGTAACTGATGGTTTTCCCCGTTGATTTCCAGGTTTCCAACTGTCTATTTCTGCTATGCTGCAATCTTCAAAAGACTGCCATTCACCTACTGTGACCCTACCATTCACCTACCACCTTTGGTCTCTTTGATGAGGTCTTAGATGGCACCATGCGATTGATGCAGATCTTGGCGAATGAAGCGAAAGAGGCCGAGCCACGTTGTTGTGGAAGCTCTGGTGTGTTTAGGACACCATATCACCGAAACCGAGAAACGTAGAAACTGGTTTTGAGTCAACAGGTGAATAGATATCAGACTCGGTCCATCTTGAGTAGATCTTGAGTAGATCCACCTGGGTGAGAATTGCAATATGCTACCATCATGGCTCTTGATTCTTTATATACTGCAAATGTTCCAACAATTACCAAGTCATAGTCCCAACACTATTTCTGAATTTCATTGTTTGGGGAACCAAACTTTACCCCATTCCAGCAAAAGATAGATGCAACTATCCGAGAAAAATCTTCCATCAAGCACAATTCCACATCAAAAAAATCACCAACCAACCAAAAAACATATATTACATATTCATATATTATATATATATTCATAAACATATTAATTACATGATATTACATATTCCATCAGAATTCCACAGATAAAAGTCTTCAGCCGAATCAACCACCACATGTCACCATCTCTGCCACAGGTGGGCGACTCGCCACCGCTGTGGATGGTCACCTCGCTGGCCAACGCGGTGCTGGCAGATGATTTGGGGACGACGATGTCACCTTCAAACCACGCCGGGCTGTGGGGCTTGGCCAAGGCGACCTGATCCGCATCGAGCCTTGTTTCGGACTTTCATGAGACTATACATGGGACTATAATGGGTTGAACTAATGGTTAGCAATGGTCAACCATGGATAACAATGGATAGCGTATCCCAAGTTGGTTGATTTCTGAGGAATACCCAGACCATGGGATCAAAATAGGTCAGGATTGGTGACATTTGTCAGGATTGGTCTCCTCAAAATCGTCAGGATGGCTCAGTTTGTTGAGTCGACCATGTTCGACAGCGCCAAAGTATCCAAGTCCAGGACTTGAGTCTGCAACCCGCAAAAGAAATCTCTATCTATCTATCTATTATCTATCTTTCTTTTCTTTTCTAGTCTAATCTTAATCTTAGTCTTAGTCTTAGTCTTAATCTAATCTAATCTATATATAACTACATATCCGTACATATAATTTAATGTGTTTGAGCCGACTTCAGCTGCATCGAGTCTGCAACCAATTCCAACTCGGCCCGCGCCAGGCTTTCCGCAACGAGCATCCGGAGTTGGCACCGGCCACCACCTTCGACCTGGAAGATGCCGTGTGCAGGTGTGGAAGATACCTTGGTGTCGGGGGGAATTCTTTGCCATAACACAATCCAAGAGATATAATATGATTATATATATAATATCATATGATCAAGCTATTTATGATATAATTGATATATTCTTGGAGACAATGGATTTGGTATGATATAATCCCCAACTTGTCTATGATAATATCATATAATATCAATATGTTCCTTATTAATCCATATGAACGCATATAAACTCATATCAACATATATCAACCATAGATCCATTCTTAAAATCCACATCTCCCCACGTTTTTTGGCGTCCCTGCCAGGTCACCCGAGCAGCTGGCGCAGCAGCTGAAGTTGCTCCAGCAGCAGCAAGTCGCAGGCCTTTCAGAACCGGAGCTGGCGCAACGACACAGCGAAGGTGGGAGCTGATAGGAAATGGATTGGTTTAGATATGTTTAAATCTACAGGTTAAACCATCGATTTTCCCATGAAATATGGGGTGTTCCTGTAAATATTCCCTGAAACCAATCCATTGAGATTGGGATTTCGGTGGAACCATCGGATTTTCGGTGGTGTTTTTTTCAAGGGACCTCTATCATTTATAACTTATATATAACTATTTATAAAGGCTATTGAAAGAAGGGGTCAAGATGTCTTAGCTGGGTTTTAAACGTCAAACAATCGGAATCATTGATAAATGATGGTTGGTTGACGATTGTCGGGGGTTTATGCTATCCTTTGTATATTGGGATTATCAGAATCCATGAAATGGGGATTCAATTCTTAGCCAAACAGTATATATTAGAATGGAATGACAGAGGGTCTTTGCACACTGCTCAGTTGGTTAGAGGCATGTGTCAAGAAATGGCTGTGCAAAAGCCAACCATACTTTGAATAGAATAGGGATAGCCAACAAGACTTGTTCAAGAGATTTCAGAGATGGCAACAGGTGAGTGTTTGGGATAGTAAGTGTATCCAGTTATAACTGGGAGAACACCACGACTTGGGGACATATGATCACCAGCGTTGACCAGTTAGCTCCCGGAAGGCAGCCTGAAGCTGTGGATGCCACGCTTGGTGGACTGCACGCAGCGCTTGCAGCAGGCCGAAAAGGAAGCACCAAGCTACTTGGCTCACTTAGGCGGCCAAGTGGCTATGGGTCTCTCTTGGATACCGCAGGAGTATCCCATAGAGACGATGGTTAGTATATATATATATATTTATTTATTTATACTGCAACTAATATCTGCCAATGGTCAGTATATAGAGGAATATACCCCCCCATAAATGGCGGTATATGACGGGTTTCATGGCGGTTTTTTTGAGGTTTCCAATGGCTGCCCGAGCTGCTCGTTTTTGACCTGAGGTTTTGACTCGGATGGGCTCTATGCAGTTACTGGGTCCTAAAAAAAAGGGCCATGGGATGCTGCAAAAGGGGCTGGGCAAACCATAGGTACCCCCTGGTTATGTCAAAATAGCTATTGAAAATGGCCATAGAAATAGTGGATTTTCCCATGAAAAATTGTGATTTTCCATAGTTATGTTAGTTTACCAGAGGGTAAGTGGGTTTATAACTGGGCTTAACTCGGGTTGATGGCAGATTATACGATTTTTATAATTGGATGGGGGAAACCCATCATAATTACACCACATGTTATTATCTATAATTGGATGGGTTTCTCAAGAAAGCTGTGGGAAGCTTTCTACATTGCAATAGGCCATTAACCGTTAAGTCGTGTCCATGATTGATGGCTACATTAATGTATCCGATCCGGTGCCAAAATCCTACTACAAAAATCCCGTAGTTGGGATGTCAATCCAAAAAGGAAAAGCTGTGAACCTGACCCACATCCATATCCATGAAGATCACCGAAGATGTCAAATTTCCGCCAATTCAACTGGAGATTTCCTAAGTCATGGGGGTGCCCAAAGGTTAACCAAGTCGTTTTTCTATGTTTTTCTTGGGGGTACCACCATGGCTAGACCTCCTCAGGTGACCGGCGGCACCGGTGCGCTGGGCTTGGTCTTTGCTGAGTGGATGGCATCTTTGGGTGCCAGGCCACTGGCACCACTGGGGGGTTGATCCCAAGGATTCAGTGAAATTCGACCAACCCCGCAGTTTCGCAGAGCAGGTTGGTTTGATTCCCTTGGTTTTACCATGTTTTACCCTCTGGTAAACTAACATAGCTATGGAAAGATCCACCATTTTTAATGGGAAAATCAACTATTAATGGTCATTTTCAATAGCTATGTTAAATTATGTTAAATTACCAGAGGGTAAATAGATGTTGGAAGGGAATGATATGAAATGACACTACTCGATAATTCATGATTGTTCTTGATACAGAGCTACTTAAAATGCCTTAGCATATTAATAATATAGATCAAACATGAGCAACATATTTCACTGTAAGAATTCGACTGGGTGTAGGTACCCATGTTGAAAGAGATATATGCACGGTACTCGCCAAACACACTTAAACTCATCCAAGATCTGATATATAGCTACCTTGTTCTATGAATGATGTACGATGATTCTATAGACATGTATAGGCATTGTAGACTGGTTGCATTCCCCACAAGATGGTCCAAAATCCCAAAGTGGCTTGCGGAGGCACTTTGCCTTGCTCTCACGAAGCGGACAACCACCCGCAGATTCCAAGGTAGGGGTGTCAGGGGTGCAGAAAACTCTCCCATTGGATCTGGATGAATATGATGAATCATGAGCACCTTAACGTCACCGTAAATGATGCTTAGTAGGGGAACTACCCCCATCTGGTCCTTATGTCAAATTGGTAAAGGAGATAATTCAGCCCAGATTGGATTGTTGGGTTATTTGATTTACCCTCTGGTAAATTAACATAGACCCTGAAAGTAGCCTAGTTTTAATGGAAACTAATCTTCCAACCCCGATGACTGCCAGGGTCTATGTTAATTTACCAGAGGGTGGTGAGAATGGAAATGTCCAGTTTCCTTGGATGACTGGTAAGCGAAGACTTGTAGCATGTGGATGAAATCCCTGGTGACCAAGCAGTGATCTCACCGAGATCATCGAGGTCTTGTAATGAGTGAAGCTGATACCCCAAGAATAGATGCTGATGATGCTGTCATGCTACCGATTCAGGCTGAGCTGACCCTCATCATTTGCACCCAACAAAACGGTCATGTTGTCATTTTTTATCTCATTTTGAGCATTAAACCACTCATATATTCGGGCTCAGAAATGACTATAGTTAGGATTCAGGATTAATAAACTGATGAATAATTCCTTCCAATATTAATTATCAAATGACTTGTTGGGGTTTCTTCCTGTTTCTTCGGGGCAGCCATTTCGACCCATGGGCTCAGGCGGCCTTCCGCAAGTTGGAGCGGCAGATGTCGAAGATGGAGAACGCCACCTTTGCGGCGACCAAGTGTGACATCAGCACCCCGGAGCCACCAAAAACGACGGTGACCGGTGGTGACCGCGTTTTTTTTAGCCCTTTTGAGCCATGTTTGAAACCGGAAAAGCATGGAAAAACTGGTAGTAAAACATGTTTAAAAGACGGGGGAACACAAACCGAAAAATTCGAGGGTATCAACATTTCTTGGGATAATATTATGACAATTTATGACATAATCTTATGATTGATGGTATATATTTTCTGTGCGCCATCAAACATCTCTTGGTGCCAGGATATTGCCTGAGTATTGCCATGTTAGACTGTATGACGACCTCAGCATCGTGTCGCCGAAAAATGCAGCCTCCAATTCACGGTTTTGGTATCAGTTTCATGCTCCCTTTCTTATCCCATGTTTGAGCCGGCATGATATGCCTATCTAATTCAAGACTAGTGCCACCCAGGATCAATCAGAGAATGTCTGCAGTAATGCACGCACAGGTTTTGGTAATATGAAGGGGTCAGAAATGGTTTAACTATGATTAATCGTTTAATTTGGATGCGCTTCAATTTTTTCATAGATCCATAATGATCCACATACATCCCATGTTAGCTTTGGTGAGTAGCAGTGACTTAAGTCACTTTGCCGGGAACCTCCCCGAGGCTCTGTTGCAGATGTGCGCCGTGTTTTCACGGATCTGAAGCAGAAGCATGCAGTGACTTGGTGGTTACGACTGGCCAAGACAGCCATGGCCATAGGGTTTGACTTGAGGATCCATTGGCAGTGTGTCAAAACCTTGTACCCCTGGTGAACATCAAAATAGCTGGGATTCATGGATGGTCATTCCCTAAAAATGGTATGGATAGGTATTGATCCATAGCCCCATGGGGGCAAATCCAACTGAAGAGGGCTCAAATGGCTACGGTTCAACAGCATTTAGCCAAATTGAGATGCCAAATTGAGACGCATAGGACGCTAAGAATGCTAAGAACTGACACGCACAATACACGCACAGAAGGCCTATGAAAGACTTACATACAATCGACTTACATACAATCGAAGATCAGAAGACCTTCAAATTAGGAAATATGGGCTTCGCGTTTTCTGGGGTCAACAACTGATTGTCCCCACTACTTTGAAACATGATGTTACCAATTTCCAGCGCACCATCTGTCACTAGATGACATGGTCGCGGGTCAGAGATGGTCACTGACTGGATCCCTGGCTACTGCCTGGGCGGCTGGTGGTGGGCTAAAAAACACAATCGGGGTCTACAAAAAGCAGGAAGATCCAGGATGATTTTGTGTACAGAATCAGTTTTGATCATCGCATGTCCATCAGACCAGAACATGGTGTATGGAGGCTTCAAGGTTATCATTTGCCGTATACGCATCGCCGTGCCAATTTCGACTACAAACATGCTTGCCTTGAGGCCTCTACAAAATGCTATGGGAATTGGATTTTGTAAAGTAGAGGCACCTTAGACCCCTAACTCTTGTAGATAGACCATTTCCCGGACTAGAAGATAGCATGAATAGACTTTTGTAGGGACATGTTGATGAGACTTTTTGGGCTATGTTAAAACCCAATGTACTTTTGTAATCTTTTGTAGAGAAACTATTTTTGGGTTCATGAGGTTTTGAACGATTTCTGTAGAATCCTCCGTCAGTGCTCCAAAAAAATGTTGGGGCTTGAGGTCCCCAGGAATGTCTTCCTAAGTTTTCCTAGTCTTTTCATTTTGGCCGTCACTTCATTTTGCATTGTGTCCCGTCACTTCATCTTGGCTCTATAAAAATTGGGATCCAAGGTAGCCAAAAATGGGATGGGAATTAAGATGCCAACATGGGAACCCTCTTGACCCTGGGTTCCATTTTTATAGGACCAACATTTCCTGGATCCCAGTTTTGTAGTGGGAAGGCTGTGAGGTTGGGTACCACTTCTGTAGGCTTCAACCCTCAGGACCAGCAGATTGTACCCTACAAACCTGGGAAGCAACCCACTGGTTAGATAGATAGATAGATAGATAGATGGATAGATAGATAGATAGATATAGATAGATATAGATAGATGTATACGCTGTATGCCGCATACCCAACCATATCCACCACGTTCTTTTAGTTTAGAAGCAAGAGCGCTGATTTGGGCGGGTTCCTCAATGTTGAGAGACAGCTATGCACATGCCATCCTTCTATCGGACTGTCGCAGATAGCTCACACATTGCTCGAGATCCACCGGCTCAAGCACGGGTCAAAATACCATCGTATATGAATTTGTGTTATTGAGCAAGCTGATAATAAGATGGGATTAGTTCTGGTTTCTTGGATAGCTGCGGCAACATACGCATTCGCTTCAAAGTTGGGGATACCTCCCATCATACAACAATGGATTTGGGGCTTCCAAATTTTCAGAGAACCGCATATTTGTCACTTGGATATCTCAATGCAGGAACCTTCAAAACCGTGTAGATTTCCATAGCATCCACATTATTCGTTCAGTTCCAGATGGGGTCAAGATCTCCAGGTCCTTTGTAGTTTTCTAGTCTCCCAGATGCTGAGGATTATTTCTGCAGGCACAGGGGAGACCCTTGCAGAATTTCCAGCAGAATTTTACTTTGACAAATCAGTGAAGATGCTGAAGCAGTGCTTGGCCGAACGCACTGGCGTTTCTCGCTTCCGCCAACGGTTCATCGGCTCAGACCACAGGGTGTGTTCGGATGAGGATTTCGTGGAACCAGGTTCTGTCCAGCTTGTATTGCTACCACTTTCTTATGATGGTAAGCTGGGCAAAGAGCTGAGGATGGCATGTTTGGCAAACAACTTGATGGAAGTTGAGAGACTTCTATCTTTACCTTTGTATCCAGATCAGAGAAATAGAGTTGGTGAGACAGCGTTGCATGCGGCGGCACGTTTTGGCCACTTGGAGTGTGTCAAATTGTTGCTTGAAGCTGGCGCAGATACGAGGGCAAAGGAAAATTCATTGGAAAATGCCTCTAGAAATCAAGCAACCTCAATCCCTCCACTGGCTCGTGCTGCCAAATATGGTCACCTGGAAGTGGTTCGTGTGCTGCTTGCAGCCAAGGGGGACCCAGCTTCAGGCCTCAAGGCTTTGGATGAAGCAGTTGGTCACGGCCAAGTGGAGGTGGCTCGTTTGCTGCTGGAGGCTGGTGTGCCCACAGGTGCAGATCAGTCGTCAACGCCTCTGATGAAGGCGGCTGAGCTGGGCCATGCCCAGCTGGTTCAGGTGCTGCTGGGATTTGGAGCTGACAGGGACCAGATTACCGGAGGAAAGGCAGCGATCCACGCAGCAGCTGCCTGTGGCTGGCTGGAGGTGGTCCGCATTTTGCTACAGGCTGGCACTTCGGCTAACACCTTATCAGACGTCACGAGGGAAACACCTCTGCATTTTGCGGCTGGAAATGGTTACTTGGAAGTGGTTCAGTTGCTGCTGACATTTAGGGCCCAGACCGACCTGCGCTCAATTGGTAATGTGCAGCAGTCGCGCTTGTTTTTGAACCGCAGCAGAGAGATTTTCACAGCGGCATGCCATACGCCTTTGGAGTTGGCAGAAGTGCGTGGTTACGCAGCAGTTGCGAGGACCTTGGTAGAGGCTGGGGCTCAGAGAGGCAACAGCAAACGTAAGCAGAGAGAATATTGAAACACCAATGGATGCTGCAGAAATCATGTGGCGGGCTGCGGACATAGTGCTGCTGTGGACAATAGTTTTTGCATGTTTTTGCAACGTGGGGACTGCTGACACGATGACTTTCCCTACTTCGGTCCCATGCATTGAGACGCATGATTTGCACCGAAAACGGTTGCAGTTCTTGCGAAGTTCGTTTCACAAAGCCCGCCCTTTTTCAAATCCACGAAGCATCAGCTGCGCGAAATGACATCCTCGAAGACAAATTTAGACAGGTGTAGTGCCAGCAGATGCCATGTTGGCATCGCTGCCTGAGTCAGATTTGACGACTCAGGATGTGAAAAATTCCCGACAGTCGTTCCATCCACTCCCAGGAAATTGGTGGTGGTGACCCTGGATTCCCTGGATGGTCCTCTCCACTTAAGATGAGTACAGGGCTACCCTCTGGTAAACTAACATAGCTATTGAAAATGGCCATTTATAGTGGATTTTCCCATTAAAAATGATGATTTTCCATAGTTATGTTAGTTTACCAGAGGGTAACCCTCGGACGAGTAGGAAACGGATCAGTCACTGGGATGCCGGGCCCCGCCCAGGTGAAGGGCATTGTTCATGCAGCTGGAACCCTTTCGGATGCCTGGATTGAAGCGAAATGGCTGATGTGTTTTCCCACATGTCCCCATGGCTTGTGTTGAAGTTCACTCCAATTATGTTTGTCTGAAATTGAAATGTTCGGAGCAGCAAAAAAGGCACAGACTGGTTAATCATGTGTTTCCCTGTTAGAAAATAAATTGAGGTAACCTCCCCACATGTTCAGACACATCCAAAATATTCCAAATTTCCAAAAGTGTGATTAAATTACAATTATGAGTTTTCGAAAAAAGAACATCTCCCATCATATCCCATCCAATATTCCCAATTTCTTGTAGTAAAATGGATCCCATCTCCCCTGGACACAGCCCTCACGGCGTTTCAGGATGGACTCATCAAGGACATGACCCGCGAAACTCTGCAGTTGGTCTGCTCCGCCAAGGTGGCGTAAGATGGTTTAAGAGATGTTTAAAATTGGGTGGTGAGCCATGAACAATCTTGGGGAATTGAAAAACACAAACTTTTGGTTGATGCTTAGGTCGGGGATTATATATACTGTACCATTTATCTGCTGGGGATTATCATAATTTGTCATAATCCATGAACTGGGAATCCCTACTGACCAGTGTAAGGGGACGATAGAGGGTTTTGATACACTGTTCACTTGGTATGTTGTGCGGATTTGCCCTGCAACAATGTTGGGTTGAGGGGATGGACCCAGAAAACCGATGCAATATGGAAGGGATGATGTATGATGTAAGTGAGGTGATAATCTAGCAGCTAGTATATATCATCTATCTTGATATAGTCCCACTAAATTACAATCTATTTGTACGCCAAACTTAGACCCCTCATGACCCCTCTAAGTTCCTAAAATGAACATCATGGAGGTTGGACTGTGACTGACGAATGAATGTGTTTGTTGACTTGGGTGTTTCGTTCAAATTGGGAAGCCGAGAATCCAAGGTTTTAATATGTCGTTCAAAAACGATTTGGAATAATCCTAGATTTTGGACCCATTTAGCTGTCAGAATGTCGTTGGTTCTGTCCCCATTTCGGTTAACAGCTGAAGTGTTGCCTCAGATGCCACCCTCATTGGCTGTTGGCAAGTTGATAGGAAATGTCTCCAGAAATGATTCGGATGCAATGTTCCATATCCAGTTGGCAACTCCCAAAAAGACGCACAAAAGCGCGCAATCCTCCTAAAGTAAAATAGTGGCAAGTGAACTTGTTCTTCATTGTTCGGGGGACTACTTGTGGATGTGTCTGACAAATTACTGGGGGGAGAAACTCGGAGAAATCGATTCGATCTAGCTGTCAATCAGATTGTTCCCAGTTCAAAAAATGCCCAAACTTGGCGGGTGCAATCCCCTTATGTTACTTATGGGACTGGTGCCCATGGTTGTTGCAGCCAGGTGGACGGATCTTTGAATCTTCACGCTGCAGCTGTGGAGTTGGCCCTCCCCTTGGAGGACGTCACCCTTCGGTCGCCAGATGTTGCGGGCCTTGTGAAATTCGGGTTGTAAGATCACTAACATTGAATATATTGAATCCACAAAGTGAAATGCTTCGGAGTTGAGTCATAAATGATTGGACATGCCAATTAGAAGGTTGATCGAAATGGATGCTATTGGGGATGAACCAATCCCTTCAGATGAATTGGCCCCCAACTCTATCTTTGCTCATACTATATCCTCGGGTTCATTGGTCGTCTCCACAATTTTGTTGTACATCACCGTCGCGGTTGAAGGTCATAGCCCCACTCCTTCGCACAAGGATCCCCAAAAGGATCTAAGAGTGAATCCCTGGTTTTCTGACTTTGACGTGTTTTCTATGACTTTTTTTGGGGGTACCTTACAAGCATATTTCCCATTTGAACTGCACCGCAGGAGATGTGGCTGTTCTCATCAGTGGCCGCAATGATTGGCTCGGTGGCACAAGGCCCCCATGGTGTTGGAATGTTGGAAAATAAGTAGCAAATGTTTGCAACTTGGACATAGCCCATGAATACCCATGATAACATATACCAGTAACTAGAAGCAGTATCCAGTTGTGAATACTAAGCTGCACTATCATTATCACCAAGCATTTGATTGCTCCAGAACTCTACAATACTCCTGTCCCAGTTGGGAAGAATCAGGAAATCCATTGGAAATCCCATGGAAATGTGCGACTCGGGGTTCCCGTTCGAGCTGGCCTTTTCCCCATGTTTGCTGGCGAATTTTGTCCAGTTCTGCTCCTTCAGACCAGTGTGGTTGGTAATGTCGACTTTCTTGGTGAAATGTATTCAAATGTACTAATTTGTTTTGCTTAAGTCCTTTGTGTGTGTGTGTTGCCTCAAATGATTTATAGTAAGCGTATGTAAGCGTGTTAGAACATGTTACATCCAAATTTTATATGACTGAATATTGTCGCAATCTACTTGCAGGTGCAGTTCCAGTTATATCACCATATATCACCAACTTATCCATGATTATCTCCATTCATAACCCCAACTGCAACGTCAAGGAAGCTATATCTTTACGATACTAGGAAATGAAGTGAGCAATTAAATTATAGGATAGTTTGTTCAAAAACTACCTTACAGAAAATGGCTGATTTCGGTCCGATCTCGGAGGCAACTACTGCGCCGCCAACGCCTTCATGGACGCCTTCGGTGCTCGGCGGCGCGCCAAGGATCTGCCAGCCATTTCGCTGCAGTGGGGGCCATGGGCAGAGGTTGGGATGGCAGCACGCGCCGGCACCTCTGAAGGCGGGTGGAACTTGGGTTTTGGATGGTTGGGAATGGTGAGGACTGGTTGGGAGATTTGGAGGTTTTGGGGGGAAGAGAAAATTCCTAGAACATGTGTTTTGGTTTCGGTTCAACATGGTTCAACTTTTGGTTGGAGTCGACCAACTGCATGGATAGTTCCGCAAAAATCGTGGAAGTCTGGCCTGTGAATGTGGCCATTTCATGCCATTTCTAGATGCCACTGATGCCACAGCCGGAGGGGGACTTGTCAATAATTCATAAATTTAATTATAAATTCACTATCATACTTAGTCATACTTATCATTCATAAATTTATAGATTATAACAACATAACTAACATAACTATGGAAAATCACCATTTTTAATGGGAAAATCCACTATAAACTGCCATTTTCCAGTGACTGGGAGCATTTATCCCACGATATACGATACGGGAAACCCATGGGGGTTTGGGAATCCCATGGGGATCCACTGGGATGATCCCAAAAGGTCACCTCAACGCAATTGGAAAAGCATGGCGAATCAGTTCAAATGTTCTTAGTTTTGGAGGTTTCCTAAACTGGGACCCAAAAATCAACCCAATCATTGGTCTTTATCAACGGGAAAAGCAATGGTTTGGGGTATCCATGTTTTAGGGAACCAATTTTTTTCCCAGCAAAAATGAAGATTTCTGTACCAGGATAGAATGCCACTAGCTCCGCCGCAGGTAGTATCGCTCGCTTGGATCTCTCGCGCGGCTTGGAAGCCATGGCTTTGGTGCTGGGTGCACAGAAGGTATTGCGACCCGCAGGACACCCGGGGGAGGTGGAGGAAATGGCTGTGGAATAGGGACCATTTGGAACCGTTAGAAGCAGGGCTTTGGATCATTTTGGGGCATGGCTGAACCATCCATGTTTGGGGGAGACTTTTGACCCATATAAAATCAATGGCAGTGAGGAGATTTGAGTTGGAGGAAGAGGGATGCAATCCAGAAATGATGCGGCTCCTGGGAATTTCCAAAAGCAAGCACAGGAAGCGGCCACCCCATTGATAAGTTGGTTTATAATCCCATCTAACATCATCTAACTATGTGTACTAATTATCCGGCAACCCCAAAAAAGGTAGAAAAATGTTTCCAGGATGGTATCGATGATATTTACTTCATATTTCCAGGTTTCCACCTTTATATAATATACATACATACATACATACATACATACATACATACATACATACATACATACATACATACATACATACATACATACATACATACATACTACATACATTACATACATACATACATACATTACATACATACATACATACATACATACATACATACATACATACATACATACATACATACATACATACATACATACATACATACATACATACATATATATATATATATAACATACATACATACATATATATATATGTGTATGTATTACTATACATATGTATATATATATATACGTGTGTATATATATATATATATTGATACACATATACATAAATAAATACATATACATGAATAAATACATACATATACATATATATATATACATATATATATATACATATATATATACATATATATATATATTAAAATAAATAAGAAAATATATATATATACATATATATATATGTATATGTATTATGTATATATATATATATATGTATATACATATGTGGGGGAGTACTATAACCCCTGGTTAACCCACTATTCTAAAACCAACGAGAAGACCAAGGTTTTTTGTGGGACGTCCTGACCCTGCGAGGCACCCTGGGCATCGCCCGCATCAAGTGGAAGTCACTGCTGGGGCAGATGCCAAAGGTCCCTCCGGTACCTCGGCACGGCAGTGGCGAGTCGTCAGGCAGTGTCAATGGCCATGCAACAGGATCCGATTGATTGGAGGTACCGATACCATATATTTTAGGCCTATTTTTCAGGCCTAAGGGGATATAACCCCACCAAATATGGCCAGAAATATGGTACTAACGTACCTCCATTTTAGGATCCTGGAATTTCCATTGAGGCAGGTGGGACTTCACCATCTGTGGGGATACTGGGCTGGGGATATGATGGTGAATCACCATTAAAAATTCATGCACCTGGGATATGAATCCAGTACTACTGAATCCTATTAAAAGTACATACCAACTGAATATATTGGAACAAAAATCATGAAAAATCAATTCCAATTAATTTACGTGATTGGTTGGCGATTCTTGGATGTGGAGCGAAGGATTTGAAGGATTCAGAACATTGGAGTCTGTGTGGTTTTTGGGAACATGATTGGCGCAGTGTGTTTCAGTGGCGTTCTCCAAAGTACAGCATGGCGCAAGTTAGGAGTCAGTGGCGTCATTTCGGTCAGATCTTCTTTTTGGAGTTCTATTGATTCCATTGCTTTGCAAGCCGTTTGCAACCCGAATCAATGAAGCCGAAGGCTTTCACACGGTCGCTTTTTTTTGTAGGGAAATTCATCGACCGTTGATTTCCCATTGCCATGACCGGAGGGTCTCGATCCCTTTTGTCGGTTGCTTAGGTGCTCAGCAAGTTCGGTGGCAGCGTGGGTGGAAAGAAAGCGGCCGCAGCGGCTGGAGCCATTGCTTCTTGGCGGAGGGATCTGATGGATCTGAGGGATCCAGAAATCGATAGATTTGACGACCTGGCCATGACAGGTGACAGGTGATGTCTGTCCAATCTTTGGGATGCCAATGGTTGACCTGACACTTTAAGAAAGCTTTGTTTTCATAGCTGTCATAGCTATGCCCTAAAGGAAGAAAGCCATGGGGATGTCCAGTCCCTAGATGCAACTTGATGCAACTTCTTTGACTGTAGGAAAGCCAGAGATTGACAAAGTTAATAAAGAAAGGGGAATAAACATCTGTCTTTGAGATCAAAGTTCTTTACTTTTTCGAGGTGTGTTTCAAAAAGCTGAACCAATTTTGGTGCAGATTTTTGTCGGGCACGGGTGGTTTTGCAACATCAACATGCACCCAGCATTTACCTCAAACATTGGGATTGTTCAATATTGCGGATGATGTAAGACTAAGAGTGACAGAAAAGAACCAAGAAAAAATAGAATTACCAGATTTTGTTGTCCCTCTCATACTCTCATACTCCAATTTTTCAGGGCCGAGGTCCTTGTGACTAGATCGACTCTTGAGGTGAGCGCAGACGACATCAAGGGCATCGTTGTGGGTGTTCTGCAGGATGGAATGGTCGATGGTTCTGGAAAACCCCTAAATTTGATGGTTGATACTCCGGTTTCCCTATGAAACTTGCTGTTTTGGCAGGGTATCCCGGGTATCTTTGGACAAACCCCTCAGGACTTCACAAGGCCGTACAGGATGGGATCCCCGTTGGATAGTGTTGCTGAAAAAAGTGGCTGAATTCTATGGTGTATGGTAGATATAACGAACTAGTCAATGGGGATAGCTAAGTTGGTTTATAAGTGGCTTAACTATGGTTTATGGTAGATATAACTGTAGATAACTATGGTTAATGGGGTTTATAAACCAACTTATAACTGGGGGGCATCCTGTATGATATTCCCCAAAGCAATGTGAGCACTCCAGCAATTGTCCAGCTGTCTTTTTGTAGCGCAGTGCGCAAGGCAATCTCATCCTCATTTATGTTAGGGAACGTCCCCACTGTCACTCTTGCTAAGATTCATCTCTCCACTTGGTGGTTCATCCTACCTTGTCAGTAGCTTGTAGGCCTGGTTATGAATGGGCTCCTAACCTATTATATATATATACATCTAATATATATATATATATAATATATATATAGTCACTGAGTAGGATGAAGCACCAAAGTATGCCTGTCCTCTTGGATTTTTGTCCAGCACCAGGATGTCTTGGAAGGTTCTGGCGATCTGGACCTCTCCACACCTTTGATGGAGATGGGTTCGCTGCCACACAGATGGGGGATCTCACCAGGGAAATCGAAACGGGTAGAAATTGGACCATCTTCATCCATTTTTTCTTGGACCATGGTAGAAAATGGTGAGAATATAGAATATCGAAATTTCTCACCAAAATTCATATCGAATCTCCTTTTTTTACAAAGTGAAATTCCGTGTCAAATATGTCCACCTCCAATTTGCTCCTTTCACCCTGGAGAAAAAAATCGGGATCTGGGTGATCTCGGTGGTGATTTCCTTACTGGTGCTAAACGCAGGGAATTTTCGGGAATGATCCACAATAGCTATCAATAATCATCACAGCAACCCCCAGCAACCCATCCAGCAACCCTACGTAAAACTCACCAGTACCCTCTGGTAATTTAACATAGCTATTGAAAATGACCATTTATAGTGGATTTTCCCATTAAAAATGGTGATTTTCCATAGTTTTGTTAGTTTACCAGAGGGTAAGTTTCACAGGGTCCCTGGCTAGGCCTTGACTCCTTGGCCGGCGTGGAGTTCCGCAATCGCCTGCAGGCGTCCTTCGAGGGTCTCACGTTGCAGCTTGGCGGCCTTGGCGCCATCCGTCAGGCCTTGGCTCCCCATAGATTCATAGATCTTGATGTAAAAGCCAGTAAAGATGGTGATATCCTCTGGTAAACTAACATAACTATGGAAAATCACCATATTTAATGGGAAGACTCACTATTTCTATGGCCATTTTCAATAGCTACGTTAAATTACCAGAGGGTAGACTTGGGATTTACGGGTGATTTCACAGTTTGTGAAATGGAAAATCCTGAAAATCACAGTTGTTGATGGGTAAATCATCGTAAAGTATCTATAAATTTGTCATTTTCCATGGCTATGGTAAAGAATCGGAGGGTATTCGGAAGGTATCATACCATAATACCATGTCATGAGTAGATATATATATATAATGGAATATCATGGGACATAATGGAGATCTAATGATACAACCAACAACAGTATCCTAGTGAATGTGTGCTTGACAATAAAGATTGGCTTTTAACCAATCATTTCATGGGGATCACCACCCCCCATCTACCGAAAGAAGCATTTTATATGGGAATTGCCATGTTTTTTTCATATAAAGCATAGCCGGAAGAAGAATAACTCACAGAATTAGGCTGGGCAGGTTTCTGCACTTGGATGGTTCAATATATTTGGGTTGTAATTATAATATATTATAATATCTAGTGCATTATTGTTCAATGGCAATGACTGATTTGAAACTTTTGTTTGACCACTTACTGTAACCCCCTGGTCTGCTTCACCCTATCATCTGCTTCACCCTTTCATGCAGCTAATGCCTACAACCATACTTGTCTTGGGCCACATCGAGAAAAGCAAACAAAACCTGGAAAACTTAAAAACAACTCAAGCAAAACCACCCAAGAAAAAATTGTTGAGAGAATGCTTGGTTTTGACCCAAAAGATGTTTTTTTGTTTTCCCTAGTTTTTGTTGTTTTTATTTTTGGGTTTTGAAATGGACAAAACAAAAAAACTTTGGTTTTTTGGTTTTTGAATGGATATGATCAGTCAAAATGTCAAAAAACATAAACAATACTCACGGTTTTTTTTGGCTTTTCAACATGTTAGGTTCGGTTTTCTGCATTGAAAAGTCTCAAAAACAAAAAACATTCGATTTTTTGTTCTTTTGATATCTTGATTGATCATATCCATTCAAAAAAAACAAAAAACAAACAATGTGTTTTTTTTTTCGGTTGTTCCATTTCAAACCAGAAAAAAGATGGAAAACAAACAAAAAAAAAACCTCTTTTGAGTCAAAACCAAACATTCTCCTCAAAATATGTTTTTTTGGTTTTTGGTTTCCCAGGCATCCCCAAGACTTCTGGCTTTGTTCTTTTGTTTTTCCAAGGTTTTTGCGGTTTTGGTGATAGTGATTCTAGATATCTATATATTATATAAGATATCAGAAGCATTAATGTTTACTTAAGCAAATGTATATAAGTAACCCTGAAAATCTGAACACAAAAGCTTGTGCTTTATACTGTAAATACCCGTACAAACAGCATGTGGGGGGTGACCATATATATATATATACGTGTATAGAAAAATATATCGTTATATATCCTTATATATATATACTTAGATATATAGTTATATACATATAACTATATATATAGTTATATATATACAGTTATATATATATATATTATAGTTGTATGTATATATATATAGTTAGATATAATATGTATAGTTAGATAGATATATATATATAATATGTATAGTTAGATATATATATATATATATCAATAATTGTGCATACATATATATATATATATATATTATATTATATATATATATTATGTCATCCCAAAATAATGGTGCGGTAATATGAGTTTATATCATATACAATCAAGATCCAATACTTATATATCCATTAGTCCATTGGATTCCATTGGGTTATCATCCCAAAAAAAAGTTATACCCAATTTCATGGACCACACTGTTAGAAAACCGACCATAGAAGTGTTGATGACATTTTTGGGGGTGATTCAACAAGTCTTGGAACCACCACATGTTGAAAGTCCAATCCTAGACCCTACAAGATCAGATCTGAACCCGTCGTTGAGGGTCCGATTATCCAAAGTCACCACCCCCAACCAACCACTACGCCAGCTGGTTCCCAGGTCGTCTACCTTGATGTTCGACTACCCCACGGTACCAGATCTGGTGGACTACATCTATCAGCAGGCGGCATGGCGGCATGAAGTTATACAAAGGTCCATTGTTTTTAAGGCGGTTTTCTGACAAGTCAATCAACAGGAACTCAATTTCATATACCCTCTGGTAAATTAACATATATTAACATAGACCCTGAAAAGGACCAATTTATAGTGGAAACTAGTCGTCCAACCCCTATCTGGCAGGGTCATGTTAATTTGCCAACGGGTAAATCAAACCAAGCATCAACCGTGAAGAATGGGGTCACAGGCTGCGACGAATTCGACCGCCCTTTTTTTGTGTCTCAGGTCGGACCCGCCGAAGACGAGATGGGCGCAGCCGGTGGTGCAGGTGTTGTGATGGATGCTGGTGCCATGTTGGCCATTGCCACTTGACCGAGTTGGCGCGAGAAGTTGGGATTGTGGGCGGCACGGAAAGGCAATTGGTTGAAGTATGAAGTGTCGGATTTTCAACATTTAAGCATCATGAAACCATATAAAACCCATGAGTTGTCAATGGACATGACATCATTGAAACGGATGTTCTAACGGTTCTGAGGTAATGGGGGCCATGCAAATCATGTGCCCGTGGTATGTCTATTGGCAATGTTGAGGTGTTTGCGGGAATGACAAAGGCTTCAATGGATTCAATTCCAGCACCATGCCAGTCTCAATACAAGTCGATCGTCGATCATTGTATTCCAGCCATGTATTCATTGAACATACCAAAGTCAAATGTCCAAATACCAGTGTGGTTTCCTCGTATATCGCAATATAGTGGCCTGTCCAAAGTCGGTCACTTCAATGAACCAGATATGGGTCATGACAGCAAAACGAAATGTTCTCAATATTTGTAGTTCGGAGTTAGGATATATTTGGATATATTTGGTTTGTTCCGAAGGTTTTTCGCGTTCGAGAAGCACCAGGAGTCCCCAGGAGTGACCGGTTGCAACCACCAAGGCCAGTCACGCCGGAAGATATCCAGGATGCTTCACCAACAACGTGCCGCGGCTGCCACGGCTGCCAGGGGGAAATGTGATCCGAGTCACGGGGAAATGGGGGATGGATGCATTCTATGTCAGGTGCTGGGAAGCACAAAAAGCATATATATATAATATATATATATATGTAATATATATATATGTAATATATATATATGTAATATATATATATGTAATATATATATATATATGTAATATATATATATATGTAATATATATATATATGTAATATATATATATATGTATATATATATATATATGTATATATATATATGTACCCTTTTTCAACATCAATGAGTTAATTTGTAGTTGGGTAAGCCATGGTAACCTCATGTTGACTCAGAATCACATAGGTGGGAGAATCAGTACAGAATCCAGAAACACTGGATTTTGTGAATCGAGCATTAGATTTTGCTAAGTGCAACTGGGCTCAAGCAGTTTCAGGCAGATTTGCTATGTCATGCTATGTCTCATCTCCGCGCTCAACGATGATGACCATTGCTGGGCAGTTTATGGGATGTGCACCAAGCCAGGTGTTAGTCATACACTCAAACTCCAATTATGGCTCTTGTGGGCAGCCCAACATCCCCTCTTTAAAGCTCTTTAAACAATCTTGAAACTCTGTACATTAGTTTGTTCATGCGAAATATATATAAATATATGGTTAATATATGCTTAATATATATGGTCATTTCCCAGACCAGACTTTAATAAGTGGCACAGTGGCATGGCAAAACTTCAAAGTCTGGTGATTTTTTTGAACACCGCTGAGGTGCAAGAATATTGGCACAACATGAGCATGGGACTGGTGCGGTGCCCCAGTGGTAACGTGCAATTGCTGAGTACCCTCTGGTAATTTAACATAGCTATTGAAAATGGCTATTTATAGTGGATTTACCCATTGAAAATGGGGATTCTCCATAGTTATGTTAGTTTACCAGAGGGTAACCTTCATGCATTTCTTTAGAGAGATTTTGAGACCAGCGTGCCAAAAAACATCAAAAAACTATCTGTTGTTGAAGACTGGAATAATCTACATACCATGGATGTCCGAGATTCCCATTGGTTGGTTGATTAATAGAGGGGGTTGAAGAAACCCCTTTAACAACAGGTTTCTATGATGATAGATGGGATTAACCAGTCACCGGCCCCTCTATTTTTACCATTTTAGGACATTATTGCTACATACAGTAGTTCATCCTGACACATCCTGAAACATATTTCAGACATCGACATTCGAACAAACAAAACACTGGTGGCGCCAGGACACCACCACGGAACTGCCTCCGGAGCGTTGGGATATGGACGCCTACTACGATGCCGACGTTGATGCACCAGGTGGATGTGAGATCCAATTTATGGCATGATATCCTCATGAAATTCCAGTAAATCCCATTAGATCCCATTGAGAAAAAACCAAGGATCAGAATGGTCGGGCAAATTCTCTCACCTTTTTGTTTTTTTTCTTAAGGCACGTCCAGATGGTTGAAGCTTAATATTCAGCTTGCAACCGCAGGCAAGACCTATGTCCGCTTGGGTCACTTTATTCCAGGCACGGAGAAGTTCATTCCAGGGTTTCACTTTGGCTGCACCGATGCTTTCACCCAAGCACCTTATATAGCAGTTTTGGTCATGGCATATGAAGATGATAAGATGGCTGCATTCGAGCAGTCTGCAGCTAGTGGAACAAAGCCGTCCTTCTCCTTTTTTGTTACTTCTCTCCTATCACAGTTGGTTGTGTGTCAAGCCATATTGGTAGCGACATGCAATTCTCCCAGGATATCTTCCGGTCAACCCACCATATGACTCCCAGAATTTCGAGTTATACCACATAAAACCAGTACTCTGCATAAAACCAGTACTCTTGGTATCATGACTACAACAGCGCAATTGCTTCCTTTTAAAACTCTCAGAACTTCAAAGTGTTGCTTCTCAATTATCTCAGAATCTGTGTTGCTTATCCCCCCCATGTTTCCTTGGTTTCTCATTGCTTTCACCCCTTGAAGGTGCTGCCTCCCAGTTGTGTTGGTCTATAAACCCACTGTGGCTGCAGATATATCTACCTATATCAACACCAGATGCGAAGCAATGCTTAATTTATTTGTTGATCTACTAACCCCGATTACCAAACCATTCACCCAATCCCATCCAATCCCAATCCCTTAGATCTAACTATGGTTCAATGGATTGGTTTAAGGGAAAATCTACAGGAAAGCCCCATGATCTTCATGGGAAAATCTATGGTTTCCTGTAAATTTTCAACGTGTTTCAATCGTTCTTTCCCCAACGACGCCCCAACGGAGCACCACCGGTCGCAGGCATCGAGCACTTCGACGGCGACTTCTTTGGCGTCTCGGAGGCGGAGCTCCGTGCGATGGATCCGCACCAGCAGCTGGGACGGAAAGTTGGCGCGACGTTGTTGGCCTGGAAAGATTGGGAAACGGACATGGAATTGATGGGGAAATGATGGGGAAATGATGGGTAAATGGGTAGGTGGTTTGATGAGTGATTGAGAAAATTGTTGCCCTTTGGAACGGTTGATATCCTGCCGCAGATCACAGCCACTTCGTTGAGGTGTGTGGAACTTGGATGCGCAGGGCCTCCAAAACTGGCCATATAATCCTCAATGATCTCAATGTGGTTGGCGTGCGTCATTGGTGTTTCAAACATGGGAAAACCAAAGGTCACTGGTTTACACCTGATATATCACACCTGGGTACAGTTGTTTTCATCGAAACGCAGTCGGGTATAGCTCAAAAGCTCCACCCTGCGCATTGTCTCAGGTGGTTAGCATTGGAGATCAGCCATTTGGCTTTTGAAGGGCTGGGACTTGTGGGCTTTGGATTTTGTGGAAGTGACAAGCGAAAATTCATGAACTGTCATGCTATGTTCAATTGCCTACATCTTGATGCTGTGATTGGAAGTGGGGAAATGGTCCAGGGCTCAGCGGCTCAAATCTGAAGTAAGATGCTAAAGGTCTCATGTTCTCTCTGGAACATCAGGACGGAGCAGATGCTGAAGTCTTTCATTGCGCAGCAGCCATCTTACAGTGAATTTATGCAGGTAGGCTATGGAGGAATTGTGTATGAATTAGACACATCAGCCACCTTCCTTCAAAGAACCGGCACATGACTCGCCGGCGCCTCATGGCATTGTCCTGGCCCAGGTTATGAGGCATTCCATGCAGGTGGCATGGACAAGGACTGCAGTCTGGCTGGGTGCTTAGCATTTTAGGTCTCGGGTAACATTTAAAGGGACCATTTGGGGGATCCAAGTTTGATCCATGCCATACCCAAGAGTTCGACATCATCGTCTATCATCGATGATCATCATAATATGCTATACTCTAGGCCAAGCAATTATGTTGGATCACAGCCGAACCCACTAATTGGGGGTTGTGAAGGTTCACATCCAATCCTGAAATGTGATGATCCTGGTGTTGACTATGAGTGAATTGAGGGACAACAAGATAGCTCTGTTGTATACCGTTTGGGACCTAGGGGTGTTCAAGAATATGGTATACCCCTGGTTGGAATTGGATGTGTTCCCCATTTCCAGAGAAACTCAAATTCTAATTTACATTATATCCCGTATATATCCGGTATATCCCAATTGTATCCTCACAAAAATGGTTGGTTTATGTTTGTTTCATATATACAAAAAGTCAACCACAACAGCGCCAGGACTCCTTACAGGGTATGGACTGCGGTGTCTTTGTGGGTTGCTGCAACCTGGGTGGTAACGATGTGGATCCTGAAGGGCCTGCGCCTCAGGTTTGACTCACCTTCATGGTGGATCTTTCATGGCCCTGTTTGATTGCCGGAGGGTATATACCCATATCATACCCATATTGGGGAACGCTCATCTATCCAGCAATAGGGATTTATGGCCCTAGTCTAAGGATTACATATAGGATTACCATGAAATGGGGAATGGTACCATCCCATGTTTTGACCATGCCAGAAATGATGACCGCGGATTTTTGGTGGGCAATAGTTGACTTCAACAAGGTTGGGTCCTTTCTCCAACATCGGCTTTGCGTACTCCGGGCTGTCAGGCACGGGATTCCGGTTTGCAATTTTGGGTATTGATTTCTCAGGATTTTTCCTCAAATCATGGGAAAAAATTGGGGCTGTATGGAGTACGAACCATCCAGTTTGGCTGGCCAAGAAATCTGAGCCATCCCATTTAGGTCCAAAAAATCACCCATTTTGGGGGTCCAGTGGCTGGTATCTCAGCGAATTGACCCATACCCAAATCACAATAAGAACAGGATAGAACAGGATATAGCCTAGTGAAAGATATGGCTTATTCTCCAGCAACAATTCCTGTAATTCAGGTTCCCTGCCAAAACAACTCCAGCTGGGGACCCATCACCCGGGCGCTGCGCAGGCCGCATTTCACACGTCTTCTCTCTCCGTGGACCGTGCTTCACGGTGGACACGGCATGCTCCTCCACCATTGTGGCATTAGATTCCAGTTCGCAAGCGGTGAAGCTCAACAGGCTGATTGCTGCGGAAAAGGTATTGTAGGATGATGTAGGATGCTTCAATTAGGGATGTTATAAGTTATAAATGTTATAAGGATCAGGATGTTACAGGATCTCCAAGGATTTGGGTAAATATGAATGACCTCACTGTGATTTCACGGATTTCACGATGGTTATGGGATGGGCGGCAAGCCCATCCCGAACCCTTCGCCAGTTTCGGCTGAGGTGATAATTTCGCCGGACAGGATCTTACTCGTATGTGGTCTTTTAGTTACGGTTGCATAATGTTAAACATGATTGCGTCTCCTTTTGGCTGATTCCAACAGGAATTTTCCTGGCTTTCTCTGGATGGATTCCTGTGTTTAATGATGGTGAGCTGAGCAGTGTCCAGATGGGGCGTTTTTCGGCCAAATGGACATGTGGAGGTACCCAGAAATCCTCCATTTTTAATAGGATTTGTCATTAACCATGTTGGGGATCCTCCATTTTAAGAAACCCCCCACGTCCCAAAATTGGGAGACGACCACTTTTGGCATCCTCGGACGGGTGGTTTTTGGCAAATCGAAGTGGTGGTTTTTCATTCATGGCCAGTGTGGAAACTGGCACTGCTGAGTCGTTGATCTTCTTTGACATCACCAGAACAACTTCATTGCAATACCTCCCAGAAAGTCTTCTGAGTAAGTGTTGACCCATCGGTATGCAAAGCCTTCAATGAAGGAGATAAGGTGACTCGAAATGAGTGGGGGGAAAGTTCCATTCAAGTCCAACCTGTGTTCTCTTGGGTGAAAGAAGAAGAGGAGGACCTGACTCTCCAGCGGCATGTAATGTGTATGTGTTTCTGTACGCAGTACACCAGAAATTGGTCTGAAGACACACGGCGCAGGTGCCAGAGTGCGATTGCCACTGGCGCCAATGTTCAGCTGTCAGGATGCATTTGGGTCCCTCGGACAAGTTTCACCGGATTTCCAAGAATACTAGGTTCATGGCTTGCTGGAAATCCACCAGTTTTGAAAAATGATTTGCCTGTTGCACTCTGGTAATTTGACATAGTGGCATAGCTGCCCGATTATGGCTTAAAGATGTACAGTTATGTACTCTGCTTAAGTTCCCATTAGATAGTATAAAGTATACAGTGATCCCCATTAAATCCCACAATCCAAATTTGATTCCAATTTGATATGATTCTCCCGATCAAATTCTCCCAAACAAATAGTTGAAGATTCCATGACATATACATAAAAATTATGTATCCAATCATGTTTGTTGCTTACATCGCCACATTCCCAGTGTTCATATCACCAGTTGTCCGGTTCAATCCCAGACCCAATAATTATGCAATCCCAAAGTGTTTCCTGGTGGAATCCGGAAAATTACCAACAAAAACGCCTTTTAGACCATTACAATCCCAGTGTAGCACAACAATCCCATACCTGCATCCACTAGAAAAAAGTCCCATCAAACCCCATGTGACCCATCAAACATCCAAAAACATCCAAAAACGACTTAAGAGTCACTAAAACCCCCGTGAAATCACTGTGATCCCCATGAAAAACCCATCAAAAAGTAGCATCCATTATATCCATTATACAACAGCCATGAAAATTCCCAATCTCCTCATCCCAATTTGCCCCCAGGTCGGCTTCTCCAAAATGCGTGGTTTGGCCTTCGATGGTCGCTGCAAGACCTTCGATGCCTCTGCGGATGGCTTCGCACGTGGCGAAGGTATCGGTTCAGTGTGGATCACCCGCGGAAGTGGCGAGAAGACCGGGGAGAACGAACTGGTCTCGCGGCAGCCGCGGCAGCCGTGGTGACCTGGGGGAAACATGGGGAAACCCCCGTTACGCGGAAATGGTGATTTCAGGATCAGAAATGGTGTTGAACCATCCAAAATATCTTGAAACCAACTGGATACTTGAGCACTCGGGAATATCAATATATATGCACCAGGCCCTGCCACCCCCCCCCCTCCCCCCCCCATATGGGATGGGTCCCATATACTGGTCCCATATGAGATCTTCCCCCTCCCCCCCTGTGGTGTGGTGGGGGTGTGGCACTGTCCCCCTCCCCCCCCTGTGGTGTGGTGGATGGGTCCCATATACTGGTCCCATATGAGATCTTCCCCCTCCCCCCCCTGTGGTGTGGTGGGGGTGTGGCACTGTCCCCCTCCCCCCCCTGTGGTGTGGTGGATGGGTCCCATATACTGGTCCCATATGAGATCTTCCCCCTCCCCCCCCTGTGGTGTGGTGGGGGTGTGGCACTGTCCCCCTCCCCCCCCTGTGGTGTGGTGGGGGTGTGGTATGGTATGGTGGGTATGTATGGTGTGTATGGTCGGTCTGGTATGGCATGTTTGGAAAGTATGGTATGTTTGGTATGTATGGTAGGTATGGTATGTATGGCATGAGTGGTTGGTATTGTATGGATGGTAGGTATGGTATGTAAGTCTGTTGGATATGGTATGTTTGATATGACAGTATGTATGGTCTGTATGGTATGTATGGTTACTATGATGGGTATGGAATATGTCCTATCTAAGGTAGGTATGGTATGTATGGCATGTATGCTTGCTATTGTATGTATGCTATTGTATGTATGGTAGGTGTGGTAATTACATTTCATATGTATGGTATGTATGGTATGTATGATAGATATGATAGGTATGGTATGCATGGCATCATTGACATGTATGGTAGGTACGGTATATGTTCAACAGAGGTAGTGTTGTCAGAGTACACAGGTAGTAAACAGGAAGTAGATACAGTAGATACATAGCACATGTATGTATGACTATAGGTAGCACGTAGGTACTTTGAAGGAGTATGCGTGCTACGTAGGTCGCCTAAAAGGTAGCATGTACCTAGTAAATGCGAGGCTGGTAGTCAGAAATGCTGCAAAGACCTAGCAAATACGACGCTGGACCTCAGAAATGCTGCCAATAGCTTGCAAATAGAAGGGAATTGGGGCTACTACCTGGGGACCCAACCCATGGGGGGGGGGTGGAGAGACGGAGGACGGGACCATATATATATATCAAATGCTAACAATTGCTAACCCACCAAAGCCTTGATTTGGGTGCAGGTCGTTGGATTTGAGCAGGTCGAAAACAGGGGTGGGTGAAAATTGGGTAAACATGTGGAGAAGCTTGTGGATGAATTTATCTATACATATATATATATATGTGTATTATAATACATATATATATAATTATTATTATATATATATGATTATACATATATATATATATATATATCCCGAACAAATTGATGTTCTAGTCTAGAGGAACATGAAAGTTGGAGTTGGTAGACCCTTTTTTGCACATTTGCTGCGGATGTTTGGCTTGGTATTTGCCGATCTTCAGTGATTTTCAGCTGTCGCAGCTGCATAGCAAAATCCCTTAAATGCCTGAAATATACTTAACATATCTTAGAATTACTTAGATATACCTATAGCTTGAAAAGCGGGAACCTAGAAATGATAGGCTTATAGGCGTTCCTATGTTCATTATTTCTCAAATCCCCAAGTTTGATTGGTTTGACCCAAATTCTTAATGTACCCATAGGACTCATCTATTTTGGTTCCTATAGATATCTATAGTTTGGTTTTCGTGCATATGAAATCCCATATACATATATAATCATATATACATCTCCTGGGGGTCCGACTTTTTGAGCGACTAGTAACCCAAATATGACCAGGGCATATTCCATGTATACATATAACTGGGTTATAATGTGGTTGTGACCCGCTGAGTAACTGGGATTCCCAGCTCAGGGATTATGATCAAGCTCCTATTGTTTTCGAAACACGTACTGTAGTACTGTAGCCATCTCGATATTGGAAACTATGATTCATTCCCATAGAAACTGCATCTTGTTACATATTCCATGAAAAAATGGCTATGTTCCATCGATTTTCCCATAAATTCTCCAACCCCAACCCCCACCAAGGTTTCCCTCACGGGTGTGGCCATCAACCACGACGGCCGCGCTGCCACCATCACGGCGCCCAACGGCACGGCGCAGCAGCGCGTGCTGCGCAGCGCGCTGGCCGAGCGACAGACGCAGGGAGAGGACGTGACGATGATCGAGTGCCACGGAACAGGCGCGACGGGTTCATTGGGTTCACTGGGTTCACTCACCATGAATAGTGGTGGTATAGCAATCAACAATGGTTATAAGTTATAACATGTTACCATATTTTCCAGTATAACAGAGTTAACAGAGTTTAGACTTCTAAACTTCCTTTGATACTAACATGTGAAATCACTACTTGTACTGGTATATAGTGATAACTGATAACAATCACAATGATCAATAATGATATATAATTGGGATATAACCACAAAGGTTGGGGATTTGACCAACAATCAACACTGTGGTTATAGTATGTTAAAGTAATCAAGATGGTTCAAGTAATTACAATTGAACAATGGGTTGCAACCACAATCATTCAATGGTGGTATTGTTCATTATTGTAATGTGGTTCTGAAAACATCAAGAATATGATTGTAGTAATTATAATGGGATATGATACTAGCCACAAGATGAAGATTAAATGGGGATGTTGATGGATTTTGGCTACCTTTTCTTTTGTGATTATAAGGAGTCAACGGGGGTTAATGTATCGAACATAGATAGCAGGGTCAGGGACAGGTTTTACCAAGCAACACAGGGATTAGGGTTCAATGTAGGTTTAATGCCACAATAACAAAATTCATAATAGTTAAAAGTTAAATGCGAATTTCACCTAACAATTTAAGGTGATTTTTTGGATGAATATAATTTAATGGTATAAAAACCAACCCATAATGGTGACATTTCCCTTCGGATGGTGGATCCTGTGGGAGCCTCTGCCAGGCACTGCTTTGGGTGACCCCATCGAGGTTGGTGCGCAGCGGGCAGTCTATGGCAAAGGTGCGATGGAGTTGATTGATCGGGTTGATTTGATTTATTCGATTGATGGGTTGATTCTTGAGGAAGTAGATGTTCAACATTGTTCAACTAGTTCGTTGATGGCAAATTGACCGGCTAATGTTCAGCTAGTTTCTCAGTGACTGCGATTCAGCTTTGGATTAAACCTGTTCCAACTCTGCGAACGGACCCTTTTTTGTGGAGTATTTCGAGCATCCGACTGGCGGCATTCGGTGGATCATCACCTTATCGAAAAACTCGCGTCGGTACAACGAGCATGTTTCTTAACTGTATTTAATAGTTAATTTATGTTAATTTAATTATGTTAATTTATGTTAATTTAACGGCTAACTTCAAAAACGTTCAGTACCAGTGCTGTTGGGTATGTCTCAAAACGATCCACCGGTCATTTCTGGTTTTTCGGTGCTTTGAAAAACCGCCGGGCGCTTGTCGAGGCCGCAGCGAATCGCAGCCATTGATCCTGGCTGCCACGAAGAGCAACATTGGGCACTTGGAAGGTGCGCCTTATGGGACCAAAAGTCAGGGCGTAACCAGACAGTTCAGGCGTAACCATCCCTTGAGGGGTTGATAAACTGAAGCACTTCGCGTAGGGGGACGATAGGGGACGCGATGATAAACAAAGATGGTGTTATTTGTGGGATAGATCTGAGGATGAATGGGATATGGTGGTTTCGTGTGGTTTCCTGAAATAGGGCTACCCCCAAATCATCCATGGATGGATTTTCCATTATAAACCATCCATTTTGGATACCCCCATTTATGGAAACCCCCATCTAGCACAGTATAAGTCATGAGATGTATCATCTAGCTGACCAAATATAACGAGGAAAGAGCCAACAATGGTCCTGAGGATACAGCTACAAGCGCTAGCGTTAAGTCGTATCAGCTTGTAAAAGTCGTATCGGGAGGCCGTGCGCCTGGAAAAAGTTCAAGTTTGGCATCACCACAATTTTAGTAATTGAACAATTTCATTGTTTTGGGGCCGTGCGCCTGGAAAAAGTTCTTTTTTTTTATTGCGTTGATTTTAAAAAATATATTTGATCATTCTTTCAAGGGGGCGCTGCTTGCCTGCTGCTTGCCTGCTACTTGCTGCTGCTTGCTGCTGCTTGCTGCTGCTTACCTGTGTATCGCCGCCGTGCCATGGGGATGATGTGACTTTTCCCGCCTGATGTGACTTAAGTACGGTGCTCGTACTAAATAAATAAATATTACCAATCTTGGGATACAGCAGAGATACTACAGTACCAACAGTAGCCCAGACATACTGTATTTATACTGTATTTAACAAGTATATTTATACTGTATTTATACTGTACTTATACTGTATTTATACTGTATTTATTGAATGACCATGAATGACCAAAATGTCAGAATAAATATTAGTGTGTCCAAACATTTTCTGCCCCAGCCATGAACCGTTTCCCAGCTGAAAATGGGTTCCAAGCTTTTGGGGCCATGTGAGCAGTGGCTGCTAAACCCTGGTTGGCTGATGATTATAGGGGATTATACTACCCAAATCTACCCAATATATTGGGGATTTTGATGGATTTTGAACACTGCTCATGTGTCCGTAATATTCTTATTTTCATGACGAAGCAGAAGGAGACAGAGCCATGACTTCATGTTTGATACTGCAGCGTCGAAGATGGTTGAAGCACCTCCCAGTTTGTTTCACGATCTAAATGCCACTAATCCAAGAAGTGTTGAAAACATTCCAGTCAACTCCTCCTATGGCCAAAATTCATGGTCTATCGCAAAAAGATTCGCTGAAACTCACAAAAAATGGGTTTGTATGAATTTCTAACAATGTCCAATTCCAGTTTGGTTACCTAAAATCATTGCGCCTATATATCATCTCAATATATTGTTCACTATGGTTCTATATCCCATTCTATCCCCCATAACTCACCATAAAATGTCATCAGTGTCATCCTATGACGGTGAAATCCACCGTCAGTTTTTGTGTTTGGATGGGAAACTGAGGAAACTGTTGTGTTGGTTATATTCCCAAAAACATCCCCATCACATTAAACAATATTAACACAATTATACAAATCAAAATCACAGTTTTCACATCCTATTGAATCATATTTTTCATCACAGTAAACATCATATTAAGTCATATTAAATCCCCATGTTTTTGATGGTTAAATCCCCTAAATTATGCCACCTAAAATGGCCAGGCTCCGCCGGTGTTGCCGGCATCTCGAAGGTCATTTTGGCCATCACCAAGGTGGGATGATTTCCATGGGCGACTATGGCATGTTTTAATGGCGGTTGAAGGCATTGGAATTAGCAGAAACAATGATTTTTTGTTGGGAAAGTTGGGAAAATTGATCAGCAGTTGATCAGCGTGGTATCAAAACTTGGAAGTGAAGCAACAGATCTGGGCTTTTGATGGACGATCGGAAGTCAGTAGATGTCCGTTGTGGCGCTGTCACGAGATGATGTCACCAGATGCGACTTTGGAGGCTCAGATCACCCCGAATTTGCACTTGGAAAAACTGAATCCAAACATCGATCTCTCGGGCTTCCACGTCTTGATGTGCCTCGGTGAGATCCCGTCCGAGGGTAAAAATTGGATCTTGGGTATACCAAGACTCGAAAGGTCACGGACTCGGGGAATGAGTGAAGCTACCGAAAGTTGACAAGGCTCCAGATTTGCGCACTCTGTGCAGAGGAAATTCCCTGTCAAAATGGGAGTTTACAGAGAATTCAGTACATGTCATCACAGGCACTCAGAGTGTCCCATGAAACAGAGAGATGCTGCAACCTAAGACAAAGAACATATTAAAAATGATGAGGGTTCATGGTGGTTCATCAAACTTCCAGGCGAATAAGTGCCCAAAGTTTAGACCCTATTTGTTTTTAGTAGACGCTGTGGCTTTGTTAAATTTCTTCCATGTCTTCGTTCATCGTTGGGACACCAAGGCCGGACAAGTTGGTGGAATGGAAGAGTGCCAGCTTGCGCTCTGGTGTCTCTCATCTGAGGTTTCGGTGACCACGGTAGAACCGAGTTGAACCCCTTCGATTTTTCAGGGGAAAAATCCATGGGTTTCCGGATGTTTCCGGAGTTTCCGAACGCATGTTTTTCCCTGAAGCATCTGAAGACAATAAAAAATGGGCAATGAGTGTTTGTATCTCTGCTAGACCCTTCAAAGTGAGAAAAGATGAAGAAAATTATCCCTATAATGGCTTTCCTTGTGTGCTTGAGACTCTGAAACATATCAAACAAATTCAAACAATATCAATGAATCAAAGACAGATTGCCAAAAATCCTGAACTGCCCTGGATGTTTGTCTTCCACCTAGGTGTCCTCCTTCGGTTTCTCTGGCACCAACGGCCACGGTTTGATGGAAGCCACGCTGACGAACGCCACACCGCCCCAGAGGGCACCCATGAAGTTCGCGCGCAAGGTGCCACGGGGCTGGTCAACCCATCCCCAACCCCCCAAAAAGATGCTGAATTTGGTAATATCTCTAGTTTGACCTTTCGATCTACTTTGGGGTTACTATAGCGTGATGTAACTCGCAACCTGGGTTTTAACCACTTGAAATTTGGGTTACCCTTAGGTAATCGAACCTGGAAAAGGAAAAATATTTGTTCCATTTTGTTCCTCTTTTCGGATAATCAAAAAGTGCTAGCCCCGTTCCCCGGGCTGATCCAGCCGCAGGATGCAGATACCCTCCGAGTCATGAAAAAATGAGAGTTTGTCAACATGGCAATCATGGCTTTTATAGGGAAATCATCCCCTTTTATGGCCTTCATTCAGGTTATATAGTGAAATAGTATAATTTACCCAGATAAGATGGTTGGTCTTTGCAAACTTTTTCAGAACTGGAACTGGGATCAGCACGGAAAGGAAGGCTCGGGTCGCCGGCAGGTGTTGAAACCATGGAGGGAATGGATGAAGACAGTTCTGTACTTGGAAGACTCTTGGACTGCTCCAGAATCTGCAATTTGAAAACATGTTCTGATATGTTCTGCAGATGAATTTTGGATCTCATGGAAACAAGTCGTTTTTGGCATTTGGTGAAACTGATATGAACGAATTGGCATGACTTGAACAAATCAGCTACTTCTTTGTCCACGTGTTTACACCCCCATGTCCCAGCAGACAAACTGCCACCATGTTGCACAGTGCGGTGGCAGGCAGCACCTCTGAATTACGGGACGTCTGTGGGGTACCTGATGACTTACCCTCCAGTAAATTAACATAGACCCTGAAAATCACCCATTTTTAATGGAAACTAGTCTTCCAACCCCGATGACTGCCAGGGTCTATGTTAATTTACCAGAGGGTAACAGATAGAAAAAATTGGCAGTTTCAAACTGGTTCAAGCCTCCAGATCCGTTTCCATCCAGATGTGATGAACCCAGTTCACCAGCATGTTTCTTCGGATAGATCTGATACCCTCTGGTAATTTAACGTAGCTATTGAATATGGCCATTTATAGTGGATTTTCCCATTAAAAATTGTGATTTTCCATAGCTATGTTAAATTACCAGAGGGTAGATCTGATAGGCCCGTTTGGGATGTGACATCCACCTTGAAGCGTGCAGCCAAGGATTGGTTGCCTGCCGATGTGGTTCCGACCTCCGGCCTGGTGGAAGGAACTGCCGTGCTGGCCACTCAGAGCCTGTCCGATGAGTTGCTGAAGGCGCTGCCGAAGGCAGTGCCTTGGAGGAACAACAAGGAAGGGGGCAGAAAACTGAGGATTTGGGAACATAAAATGGGGGGAATGTTCCCAAAAATATCCAAAAAATGGGAGAGTCAAGTTCACCAAGGCAAAATGCGTATTTCAATGTATTTCTTGCTTTTGCCACAGGGGGTTGGGGGATGTTTGGACAGTCTATCGAGATTGCCAACCCTGTGGTTCCATGCATTGCTTGTTTTTGCGGCATATCAAATGAGAATGTGGGCAACAAACGTGGAGATTATACCAACAATAGTGGTGGAATTCACCAACAAAAGTGGAATATGATGCAACCTACCCCTTAAAATTTGGGGACTTAACCAGAAAGCAACTGGCTAGCAAGGAACACATATTCATATTGGTGTTTTGAGCACTTCACAAACCAAGTGATCCAGGCGTTATAGCCAACATGTTTATACTTGTTTGGGGTATGCATCTGATGACCCCTCAAAAACTGGGACAAAAGCATTGACGGCGGACACATACACCCATGAATTCGCTGTTGTACCCACCAAGAACCCCCCACGACCCGCTTATTGCACGTTTGATATTCCAAATTGTGCTGTTCATATTCGTATCTACATAGTGATGTGCAATGGTGTGCACACATGCATGTGTATGAATGTGTCCTTCCGTGCTTGTTTGCCTTAATGTGTTTGCAGAAGATCCTACTGTCTCTCCGTGGTGGCGATCGTCCCATTTCAACCCAGGTGGCCGTGCAACTTTCCGAGCCCAACAAGATGGCTGAGGCCGGTCCTGATCTTGGGCCTGCTGGGTGGCTTCAACTTGCATACCATAGCTATTTGGGATGACCATGTAGCTTCCAACTATAATGACTATAGCATAGTTATAGTTGGTATATCGTTAGAGCTATTATAGTTGCTATAGTCAACTATATTATAGCTGGTAACTATAATAGCTCTGTGATGGATTCAAAGCGCCAAGCAAACGACAAAACGCGAAGCAGACCGAGTACCTCTTCTTTGGGTGCCAGTTTCCATGGTTCTCACACCGGCGGGGCACCTGTTGCCCAGAGTATCACCTATCAAATGTGACGGCAGTAAGATCATAGATGTCCTTGAATGTTCGGCCAAAACTGGTAATTCAAACAATACTGTCTGGTTGGTGGTTTGGAAGATTGTTTATTTTTCCATTTCATATATGGGATGTCATCCCAACCCCATTCAAGATGGTTATTGCACCACCAACCAGCTTCGTGTTATGTAAAATGTGTAAAAATACTCAGAAAGTGCAGCATTGACACGTTTGTTCCTTCGATAAGATGTTTGAAATATTGGTCCCACATGTAGAGATCTCCATTTTGGGCGCCATGGATGCTGGCAAGAATCCCTGGTTGGTGGTTTGGAACAGGTTTTTTTCCATTCAGTTGGGAATTTCATCATCTCAACTGACTCATATTTTTCAGAGGGGTAGGTATACCACCAAGCAGATCCAAGTGCAGCACATGTTGTTTCTATCCACAACTCATGAGGCCATGAAGGGTCGCCCTGCAGCAATCTTCTGTGCTGACGCGGAAACCCCCAGTGGGGAGCCATCCATGAAGGTGGCTTGGGAAGGGATGAGCCATGTCCGGTGGAGATGTTGACGGTCAAGAAAAAGGGGGTGGATGGGGCTGATTGCTGCTGAATATGCGCGACTCATATCCGATTATTCTACATACTTATTCCCATTACTACAAGTTTCTTCTAGCTGAATGTGGATTCTTGATTTTCTTGCGGGAGATTCAGATATTTTCCCCGCGATGCTGTATAAATTTCCTGTTTGGCACCGTTGGTTTGATAGGAAAGAAATCCCAGAAACTGGGGACCCAGTAGTACAGCAGGCAGTTTTAGATTGGTTGAAAATCGTAGAGTACAGCCTGCTTGAGAAGTGTACGTCCATGGCATTACATGGCATAGCGGTGGTTTTGCAACAGACCTGGCCGTTGGGACAGTTGACGTTTTGAAGATGATGCTAAGCATGAGTTGCAAAGATACCTAAATAGTCAAGGTTCAGCCCTTTCTTTCCTTGTTTGGCAATGGAGTCAGAAGTTGAGTGCACCAAGAGGCTATCCCAGTGACAAAAAATGAGTGGAACGGAAAGCCAGGAGGGGACTATACCAGGGAAAGCAACTTTTTATTCACAGTTTGTCTTCCTCCTTTGTTCATCCTTCTTGAAAATGGAAAAACCATGTGTGTCATTATCAGTTGGTGGTTCACTAGTGTCACTAGTGGTTCTTGGTGATTCATCACTGAAAACGGTGATATGTATTGTGCAAATATCAGGATTCGAGTCATTAATTACATTTAATTACATCATATCCTATTACATCAATTTACATCATATCACAGTCATACCATCCCATGGATTTTCATGGTTCATATGACATCCCCCTACCCCCCCTACCTTTCTCCATGGAAGGCCTTGGAACAGTTGCTGGTCTTCCTGCAAGCTGCCGCCACGGCCGAAGATCCCAAGCTGCTGCTGGTCGTCACGCGCGGCGCGCACGAGGCCGGAGCCTCCTTCGACGGCGCCTGTGCGCTGTGGGGTCTGCTGCGCTCCGCGCGGATCGAGATGCCACGGCTGGTCATCAAGGCGTTGGATGTGGATCTCAAAGCCGCCAGGATTGGATTCAGTGACCAAAACCATCCAACAACCCTGATACTGTTGGGAGAAATCCTGCACCACCAAAAGGATGGTTGAAACCCTATAAATAGTGGGATAAACCATCTATCAACTGGTGCAGGATTTCTTCCATCCACAGTAGGGGTGAGAGCCCCTAGAAATCTGAAGGGATGAGGGTTTTGAACACTGCTCAGTTAGAGTTTTCTGATGTTTTTTTGGACGATGTTTCTAAGTTTAGATCCAGAAGAGTCTTCGTAGACTGCGAGGATGATCATGATGATCCCCAAACGACGGTTTGTTCAGGGGAAATTCATGGGCAAAATGTTGATACATTGAGATGCCACCCCTGGCTTAAACCCCTAGGATGTTTCATTGGCGGGATAGCATTTTAGTAGCAACTTATCACCTCTTAAAATCAACCAGGGTTTGTTCATCCAGCTGTTGACGTTAGGGCTGTATGATGTGCTCAGTCCAAGGCAACCAATCAGGACGTGGCCAAGGCTTTGCGAACGATGGGTTGTGAAGGGCTGGACGGCAATCACAAGGGTACGTGTAGGATTTTGTTACCATCAACTTTAAGTCCCTTGAAATCGATTCCAGAAAACTAGTGTTGAGAAACTGGCAGAAGTCAGAATCACTCTATATACCCTCTGGTAATTTAACATAACTATGGAAAATCATGGAAAATCACCATTTATAGTGAATTTATGTGAATTGTCCCATTAAAAATGGTGATTTTACATAGTTGTGTTAGTTTACCAGAGGGTAAATGGGTTTGTCACACGGCCCACCAGAAACCACCATCAAGCAGTGGATGGACTGGAGATTTCATCGCCATCATCCCATCAGCCCACAAGCAGACGGCTTAAGATCCAGCCACAAAATCCATGGGTTTTTCCCTTCAATCCCAACCGTCCATGGAAAAAAACAAGTTCAAAATCCACGAAAATCTCTGAAAATCCCCAAGATTCGCTCCATTTTTTCCAGCCGAAGCAGAAGGAATCTGTTCGCCTTCAGGCCGTGGCCCTGGAGCTTCAAGGCGCCGACAACGACGTGGAGGCTATCACGGGTAGCGCTGGACGTCGGGTGCCGCGGGTGGTGGAGGCGCCACAGGAGGCGTTGCAGCTGCAGAGGCAGGATGCTATGAGAGATGCAGAGAAGATGGCAACACAGGCGGGATATGGCGGGATGGGAGGTTTCAGGCTGTTTTTTGATTTGTTTTTCGTGAAAAATGATGAGAAATGATGAACCAGCGATACAGGGATCTTTCATCAGAAATTTATACAGAGCTTTTGAAGGGGAGATTCAGCCTCGCTCACTCTTTCTGGCGTTGATGGGAGGAGGCTGATATGCAAAGATTTGGCTGAATCGTGCCAGCACCGTAGCAAGTGGTTGGGGAAATACTACAGGGATTCGAAGGCGCTAACCATAGTTATAACCCAGCGTCATGAACAGGAAAAGCCACTTAGGGCAGTTACTAACCATTGTCTGGTTGGTGGTTTGGAAGATTTTTTATTTCTCCGTATATTGGGAATTTCATCATCCCAACTGACGAAGTCATATTTTTCAGAGGGGTAGGTATACCATGACTCGGTCGATCTTGAGTAGATCTTGAATAGATCCACCTGGGTGAGAATTGCAATAACCATAGTTATCACCCAGCAGCTTTTAACCATAGTTATAGACTAACTGGCCATAGTTACAACCTATACCACCAACCAGCTAACTCAGCTAACCATGGTTATTTTTAAAACGATTCCACCCTTTCGAAAGCCAGGTCAAGCAAGGGCTGCAGCTGGTCACCGGTGGTCTGGGCGGTTTGGGCCTGGTAGCGGCAGAGGAGTTGGTGGCCCTGGGGGCACCAGGCGCCATGGGTCAATGGTGATTTAATGAAGGAAAAGTGTGATTTAACTGCTGAAAATGGTGATTTAACGGCTGAAAATTCTGATTTAACTGCTGAAAATGCTGATTTAATGAGGGGAACTGGTGATTTAATGGGATTTTATGGGATATACCCAACAAACATGTAGTTGCCCTCTGGTAAACTAACAGTTTGCGAACTGGAAAATCACAATCTTTAAGTTCGGTAAATCAACTAGTTCTATGTGCCATGTTCTATAGCTATGTATGTTAAATTACCAGCGGGTAATAGATCCTCTATGTTTGATAATAACAGTATTTATGGTTTATTAATGGTTTATGGCTAATTATTATTGATTATTGTTGACGGTTTAATTACGAATAAAAACCATCAGTGATTGATTAATAGATATTGATAGATATCATATCTATGTTAGAAATATAATCTAATCTAGATAGACAATAGTTCTCCCATACTCAGTGATTAATCATGGAACATCAGTGATTGCAGGTAAGAACGGCAACTGCTAGATGTGATGTTCTATGATTCAGTGATTTGTATTGATGTATAATTCTCACTGATATAGATATATGTAATTTCACTGATTTTCACTGATGTTCTATGAGATTGCTTGGTGATTTAATGTCATTTTATATGTGATGTGTTTGCCGTTTTTCCAATATGTCTTAATGGTTAGATTGGATGGATTGTTAAGATGGAACATCTTTGGGTATCTCTATTACAATGAATAAACTTATATAATAATGAACCATGTTATAATACATATTATCGTATTACCCCTATTATTGTTGGTTTTATAATACATAATTATTACAGGTTATTCCTTGTTTGATTTTCCTTCTTTGCGATCCTTGAGCCTCAGTGAAGATAAAGAATTATCTGCCTCTGCGCTTGTAGCTGGGCTTGGGTGGCCACTGGCATATAAATAGAGAACATCCAGAGAGATGAGAGAACATGCTGTTCTCTTCCAGGAGCTCAATTATTCAAAGATAATGTGTATAATATTATATGTATATATATATACATATAATTATAGAATATTATATATATATATACGAATATTATATATATATACACATTATATCTAGGTCGGTTGTAACCCCAGTTCCCTGCTACAACCCCCATTCAAGGCGAGTTGGAACCCACAGAAATCCGTGGCAGGTCTTTTGCTCACTTCCCGCAGTGGATGCGTGGCGGAAGGCGCGCTTGGATGGAAGTCACTGTTTTTTTTAAGGGTGGGATATCTTTATCTTAGTTATATTAACATAGAAATGGAAAATCCCAACTTTCAATGTGAATATGGATGCTAATCAATCTATAAATGGGTGATGTTCCATTGCAAGGTCTTAAATTACTGGAGGGTAGACATTTGGGGAGCGGAAACAAACATGTCTTTGTCGGATGATGGTCCCCATGGACCAATATTCCAATCAATCAGAAATGTCCAACTGCCACTCTTCTGTAGTCCAGCAAAGGGTGTGTTTCTTTATGGCCCTAGTTTTAGTTGAAATCAGTAGCTTGCCATGGTTTATTGTTGGTGCTATGTTCTGATTTGGCCACCAACAATGAGTAGTAGGTGGCTCCATCATGCTCTTTTAGAATCACAATCATCCAGCCGATGGTCCGGGCTGCGTCAGTTTCACCATGTTTCACCACTCGAGGTCAGAAGCGTTTACAAGATCAATTGAAGCGGCTTCAGCTTTTGCCTGGACTGTTGCTTGGTGATGATTTCTACATGCGCGCATGACCGATGGTTTTCCAGTGTTTTCCATGGTGTTTTGATGGAAAATGTGTTCTCAACCCACCAGTACCCCTCATGACATAGGGGTGACATGGGGGGGCTGCTCATGTTGTCCCTTTTTCAGTTTTTTCTCAAAAAGTTCACCGCCTTTTTGCCGTGCGGATTGCGTGCTCCTCTCCCCGCCATGAGTTGCTTCGGAACGACTTTCTTCGACCAACGCATGCGCCAGTCGGGTACCTACCAGGTGAAGCTGAGCCGCGAAGGCCTGGAAGCCTGGGGTATTCAGACCTTGCACGCAGAAGGCCAAGATGATTTGGTGATTGCTAGCATCAACCGGAACGGCACTCCTGTAGGCAAGTGGAACCAGAAATCTGACGATCCCGTGGTTCATGATAGGCCCATTCTGAATGTGAATGGCCACAGCAGCATCCAGGACATGTTGGATGAGCTCCGCTACGCCCGAACTTTGAAGATGGAAATCTCTCTTCGTTTGAGTCGTGAGCACCACATCCTGCTCCGTCAACATCGTAGGTCAGAGGAGCTCAGGGTCCGTGTGGCGAAAGTGGAAGCGATGCTTCAGGAGGCGCCACAGATGGAAGGCGTTGCTGACGCTTGTCCAGTGTGTTTGGATGACATGGCTTCACAGGGATCGGTGAATCGGCTTCCCTGTGGCCATTGTTTCCATCGAAGTTGTATCTCCAAATGGTTGGTCAAGGCATTCTCTCCAACCTGCCCCTCCTGCAAGAAGCAGCTAGAGATTCCAGGCATGGATGAGGGAGAATACCAAGATGTTGAAGGAAGTGACATACAGGCGATGAACTTTTGATTTTCAATGATTTGCAAACTAGCAGTATAGTTGACTAGGTCAGAAGCTGTGGGTCAACCACCGCCCAGTTTGCATCCGTTCCAGAGGCTTTTTCCAGCAGATGCGTTGCATGCACTGCCGTGACCTAGGGCACTAGCGGATCCAATGACTTCACATGTTCTGAATTGGTAGCGGTAGGGACATACACATCACCACTTCACTATACTCCCACAGCTCCTATTTGATGAACAGAAGTTCAAATTCCGGCAGGAAGTGAAAGGATCAACAGCTGGCGCTGCTAGATGCCCAATGAATTGCCCGAAGATCAACATCTTCGAAGTCAACCATGAACAAGCCCAATTTTCTTTTCTTCCCTGTGGATTGGCCGGGATGCCTTCCACGTCTTAAAAAAATTAAAGGGGCGATGAACCAATGGCAAGTGCCAATGGCAAGTGCCAATGGGAACGACTACGGCTCAAAGTAAAGGAGTAATGGTTTTTATTTGTGTGTCTTGATAGGGATGATAAGTTCATATTAGAAGTTGTTTGATGTTTCTCAATGACCAGGATTCTTATATCATCTTATATCTATGTATATATATATATATTATATATATATATTCTTATATATGATCTTATTATATATTGGTGGTTATGGTTTTTTATTCAGCAGTGGTTCCGGCTTGGCACTTCGCTCCAGTCAGCGAGCTATGCTTTGATATGGCTGTGCCGTGGTAAAATGACGTTTTTTTATGCCTTGGATCAATGGGTTGTTTTTAGGGAGAAAATTTACAGAGAACCATGGCAATTTTTTTTCTGAGATGTGGTGGGTTTTCCGAAGAAAAAAAAACCTTAGACTAATGATTGGATGAGCAAAAATAGCATGTTGTTCCTGGAAAAGAGGATGATCCTGAGATGAC